GACAGCCCAGAGAAGGGCAGTGAGAGTCCCACTAGGATGGCCAACAGGGGGCCACGGGAGGAGAAGCTATGTGTGAGAAGCTATGTGCAGGGTAAACCCTGCACGATTCGGGAGCTGATGGGGTTAGAGGGGAAAAAGGGAAATTTTTTGTTTGGGTAATGGGGTCCTATTCAGAAAGGGGAAGTGGGAGGAGCTTCTTTCGAGAGAAGATGTTGGGTTTGGTTTGAAGACCAGGTCCTTTTTCCCCCCTATAATAGCTTTATTGAGGTACAATACACATACTAGATACTTCACCTCTTTAAAATGTAAACTTCAGTTGTTTTTAGTATTCACAGAGTACTAACTGCAATCAAATTTTAGAACATTTTCATCAGCCCCAAAGGAAACCCTGTACCTTTAGCATCTCCCTCTCCCCAGCTCTCCCTAACACCTTCAGCCTTAGGCAACCACAAATCTATCTTGTCTCTATAGACTTGCCCATTCTGGACTTTTCATATAAGTGGAATCCTAACAGTTGGTGGTCTTTTGTGACTGACTTCTTTCCCTTAACATGTTTTCAAGGTCCATTGACACTGTAGTGTGTATTTCATTTCTTTTTTTTTTTTTTTTGCCAAATAATATTGTAAGGATATACCATATTTGTTTATCCACTTATTGGTTGATGAACATTTGGGTTGTTTCCAGTTTTTGGCTATTACGAATAATGCTGCTTATGAACAGATACACAGATTTCTGTGGATGTGAGTTTTCATTTCTCTTGGGTATACACCTAGGCGTGGAATTGCTGGGCCATAAGATAACTGTTTAATCTTTAGAGGGACTGCCAAATTGTTTTCCTCAGCAACTGCACCATTTGCATTCCAACAAAACTTCTGATTTCCCCTCATTCTCACCAATGCTTGTAATTTCTGTCTTTTTGACCAGTTTCTTTTGAGGAGTCATTATGGTGATGAGAATTTGGAGAAGTGAGGGATAATCAGGTTTGGTGGGAGTTCATGCAGAGCAGTTTTGCCACTGAAAGCACAGTGCCTGGGGCTTTCTAGTATGATGAATATGTTCCAAAATTGACTGTGATGGTGGTTACACAACTCTGAATATATGAATATCCTAAGAGCCAAGGGATCGTATACTTTAAAAGAGTTAAGTTTGTGAATTATACTTCAGTAAAGCTACTTTTTTTTAAAAAAAGGTCATGTTATTTGATTCCACTTTTTTCTTAAAGTACATTCTGGTTTTTCCATAGCATCTTTAAAAAAATTTTTTTTTAAATTAATATTTATTTTTGGCCATGCTGGGTCTTTGTTACTGCTCATGGGCTACTTTCTAGTTGCAGTTCTCAGGCTCCTCATTGCAGTGGCTTCTCTTGTTACAGAGCACAGGCTCTAGGGTGCAGGCTCAGTAGTTGTGGCTTGTGGGCTTAGTTACTCTACAGCAGGGATTAGATACCTCCCTGGACCAGGGATGCAACCCTGACCCCTGTGCTGGCAGGCAGATTCTTAACCATTGGACCACCAAGTTCAGTTCAGTTCAGTCGCTCAGTCGTGTGTGACTTTTTGTAGCCCCATGTACTGCAGCATGCCAGGCTTCCCTGTCCATTACCAACTCCCAGAGCTTACTCAAATCATGTCCATCGAGTCACTGATGCCATCCAACCATCTCATCCGCTTTTGTCCCCTTCTCCTCCCGCCTTCAATCTTTCCCAGCATTAGGGTTTTTTCCAATGAGTCAGTTCTTCGCATCAGGTGGCCAAAGTATTGGAGCTTCAGCTTCAGCATCAGTCCTTCCAATGAATATTCAGGACTGATTTCCTTTAGGATTGACTGGTTAGATCTCCTTGGAGTCCAAGGGACTCTCAAGAGTCTTCTCCAACACTGCAGTTCAAAAGCATCAATTCTTTGGCACTCAGCTTTCTGTATAGTCCAACTCTCACATCCATACATGACTACTGAAAAAACCACAACTTTGACTAGATGGACCTTTGTTGGCAAAGTAATGTCTCTGCTTTTTAATATGCTGTCTAGGTTGGTCATAGCTTTTCTTCCAAGAAACAAGTGTCTTTTAATTTCATGGCTACAGCCACCATCTGCAGTGATTTTGGAGCCCAAAAAAATAGTCTCTCACTATTTCCATCTATTTGCCATGAAGTGATGGGACCAGAGGCCATGATCTTAGTTTTCTGAATGTTGAGTTTTAAGCCAACTTTTTCACTCTCCTCTTTCACTTTCATCAAGAGGCTCTTTAGTTCTTCACTTTCTGCCGTAAGGGTGGTGTCATCTGCATATCTGAGGTTATTGATATTTCTCCCGGCAATCTTGATTCCAGCTTGTGCTTCATCCAGCCCAGCGTTTCTCATGATGTGCTCTGCATGTAAGTTAAATAAGCAGGGTGACAGTACACAGCCTTGACTACTCCTTTCCCAATTTGGAACCAGTCTTGTTCCATGTCCAGTTCTAACTGTTGCTTCTTGACTTGCATACAGATTTCTCAGGAGGCAGGTCAGGTGGTCTGGTATTCCCATCTCTTGAAGAATTTCCCACAGTTTGTTGTGATCCACACAGTCAAAGGCTTTGGCGTAGCCAATAAAACAGCAGTAGATGTTTTTCTGGAACTCTCTTGCTTTTTCAATGATCCAACGGATGTCGGCAACTTGATCTCTGGTTCCTCTGCCTTTTCAAAAACCAGCTTGAACATCTCAAGTTTCACGGTTCACATACTGTTGAAGCCTGGATTGGAGAATTTTGAGCATTACTGAACTAGCGTGTGAGATGAGTGCAATTGTGTGGTAGTTTGAAAATTCTTTGGCATTGCCATTCTTTGGAATTGGAATGAAAACTGACCTTTTCCAGTCCTGTGGCCACTGCTGAGTTTTCCAAATTTGCTGGCATATTGAGTGCAGCACTTTCACAGCATCATCTTTTAGGATTTGAAATAGCTCAACTGGAATTCCATCACCTCCATTAGCTTTGTTCATAGTGATGAGTCCTAAGGCCCACTTGACTTTGCATTCCTGGGTGTCTGGCTCTAGGTGAGGGATCACATCATCATGGTTATTTGGGTCATGAAGATCTTTTTTGTATAGTTTTTCTGTGTATTCTTGCCACCTCTTCTTAATATCTTCTGCTTCTGTTAGGTCCATACCATTTCTGCCCTTTATTGAACCCATCCTTGCATGGAATGGCCCCTTGGTATCTCTAATTTTCTTGAAGAGATTGCTAGTCTTTCCCATTCTATTGTTTTCCTCTATTTCTTTGCATTGATCATTGAGGAAGGCTTTCTTATCTCTTCTTGCTATTCTTTGGAACTCTGCATTCAAATAGGTTTATCTTTCCTTTTCTCCTTTGCCTTTAGCTTCTCTTCTTTTCTCAGCTATTCCTAAGACCTGCTCAGACAACCATTTTGCCTTTTTGCATTTCTTTTTCTTGGGGATGGTCTTGATCACTGCCTCCTGTATAATATGAACCTCCATCCATAGTTTTTCAAGAACTCTGTCTATCATATCTAATCCCTTGAATCTGTTTGTCATTTCCACTGTATAATCATAAGGGATTTGATTTAGGTCCTACCTGAATGGTCTAGTGGTTTTCCCTACTTTCTTCAACTTAAGTCTGAATTTTGCAATAAGGAGTTCATGATCTGTGCGACAGTCAGCTCCCAGGAAGGAAGTCTGGAATTTTGAAATTTTTTTTTCCTGTGGGTGAGAGGAGCCTTTGGGAGTATTTAGCAGGGAAGTGACCTGTCAGCTTTGTGTGTAAGAAGATCCCTCTGGCAGTGTTTGGAGACTGGTGCAGGGAGCCACAGCGGCTATCACACTTGGCCACAGAAACCCCGAGGATGCCCGGGCAAGGTGGCAGGAACTAGGTAGGCTGGGGGCAGATTGGGGAGGCTGGATGCTGGGTGATGGGGGTGAGGGGACTCTGGGCCTGGTCCTTGGAGGGCACCTCTGAGTGAGGGCAGGGCATGAGTCCCAAACTTCAGAATCAAGACCAAGGAAGCTGCCTCCTGGTGATGCAGGTCCCCTTCCCTGCTTCCAGGAAAATTCAGGGGCAGGGTGGAGGCCAGTGCCACACATTTCCAAAGTGGAACTAAAGACTTGATTCAGGATCTAGTGGAGGTCGTCTGACTAAGATGTCTAGATATCGGCCACATGATACACTTAATTCACTGAATAGTGACCTTTAATTGCATCCCTGATGTTCATTCATCTTTCCTGAAGGAAGAGGAAAGGAAGGGAAGCAAACGTTTATGAGGGCCTTCTATGTGCTAATAACATCAGCAGTCACAATTTACATTTTTGAGTAATTCCTTTGCGTGTGGCTCTGGGCTAGGTGTTTCATGTGTGTTACCCCTGCCTGGCTGGTACTGTTACCATCCCCACTTTATGCTACAGGAAACTGAGGCAGAGCCTGTACTGGTGGATGGTAGACCCTGACCAGAGCCTGGGCTCTCAACTTCCTGCCGTGTGCACGGTGTCTTGGTAGAACCCTGCCTTGGGGTTGCCCTCTCTGGCTCTGAGATGTTGGAGGTGGCACCTGGTTCCGGTAGGAGGGGAGGGACACCCGGGCTTTGTGACAACCAACTTTGTGATGCCCAGGTCGTTGATAGATGGACAGAAGCCCCTGGCCACCTGGGTGGTCTTGTGCCAGGGATGGAGGTCCGGGGAAGTCCCAGTTGAGTGGCCAGCCTCTGCCCCCATCCGGTACTGCCCATTTCTCGGGTACTGCTATGCCAGAGGCCTCCAGGAGCAGAGCAGAGAGCTAGATATCCAGCGGAGCAGGTGAACATCAAGCATGGGATCCTGAGGCCAGGTTGCCTCCAGAAACTTCCGCAGGGGCTGTGGGAAGACATGAGGGGCACCGCTCCCTGGACAGTGCTCTCTCCTCGGAAAAGTAGGCAGGGAAGAGCAGGTTTCAGGCTGCTCCCTGGTCCTCGGTGACTGTCCCCAAGGGCTGACTTCTTTCTTCTCAGGGGGTTCCTGACAGCTAGAATCTAGAAGTAGAAATATGAGCTCACCTTTGGCCTCCCTTGGCAAGATCCGGAGAGTGCCTCTACAGTCGGAGCCTGTGAATCCTGGGTAAGGAGCCAGCCTCTTGGGGTCTTTGTGTCCATGCCCCTGCCTCCTCCTGGCCCCTCCCATGAGCTCAGAGATTGACTCCTAGTGTCTTGGGGAAGCAACAAGAAGTGATGTATCTTTCCCTGGCCACCTTTTCTTTCTCGTCCCTTCTTCCGGGAGGTTGTCCATGTGTCTAAGCTCACACTGGGCTGTGCCCTCTGGTGAGGTGTGGCCTGTTGGGTAGCTCGGCATCCTTCCGTTTGTTCATTGTTCATGACTTAGTTCTGCAGACACTGATGGCCCAGCCATTCTGGGCCCGGCCACATCACATGCTGGACTCTCAGTGAAGGGAATCCTAATCATTGGTCTGTTGCTTTCATCTTTGCAAAGCATTTTTTTTTTAACCTCTGTCCTTGTTCTTCTGACCCCCACTTTGAGTCATCCATGTCATGGCCAAGGGGGTCCAGAGAAGTTAAGTGACAGGCTTGGGGTCCTGCAGCCATTTCAGAGCAGAGCTGGGGCTGGGCCCGTGGGCTTGGGGACTCTTGTGGTCCTCTCCCCAAGGCTCTGCCCTTCAGCTCTTGCCCATCTGTCTCCTTCGGGAGGAGTCAGATACCCTGACACCTGCCTCTTGGCTCACCCCCGGCCCAGGATGGGATTTGGGGGTGGATGTCCTCACAAGGCATCTTTTTTTAGGCTCGGGGTGGGGGAATAACCTGGTGCCAAAGCCCCCCCACCCCCCCATGGCAGTCCAGGGGGATCCTAACTTGTCTATCTTCCTTCTCCTTCCTGCCCATTCCCAGGAGGCGGGGGATAAAAATCTACGGAAATGGTAAGTGTGGGCTCTGGCCCTCGGGCCCTCCTCACATCCTTGCAGTTGGGCGGATGGAGAGAAAGAGCATGGTGAACTGCCTTGTCAGTCAGGGTGGCTGGCCAGCTACAGTGCTACCCACGGCTCTCGGATTAGGAGACCCCACACCCTGAACAGGAATGTCCTAACTAACGATGGAATCCCTCCGCTCACTGTGGGGTGGGCCATGAGGGCGCCAGACCCCCACCCGCCTCCCCCTGACAGCCACCTCCAGCCCATTACAGCCTTTTCTCCTTGAAGCCCAGTCTGCATATGGCTGCCTTGCCTCCTGCAGGCTCAGACGTTTGCATCCCAACCCCACTCTAGCCCCGACTCTGATGCAGGCTTTGGCCACCCAGGGCCCCCCAGGAGCCAGGCTGGGAGAACAGAAAGAGGCCTGTTCTGGTTGGATCCTTGCTCTCCAGCGTCCCGAGTTTTCTCTCCTCATACACTTGGGAGGAGACAGGGGGACACAGGGTACAGGCTGCTTCATCTCACCCAGGGCCCAGGGCCTCAGCCGCAGCAGTGACCCGGGCCTCCCTGTCTGCAGAAGATGAGGTAGACATGCTGAATGATGCTCCCGGCTCGGAAGAGAGGATCTCTGTCCCGTCCTGCTATGGTGGCATAGGTGCCCCTGTCAGTAGGCAAGGTGAGTGCAGACGCCCGAAGGGGCCTGAGTCCCCGGCAGCAGGAAGGACCCCAGTGAGAGGTTGTGAGAGGCGTGGCCTCTCCTCCTGCCTGCTGGGTCAGAGGCAGCTGCTTCTGCTCCTGGCTGACTGTGGGCACGTGCCTGCACCCCAGACCTGTTCAGAGCTTGGCTTGGCCTGAAGCCGCACATGGGCCTGGCCCTTAGCCCAGGAGTTCTGTTCAAGCCCCAGGGCAGGCTGTGGCTGGCACCTCAGGCTCAGTAGTTGCGGCCCTTGGGTTTAGTTGTATTGCGGCACGTGGGATCTTAGTTCCCTGACCAGGGATTGAACCCATGTCCCCTGCATTGCAAGGCAGATTCTTAACCCCGGGGCCACCAGGGAAGTCCCTAATTTAAAACATTGTCAGCCAACAGAAAAGTTGAAATAGTACAGCAGACGTTCACACATCCTCCTTCTGTATTCAATAATAAGTGACATTTTGCCATGCTTGCTTTCTCTCCATATACACGTCTGAATGAACACAAGTGTATTTTTTTGGGTGAACCGTTTAGAAATCAATCACAGATATCGTGACAGTTCAACTCTGCGTACGTCCCTGTGCATCTTCTAGGAGCAAGGAAATACAAAATCACGATGCTGTGATCACACCTCAGAACATGAGCAACTCGTTAACTGTGACATCCCAGTGTTCCAAAATTTCTCCCACAGCTTTATTTTCCCAATTTGGGTTCTATGTGAGGGTCATGCCGGACATCTGACTATTGTACTTATGCAGAGCAAAGTCCCTGCCTCTTTTAAACAATGATGCTTTTTGAAGAGTCCAGGCCACCTGCCCTGCAGGATGGGCCTCATTGTGACTTATCTCAGTGCCGTTAACTTGCTCCTCTGTCCTCTGTATTGCCTGTGAATTAGGGGTGAGATTAGACATGTAATTCAGCTGAGGGTGAACTTTTCAACACTGTTCATAATGGGACCCGGATGTTGTACCACTTCTTTGTACGTCTTGAGTGCATTACTGAATCTCTCTGCCTCAGATTCCCAAAGCAGTTCATTTCCTCGGAAAAGCTGACACATGAAATGTGTTTAGGACAGTCCCTGTTGTCTCGGGGCTTCCCCGGTGGCTCCAAAGGTAGAGTCTGCCTGCAATGCAGGAGACCCTGGTTTCATCCCTGGGTTGGGAAGATCCCCTGGAGAAGGGCATGGTAACCCACTCCAGTGTTCTTGCCTGCGGAATCCCATGGACAGAGGAGCCTGGCCGTCTACAGTCTAGGTGGCAGCTGCTGTTAGCACATCTCTTTCCACGTTTGGGGATCTCTCCCCCCTCCCCTGGACCCCCACCCCATCGGCCTCAGCTCTAGGCCGGGTTCGAGGACCTTGTCTGATTGGCAGTCCCCGTGTACCATGACTCGGAGCTGGTGGCCACCCTGACACGGAAACTGCGGGATCTGGAACAGCAGGTGAAGGCCCAGACTGACGAGATACTGTCCAAGGTGGGGCCCCAGCGGGCATAGGGCCAGGGTCTGGTCTGAGGGGCGGAAGGGCCCAGGCTGGGGAGGCCAGTGAGGCTACTCTTGCAGTAGGCCAGAGACGATGGGTTCTTGAACCATCTCCCTGACCAGACCTCCCACCTCTGTCCTGGGACTGATGTGGGTCCCTGTGACCTGGGCACGGAGCCTCGAGGTCTTCACCTCCGAGCCAGGCCTTCACCCTCACGTTGGGTGGCAGAAGTGGCTGCTGAGGGCTGGGCACTTGAGGGGTGCCCCATACCCTTCCCCCACCTCGGTGGAGCCACAAAAGGGCTCATCTGAGATACAGGAGCGGTGGCTGTGCCCAGGGTGGGGCAAGGGCTTCAAGCAGGCTCTTCCCATCCGGAAGGGGCTCCCGTGGGCTCTGGAAGCCACCAGGCCCGCTCCCCTCCCACCTCCTTGCTCCAGACTCGGAAGATACAGGCCTTAGAGGAGTTGGTGGAGACCCTCGAGGAGCACCAGGGTAAGAGGCCCTCTCTGCAGGCTTGGCCGGCTCAGCCTTGCACCTTCCCTGGGGTCCCTGCACCTCCCCTGGGGCTGGTGACCCCTGAGCATCAGGGCTTCAGAGCATCTGGCTGAGTCCTGGGTGGGGGGTGGTCTGGACAATGGAGCCCAGAGAGGAGCAGTGACACCCGGGATGGTGCCCTTTGTGTGGGACCAAGTCTCCTGGGCACAGCCCTAGCCCAGCCCTGAGTACAGAAAAGCCTGGAGGAAATGCCGCCCCCCAGGAGCCTTGCTCTGGGGGAGGGGAGTGGGAGGATGGAGGTTGGTGGCCTCCTGAGAGCCCGGGGGCGGGGGGGGGGGGGGGGGGGCGGGGGCCTCGTCAAGGTCAGGGGAAGGGGCCAGGAGGTGATTCTAAGGGGGAATCCCTTGAGTTTTCAGAGGGGCAGCTTCTCCAGGTAAGCCTCGGGTCAAAGCGCTGGTCAAAGCCAGAAGCGAGTGGCCTGGCAGCCTGGGTGCAGGGACCGTGGAACCCCTCCTGTCTCCCCCGCCCCCTGAAGGCAAGCTGAGCCTGCAGCGGCAGGAGGAGCTGGAGACGGTGTGCGCGAAGCTGCAGCGGCAGGTTGCGGAGATGGAGGTGAGGGAGCGGCGGGCCCAGGGCTGTCTGCCCCCAGACCCAGGGTCAGAGCCCGCTTCTCGGGGGTCTCCTCAGCACACACCCCACACAGGGCCCCTCCCCGCTTCCTTAGTTTCGTCTTGAACCACACTCCTCCGGCCACGGCGGGGCCTGCCTCAGGTTCTGTGGGTCTGTCAAGCTCTTTCCCCCTCAGGACCTTGGTCCAATGCCATTCCTTCCACCTGAAATGGTTTTTTTCCCACCTTTCCCTGGTGAGTTTTCACTCATCCTCTCAAAGTCTCAGGTTGAGGTGGGGGACCCTTCCCTAGGGGACCCCCTTGAACCCTGACCTGGGCAGGTTCTCCCTCCTGGGCTTTCTTAGAACCACACGTCTTCTTCCCTGGGGGACCGCGGACTCCACGAGGGAGGGAGGGAAGGATGATGTTGGGCGCGGCCCGGTGCGGGCCCTGGCCGTGTGTGTTTGCTGTGTTGGTCGTCGCCGTTCCCTGCCTCTGGATGTAGCATTGCACTCACTCGGTGTCACCTGTCTTGCCCCCACTCACATAGCAAGGCTTGAACCGGAGGGACCCTAGGCTCCAAGGAGGGTCCTGGGCACACATGCTTCCTCAGCACCGCCCTCCAACCCCAACTCCCTCACCAGCCCTGTCAGAAGCTCTTCCTGAGGTCTCCTTTCCACAGAGTTGCTCTCCAAAGCCCCAGCCGAACTTAAGAGCCCAGATGCAAACTCCCAAGCCATAGCTGCCGCTGAGGGCCCTTCACACCTGGGTCTCTTCCTACCTGGAGCTGTGGGTGCGCAGCCGCTCCCCGAGCAACCTGCTGGGAGACTGCCTGCAGCCCATGCGGCTTCGCTGAGCCGCCACCATAGGGGTGAGGGCTGCCCGCTCAGGGCAGAGGGCGCTGGGGCTCCCGCCTTCACACTGGTCATGCATCTATTGCTTCCTTAATTTAGGAAACTCATCTGAAGTCTTTCCTATGTGCCCTGCCCTCGTGGGGCTGACAGTCTAGAGGGAACAGACAACATGCATAAGTACATAGGAAGAGAAACAAGTACAGAGTACGCTGAAATAGTTCAAGGGGTGATGCAACAGAGACTCGCCAGGATTTGGGCCACTCTGAGGGGTGACGTTGGACAAGAGATACCGAGGATGAGGGAAAAGAGGATCCAAGATGAACAGAAGAAAGCCTCCACCTCCTCCTGCCATGCCGACTTGGGCTCATGACTGGGAGCTGTGGGGAGCAAAAAAGGGAGGAGGGGGAGAGGCCACAGGGACCACATCCCGCAGCCGGACACAGTGAGGAGCAGAGTCCCGGAGTGTGGGAAACCGTAGGCAGGTTTCAGGGGGAGAAGTGGGCCGGGGAAGGCAGGCGGACATGCAGTTTGGGCGGTCCAGGAGGAAGAGGGCCGTGGCTTGGCCCAGGGGAGAAGGAGCAGAGCAGATGGAGGACTCAAGTTTGCTTTGGCACTGGTGCCACAGGCGTTGGTGGTCCTGGGGGGCAGGCAGGCAGAGGATCAGGTGATGGAGGAAGCCAGCGCCACTGACTGAGAAGGCTGAGAGGGAACGACGTTTGGGAGTCATGACTGGGCCAGTTCATTGAGTCTGAGATGCCTGTAGGAAGTCTTTTCAGTAGCTAGAAACCTGAAACTGCAAAGGAAGAGCATGCAGTGCAGGAGAGGAACAGAAGTGTGCCTGCTGGTTAAGCACTGGGCACGTGGCCGTGTGCAAGGGGCTGCAGTGCGCTGTGGAGCTGGAGGCCCACGGGAGTGGGTGGAGGAGAGGCGTGGGGTTGAGGAAGCAGCACCAGAAGTATGGGCGGCTCGGAAGTCCTCCGGTGGCAAAGGATTGTGAGGCCAGCCCTGGAGAGGCCACACGCAGGTGGGCATACCTCTGCGCCTGCAGAGCGAGGCGTTCCTGCCCCTCCTCACACTCGGGCCAGACCCCCACGGCCCCCCGCAGCCATCGTGGCTGCCTTCAGCAGGTTCCTACTTGTGCCAGGCTCTGTGCTAAGGACATGACATGTCAGTCATCCTCACAAGCTTCATCTGACAACTCCCATTTTACAAGGAGAAGCCTCAGGCTCTAGGAAAAGAAGGGGCCTCCCAAGGCCACAGCCAGGAAGTGGCCCAGAGCCCTGGCCCCATCCCCACACGGTCCCATCGGCTGAGGCCTGAAGTGGGGGGCTGCACGAATGCCACTTGCTCCCTGGGAAGGGGCTGAGCTGACAGCGAGTGTCCCCTGATGCCTCCCGCTTCTCTCCTCCCAGCGGTTCCTCGGTGACTATGGCCTGCAGTGGGTGGGTGAGCCCACAGACCAGGAGGACTCGGAGGATGGTGAGAGGGACTGGATGACGGCCAAGAAGTTCTGGAAGCCAGGTAGAGTCGGGGTCCACCCTGGCCCCTCCTGCAAAGGAAACTCCCAACAGCTCCGGATGGCCCACAGCTGTCCAGACACCAGCTCGTTCACTCCCTGCCTCCCCTGCCTTGCCGCTGTCACAGGGGCAGGAGGGAGAGGCCCCAGCCTCCAACACTGACCACCTAACCCCGGACGCTCTGCTTGCTCAAGTTGCTAAAGGCTCCAGGGACCCCGAGATGCAAAATGTTAGCAAGACCGCCCTTGTCTCAGGCACCATAGTTTACAAAATGTCACCCATTCAAAAGCTGTGGCCCTCCCCCTACTTCGGAAGCTGCCCCTCAATCCAAGGGCTCAGCCACTGCTTTAGACTGCCTCTCCAGGTTCATTTGTAGCAAACCATTGGATTCCACCCACTTCTGTGGGACGCCACCACTTTTTAACTTGACCGCTAATATCCAGAGGGATGTACTCCAGAGATAGGGGGCCATCGAACTGGCTGGGTTCTGAAAGCTTGGTCCATTCTTCCATCATTGCCTGGAAGGTAGTTCTCCAGGCTGTGGAGTTAGTCACAGTTATCCTGGGTGTGACCAGGAGGTGAGTGTGACCACTCACACTGGGTCCTCACCTCCGCCCTCCCACCTAGCCCCGGTGTGATTTGGATACTCGAGTTCCATTCTCTGAGCCTCCAGTTCCTCATCAGTAGATGGGGAAGGGGTAGGGAACCACTACCCACTCCAGCATTCTCGCCTGGGAAATCCCATGGACAGAGGAGCCTGGCAGGCTACAGGACAGAGGAGCCTGGCAGGCTACAGTCCATGGGTTTGCAGAGTCAGACACGACTGAGCGACTTTCACTTTCATTCTTCCCCGTGGAGTTGATTAGGAGCCAGTGAGTTGGACATGGCACCTGGCACTGGCCTTGCAGGTCATCAGTCCACAAATGGGAGCTCTCATTGTTTTCCACCATCAGAAGGCAGTGGCAGTCTCATGGGAGCATGAGCTTGGCTCTCGGGACCATCTGGAAGACAACTGCCCTGTCTTAATTTCATAAGTTTCCTGCTGGGTAAAAAACCCAGGCTGAAAACATGAGCATCCCACCTTCTGCACTTTGGGCAGATCCCCCTAAGTCTCGGGGCAAACCCCCCTCACCCTTTCTGCAAAAGTATCATTTCCCATTTGTACCACATTTACTAATTTAAAGCATTTTTATAAATAGCCTTGACATGGGCCAGGAATGATTCCACTTTACAGATGAGAGAAACGGAGGCATTTAAGTCTGAAGACTGTTGAGGGAAGGGGCAAGACTTAAGGCTGAGAGCCCATTGGGAGGTGGTTACAGACATCCAGGCTGGAAGATAATATGATTGCCCAGCATACAGGTGGGGCTGATGAGGAGGGGCAGAGCAGAGATTTAGGAAGAGTACCCATGGTCTTGACGATTGAATGTACATTGGGGGGGGGGGGGGGGAACCTGGGATGATCCTGGGGAGCATGGCTGTGGGGAAGATGCCCAGTCCATTTGGGACATGGCAAAGGTGGGGGGTTGTGTGGCGCCCAGGCCATGCCAGGAGCTGAACCCTATGCAGAGTGCTGAGTGTCTCCAAGGACCTCTGCCCCATGAGAGGTGAGACCTGGCAGGCAACTGCCAGAAGCTATAAGAATGTCCCTCCCTGGGGTCTAGGACCAAAGGCCTGCCAGCACTGCGCGCGCATACACACAGACACACACACCCCACACACCCCACCCCGTGTGGTGAACCGGCTCAGGCCTCAGGTGGCCCTGCTGACTTGTTGGAGGGCAGATTTCCTCCTGGGCAGTGGGGCCTCCCTGCTCCGCTGGGGAAGAGGTCAGACCAGACAGCTGGTTTCTGGACCTGGCTCTGTGGATTCCAGCCTCTTCCCTCAAAAAGAGAGCAGCCCCCACCTCCCCTGTGTTATTTGTTTTTGCTCCGAGTACGGCTGCTCTGAAGTCACTTGTGAAAGACAGCCGGCCACACGCTCCCCATCTGTGTCCTCTTTCTTCTGCCTTTCGATTCTTCAACAGGGAGGGGCCTCAATTTAGCTCTCTTGCCCGATGAACAACATGTTTCTCATTTCTAGCAGCTTCTTTCCCCAGGGACTGCCCCGGTTTTTTTCCCTTCTTCTCCCCACAGCCTTGTCCCCAGGGGCCAGCTTGCTCCTGCCCCCAGGGCCCTCGGGTCCCTGAAGCTGGTCTCTGGCTGGCCCTGTTGCTCTGGCCCATTTCTTGGGCTATCTGATTCCCTGGAGAAGGAAATGGCAACCCACTCCCGTCTTCTTGCTCGGGGAAATCCCATGGACCGAGAAGCCTGGAGGGCTATAGTCCATGGGGGTCACAAAAGAGTCACATACGACTTAGTGACTAAACAACAGCTGTTGGCTACCACCCCCTGCAGACCCTAAGGCAGCAGGCCAGCTGACAGGTGAGCTGGGGTGTCTGTATTAGGCAAACAGGCTGATCCAAACATTCTAGAGCCTGGGACTCTTGCCTTAGGGAGGACAGTCGATTAGGCCAACGAAGGGCCCAGGGGCTTGAGAGGAAGCCTTGCAGGGGCTTCGCCTCAGGCCAGGTCGTTCACCCTGTCCCACCAGTAAGCTGCGTGGAGGCTGTGCCAGGCGCTGCAGGGTGTGCAGGGACATGAAAGGCACCGTTCAGCTCAGGTCCTAACCACCTTCGAGTCAGGTGCTGTGCCTCAGGGCTGAGAGCTCCGGCCAACTCTTGAGTCCTCACTCCTCTCTCCCCACCCCTCTGAGCGCTTCAGTCCTCCAACCCCTCATCCAGTTCCTGCCCTCCTCCTACCAGCCCCACCTCCCCAACCCTTTTCCCCAAGCCCAGGCTCCTGCATCTCCACTCCAGAAGCCACTCTGCCTCCTCTGTGGGGCTGCAGCCGGCTTCACTCATCCCCCGGCAGCCCTTGAGCCCCTGGAACTGGGTCAGCCTAGACCTCAGGCAGGCTGGCTGCCTCCCACCAGCTCAGGCCTGTGCTGTGACCACCCCCCCACCCCCGCAAGTGCCCTGCCCCCTTTTTCTCCACTCCTTTGAAGCTCAGCTCAAAGCCCACCTGCTCGAGCAAATGTGCATACAGTGCCTGCTTGGCGCCAGGCATGGTGCCGCCCTGCAGCTGCCTGGGCGCGTGGTTTGGGGCCCTGCGTTAGAGTGAAAGCTTTAAAGGCCCTGGCTGAAGAGGGGGGCGTGGGTCAGATTGTACCCTGTGTGGGGAGACCGCTTTCCCCTGTGAGTCCACATCCTGCTCTGTGAAGTGAGGAGATGGCATGATTGACTGCCCCCCCGCCCCAGGCCACGGAGAACCCCACGTGCCCCAGTGTATGTGGAGCGTCCTCTCGGGTCGATGTGCAGGCAGTGACCAGCGACTATGTCCATTTACCACTCTGGCCCTGCTGCGCTCCAGAGCGCCGGCCTGAGGCTCGCTCGACCTAAAGGCCAGGGGCAGGTGCCCATGCAGGTGACGGGCCCATGCAGGGCCTGGGTGCCCTGGCCTGGGTGGTCGGAGCCCCTGCACGGGATGAAGGGGGATGGGCCTGAGCGGTCAGACTCTGCTGAGTCAGGCTGGTTGTGGTTCCAGGGGTGACCAGACTCTGGGGGACTGCTTTCTCCCCGCTGGTTCCTCTGAAGAGCGGAGTAACTAGGCACAGTCCCCAGAGCAGGGCCTGGCTTGCAGGTGTGTGGAAACAGTGGGTTTGCTTCCTGTTCAACCGCCTTCACCTGGGTGCTCAGGGACGGGCCTGCCAGGGTCCCTTGGGCACTGCTGGCATTTCAGGGCAGCCAGCTGGGCCTCCCACGAGGGTGGGCCCCCCCAAGGGGCCAGCCCAGGATGGGCCCACCACTCACCCGTGTGTAGTCGCAGGGTCTAATCCTCCTGTGGGCCCCGCAGCCCCCTTGGTGGCACTTAACCACATGCCACAGGCACCGTTTGTCTCCCTGTCTCCTTCGCTCAAGTCTGAGCCTGAGGAAGGCAGAACCCTGGGCATGGGCACCGCCATGCCGCTCAGGGTGGGCAGAGCATGGCTGCCACGGACACGCTTGCCAGATGGCAGGGTGATGGGTAGAGGAATGGATCCGGTGCTTCTTGAGCAGCCGTCTCTGGGCCAGACTCAGGGCTGGATACGCTTGCCGCTGTAGCTGGGAAGACAGGCGAAATGACAACCTGTGACAAGGACCAAGAGTGGGCCCAAGGGTCCCAGAAGCCCGGGAGGAACGGGGTCCCCAGCTCGGGGTGGGATGAGGGGCTCCTGACAGGGGCCTATGCTCAGAGGTGGTGAGAGAGCGCCCCAAACCCTGCGATGAGCGAGGGCGGGCTGTGAGTGACGCAGTGGCTCTGTCTGCCCGGCTCTTCCTGCGAGCCTCCCAGCAACCCTGTGAAGTGGGGCCTGTGAGTGCCCTCAGCCTGTAGAAGAGGAAGCTGAGGCCCAGAGACGTTGGCCCATGTGCCCAGGGTCCCTCAGCTGGGGACTGGTAGCCCTGCTCGTACGGCTTCAGAGTGTGAGCCCGGAGAGCCTGCAGATGGCAGATGCAGAGCTGGGGCTCTGAGGCTCTGGGAAGCTGGGCCCGGGGAGCTTGGGCTCCATCTCCGAGCCTCAGCACTCCCCTCCGGAAGTAAAATCATGGGCCCTCACAAGTTGGATGAGGGTCTCCCTGCGCTGTGCCCCTCCTTGGGAAGGACCCTCCCCTCCCCCCCATAAGCAGAATCTGAAGATCCAGCACTGAGAGGCAGCCTGCGTGGCCACTGAGGCCAGAGGCCGAGGGTCCCCTGGGCCCTGCACACGGTGTGACCCAGGGCGTGTCACCTCCTCAGGCCTGGAAGTAGGAAGGCCTGCCTCTCGGTGCTCGGCATGGCACGTAGTCTAGTGAAAAGTGAAAGTGAAGTCGCTCAGTCCTGTCCAACTCTTTGCGACCCCATGGACTGTAGCCTACCAGGTTCCACTGTCCATGGGATTTTCCAGGCAAGGATACTGGAGTGGGTTGCCATTTCCTTCTCCAGGAGATCTTCCCAACCCAGGGATTGAACCCGGGTCTCCCGCACTGTAGGCAGACACTTTAACGTCTGAGCCACCAGGACAGCCCCTCTCCCCAACTCCCTGGAGAAGCACAGCTCAGAGAGGAAGTGCCCCACTTGACCTCTGTCTGACCTGCCTCATCCCATGTGACTTGGCTGCCAGGTTGCTGGGGGGTGTGGGATCCCCCCCTGCTTCTGTTGAGCACTGCCTGCTGTAAGAGGGTGATGCCTAGCTCTTCCTGCCTTATTCTTTTGGCCCTGGTTTGTCCAGAGCTGCGTTTCTTTCTCTGGGGCGCCTTGTCTCACTTCTGCGGCATCTGATACCTGCCAGGCCACCCTGCTTTCACTTCTCCGTCCTGGCTGGGAGAGATTTCCTTGGCGAACTGTTCTTTTCCCTTTTGTTGCTTCTGGGCGTCCTCCCCTGGCCTTCTGCCTGTGCCTTCCCCCTGTTGACCCATCAGCTCCCTGAAAGAGCCCAGGCCCCAGGAGGCGGCGGCTCTTGGCTCTACTCTGCGTGGCCTCCTCTGGCAAAGTCACGTGACTTCCTGGGCCTCGCTTTCCCATCTGTAAGAAGCTAGGGACGGGGCAGGCGTGGAAAGTGATGAGCTTCTCTGTTGTTATTTTTGGGTTTACCGAGACGTCCTGAAAGTAGTTAGTTGTTAAAGGAAAATAGTATCTTGATGTCGTTTTGACTCATACGACGGATACCCAGGATGTTGTCTGAGTTTTTCTGGGAATCTCAGGGACCCCAGGGGACCCTAGGAGAGGGCGGGGCAGGTGCAGCCCCTACAGCAGTAGAAGGTGCAGACAGATGAGAGGGGAAGGCCAGCTGGGGCCTACCGTTTCAGCAGCCACAAAGGCAACAGGAAGTAGGGCCACCCACATCTGCACTTCCCCCATACAGCCACTGCACCTCTCTGGGGAAGGAACTGGGTCCCCAGAATCCTGACCCACATCCTGCCACACCCTGGCTGTCGTGGTGAAAAACAGCTTCCAAGAAGGACCAGAAAGCCCACCGGTGTTTGTTTGTTTTCATTTGTTTGCTTTTGGCTGCACTGTGTGGCAGGCATGTGGGATCTTAGTTTCCCTAGCAGGAATCGAACTCGCGCCCCCTGTATTGGAAGCCCAGAGTCTTACTCACTGGACTGCCAGGGCAGTCCCCAGTCACCCTTATCTTGTAGCCTTGCCACCCTAGTAGATGACTGACTTGGGGGCTAGATCCCTTCAAAGACAGAACAGGCTCCTGGCCTGCCCCCACCAGCATCCCGCCTGCCCTGTCCCCCTTTCTGCGCTGGTACGTGTCCTCACTGTGCCCACCACCCCACCTGCACCCCCATGAAGCTTAGGAACAGCTATATGGAGAACCTACTTCAGAAGCAGAGGCCAAAGCTGGCAGCTTGTCAAAGGGCTCTGTGACTCAAGAAATACATGTCCAACCCAAGGTCTGTCCCATGTTCATTCTGGGCAGTGGCTGTCCTGACCCTCACCTCCCTTTCCTGATGGCGCAGATGGGTGGGAAAAACAGACTCCAGGTCAACCGCTTCTTCTAACTTGCCAAGTGGCCTGGGGCAAGTCACTTTTTGTCTCTGTGGGCCTGTTTCGTCATGTGGAAAATGGAGATAAATAACCCCTGCCCTGTAGCCTCTGGCCTGGCCTGAGGTCCGTTTGTGCACTGTAGACTTGCTCACAGTAGCTGACACAGACACATGCTCATTGGAATCCTGACATGGTCCTCTTGGATCCTCATAGCCATCCTCGTACTGTTATCATTCCCTTCCAGAAGAGTATGCTCTGTTGCAGAGCGGTAAAATGACTTGACCAGGGTGAAGGGAGAAGGGGAAGAGCTGGATTTGAGCTCAGACTTCTGGGAACCCTGCACTGTGCCTTTCAGCTTCTAACCCCGCGCCTGGCACATCTGTCCCGGGATCAAGCCTGCTCCTACCACTTACTATGTGTGTCCCTAGGCCAGCCTTTAATCTCTAGCCCTTCGTTTCCTAATATGGAAAATGGGGGCGTTTATAGTCCCTACAGCATAGGGTTGGTATGAAGAGAGAACCAGGTAATGGATGGTAAACTCCTAGCACAAAGCAGATACCCACTGAAAGACAGCTAATAGTATTATCTAGGTCAGCTGTCCTTCTCCCTCCCCAGGGGGGTCACTTAAAGAGATGCTAAGTCCCCTGCCCAGCGTGGGAAGGGGCCATGGAACCAGGGCTCCGGAGCACACAGCAGCCCCGAAGAGAGGCTCATGGGTGTCTATCCGCTTTGCCAGGGGACTCGTTGGTTCCCCCCGAGGTGGACTTTGACAGGCTGCTGGCCAGCCTGAAGGATCTCAGCGAGCTGGTGGAAGACACCGACACCCAGTTGATGCCGGTGCCCGACAGAGTGCCGCACCGGACCCTTGAACCCATCCCACTGAGGCTCTACCGGAACGGCATCGTGATGTTCGACGGGCCCTTCAGGCCCTTCCACGATCCCTCCACACAGGTAGGAGTGACAGGGAGGGGGAGACGGGCCCAATCACCCTCAAGCTGCTCTGGTGGCCGACCCCCTGCTCACCATTAAACGGGCCCAGCTCTCCCCCAGCATCCCAGACTCGCGCGCAGCCTTCAGAAGCACCCCTACCGGCCCAGGCCCTGGGGCTCTACTCCCAGAGTAGGACCCACAGAGGGAGCCCGGCCCCCGTAGCCTGCCATCCAGACGGGAGGCAGGGTGCAGGGCACCGCGCAGTCTAGCCCAGGCCTCGTCCTACCTCTCCCCACAGCGCTGCCTCCGAGACATACTGGATGGCTTTTTCCCCTCAGAGCTCCAGCGCCTATACCCTGATGGCGTCCCCTTTAAGGTGATGGGCTCCCAGAACCACTCCCTCCCTCCCAGTCTGGGGGTTTTGCAGGGGGGGTGGGATTGCTTTCTCAGGCCTCATCTGGAGGCGCTGCCCCACCTCAGGGGATCCCCCTTCTCCTCCCACTGTCTGATGACCTCCGAAAGGAGAGGGCACCTGAAACCAGGCTGGGAAGGGAGCTGGGAGGCTGTGGTGACCCTCGGGGCTCCAGCGGCAGCAGCAGCCCGAGGGAAGGCTGGTGGCTGAGTGGCAGGCAGCGCCCCCTGCTGGCTGCCTCAGAGCCCAGCCTTCCGCTGCCTAGGACCCTCCTCCCCCGCGTCCAGGACGCCAGGACCAACTGGGGACCGCGAAGCGTCCGTGCAAAAGCGACCTGGCTCCCCCCCGGGGCTCCTGGCACCTCTTGGTTGGGGTGGAAAGCAGTGCCTTGGGAGGAGGCAGATGTTGGGACTAAAGAACTTGAGGTGCAGCCAGCCCCCTGCTATGGGGGCAGTGGGCGGCGAGATGAGGGTGACTGGACCACCCTGAGGGCGTGTCCCCGAGGGTGGTGCGTTAGTTCCACAATGCGAGCATGTGAGGGAGCGCGTGCCAGCCCAGCTTGGAAACTACCGTGAGTCATGACCGGGGGTGTTCGAGGCAGTCCATGCCAAGCCAGGCTTTACCCTCTCCTAAACACCTGCATCCCTCCCCTGCTCTGGGAGGGGGATGTCAGTACTGTGACTCCAGCTGGCGTGATGAGGGGAGCTTGCAGGGAGCACAGGATCAGGTGGGTGAGAGCAGCACAAATGGCAGTTCTCCTGCTCTCTCCCAGGGCCTCAGTTTCCTCATCTGTAAAATGGGGATTGGGCCAGGCCACCCTGCGGGCCTATTCCTGAGGCCTCTGTTTGGGCACGGAGGGGTGGGGATGAAGCCCAGGGCTGAAGAGCTGTGCCTGCTGCTGTCTCCCTTCCTTCTTGCCAGGTGAGTGACCTGCGCAGTCAGGTCTACCCAGAGAATGGGCTGGACCCGTTCCCAGGTGAGGGCCGTGTGGTAGGCCTGCAGAGGATTCGAAAACCCTTGGACAGCATGGAGCATCCAGGTGAGCTCAGCCCGGCGGCTGGGCCAGGTGATGGGAGTGCTGTGCCCGACAAGTTCCAGGTAGGCCGCCTCCACTATCACTCCAGTCCCTGCCCAACCAAGGCTCCCCGATGCCTTCCCTACAGGCTCCAGGATGACTGCCGAGAAGTTTCTGAACAGGCTCCCCAAATTTGTGATCCGACAAGGCGAGGTGATTGACATTCGGGGCCCGATCCGGGACACCCTGCAGGTGAGCCCAGCCCTGGCTCCCCTGGCCTTACTGTGTGTGTGTGTGTGTGTTTGTGTGTGTGTGTGGTTGCCATCAACCCTCGCCCAGCCGACCAGAGCAGTGGTTAATCTGGAGGCTCAGGCTTGGGGGCCCCTCAGGATGGCCTGCACGGAGAGATGAGCCCCTCACAGCCAGCTGTCCCTCTGTCGCCTGGAAATGATGGAGCTGCTGAGGGCTCTGAGTGGGGACCAGAGAGCATCTGGCACAACACGGGAGCGGGAGCTGTTAAGAGCGGGCAGGTCAGGGGACTCTAGGTTGGGGGTGAGCCCAAGTCCAGGCCATCCCCTCGAGGTTCAGTCTGAAACACACCTTCCTGGGCTTCACAGAACTCACCATGCCCTCTTCTCACTCCCCGTCCTGCTGCTCCTCCCTCCTCTCCCCCTGTGAAAAGTACCAAACCTGCTTCCACCCCCTACTCTGCCTTCACCACACATGGCCAAGTCCTGCCAGATCTGTCGATCCCCAGAACTGTTCCCAAATCCATCTCTTCTCTCCATTTCTGTCCCTGCCAACCTAGCCCAGGCTCCCGTGTCTCCCAGACAAAACTGTAGTGGCCCCCTCACTGACCTCATCTCCACTCCCACCCTGCCAGCCATCCTTCCCCAGCAGCCTGGGTGCCCTTTTAAAAATGCAAATTGGATTTTGGCTCTTCCCTGTTGAAACTCTCCAGTGGTTCCTAGGTAAAGCCTGTCATTCCTTCCTGGTCCTCTTCCCATCTTTTACCTTTTCTTTCTTCCCAGTTCAGCCTGATCCCCATGAACTAAGAAAGAAAGAAAGTGAAGTCGCTCAGTCGTGTCCAACTCTTTGCGACCCCATGGATTGTAGCCTACCAGGCTCCTCCATCCATGGGATTTTCCAGACTCTCAAATATATCACCTCTTCTCAGAATCCTTTTCTCATCTATGCTATCTGGGATATCCTTGTCCCCTCTCCTTCCATTTCTAAGAACTCCTCTTCATCCTTCAGTCAGCTCAGGTGTCATTTCCCTAGGGAAATGTTGGGTTAGGCATCCAGCCTGGTCGCTGTCTGTCGGATTCTGTCTTCCCCACTAGAATGAGGGAATGATGGAGCCACCTCCCCAAGCTTCCCTTCTGTTTCCTCTCCTTGGGCCCTGGTTTACACACTGGGCCCCTTTTGGCTCACTGGTCTCATCCATCCCTGGGCAGGGAGACGTCGCCTGTAGGGGCTGGGGGAGGCCCTGACTCTGGCAGGGCCCAGGGCTCTGTCGACTCCATCAATGCTTTCCAGAACTGCTGCCCGTTGCCTGTCCGGATCCAGGAGATTGTGGTGGAGACGCCTGCCTTGGCTGCTGAGCGTGCGAGGTGAGGGCTGAGTGGAGAGGTGAGGACGCTGGGCGTGGGTTCCTCGGGGGAGCACTGACGGCCTCTGGGTCCACAGGAGCCGGGAGTCTCCGGAGTCGCCGGCGCCCCAGCTCTCCATGCTGCGCATCAGGTCTGAGAACGGCGAGCAGGCTTTCCTGCTGATGATGCGGCCGGAAGACAGGGTCGGCGATGTGCGCGCCCTGCTTGCACAGGCCAGGTGGGCGCGGGGCGCGGCTGGCGACCACAGTGGGGCTCAAGCGCCAGACCCAGCCTGATCCGTGCTTCCCTGTCCCCAGGGCCATGGAGCCCACCACCTTCGAGATCTTCAGTACGTTCCCTCCCACAGTCTACAACGACGACGCGCTCACACTGCAGGCCGCGGGCCTAGTGCCCAACGCCACGCTACTGCTTCGGGTGCGCCGGGCCTCGCTGCCCGCCCCCGGCCCCAAATAAACCGCCCGCCCGCCCCACACCGGCTGCTCCGCGAGGCTCTCTTGGCGGGGCAGCCCCGCTGCGCTAGCTCTGTAGAGGGGAGGGGGCGGCGCCACCCGCCCCTCCGTAACCCGAGCCCCAGCTGGCGGGCCTGGCCCTGGGTCTTTGTCCCGTAGGTTCCTCTTTCTGCCCGGAGGGCTAAGCTGCTCCAGGGGAGGGAGGGCCCGGGCCCGCCCCAGCCCAGCGCCTCCTGGGCCAGCGTGCAGCCAGGACACTCAACACTGCACCAGAGCCACTGCCCCCGCCCTGGCAGAACTGCACCCGGGCACCCACTTCCACGACACCCCCACACCGAGCTGAGCTGCCGGGACACCGGCAGGAGGGCACAGGGCACTGCCCTGTTACTGACTGGCGTGCAAACGTGCAGTGCACACCAGGCCACAAGCGTGTCATGGACACCACCACATGCACGCGCGCTGCAGGCTGACCCACCCCCATATCTCTAGAAACTGACGGTCCAACACAATTGTGTGTGTGTGTGTGTGTGCTGGGCATATATCCAAACACATGCACTGTCACACAACAAAGGTGCCACACAGGACTGCGAGTCGACCTGCCCGCTGAGCACAGCCTCAGCACAATCACATCTACCACCAGCTTTGCTCAGAGCCGGGACCTGGGAGGCCCAGGCCACACCAGACAGACACGGTGCCAATGGAATGGAACATTTAATTGTTTCTGTGGTGCTCCCGGATGGGGATTGCGGGGCCTTTGGCAGAGCTCTGGCTAATGGAATCAACAAAGGTGCCCATCAGCCAGTGCCAGGCAGGGTGGCAGCCTCAGGACCGAGCTGAGGACAACCAGCACTTGGGCTGTTGCTTAAGACAATTTCTGAGACTGGTGGGTGAGGAATGTTGCTGCTGAATGGAGGAGAGGGGCCTTACAGTTAGGGGAGGAGAGGGGGTCTTGGGTTGAGGGGAGGGGCTCCCCGTTCAGAAGGTTAGGAATAACAGGGAGTTGGTCACAAGGTCCTTCATGGCCGGGGTGATGGCTGGGGGGGGGGTAGTGATGACGAAGTCCAGCGGGGAGGACTTGGCTCAGGCCAGTTTCAGGAACTCCTGCAGTGTGTTCTGCTCCACAGCCTCCACGAAGAGCTCATAGTCCTAGGGGAGGGGAAGAGAAGCGTTCACCAGCGTGCTGGTGTTCTGTCTCAGGTCTGACTCCAGCTGGTGCCCTCCTGTAATGCTCCCTCCACCCCCACCCCCGAGGCCCATACCCCACAGTACTGGTCCCCGTTGACAATCTGGGGTGGGGTGGCCTTGGGGTTGCCGGCCAAGGCTCGCATCTCGTCCCGCAGGGCGTTGTCCTGGGAGATGTCCACTAGCTGGTACTGGATGCGCTTCCCATCCAGGATGCGGGTCACCTCACTCTGCTGGGACTTGATCTGGGAGCAGAGGGCGGGTAGGGGTTAGCAAGCAGCCTGGAAGGTTTAGGGGGAGAACCCTGGGCAGAGACAAAGGGGCTGTGGCCAGAAGCTTTGGTCCCCCTGTCCCCTTCCACACCCTAGAGGAGAGTTCTGGCCACAGGGAGTTGGGAAGATGAGTCAGGCTTGTGGTGGTGTGGGAGAAGAGAGGGACCACCAACCGCGTCAGGGTGAAGGTGAGAGAAATTCAGGGTGGGGAGAGCCAGGAGCTCAGCAAGGGGAAAGCAGGGCAGGCCTGGGTGGAGGCTGGTAAGGGGCCACCCCCGCCCCAAGCACTGACCCAGTGGCGAGAGGAAGGGCCAGATAAGGACAGGGTCAAGGACTGGCCTCGTAGTGGGGGTGCGGAGGACCCAGGATGCCCTCAGGACATGTTCAAGGCTCAGGATGGGGCTGAAGAACCTGCCCCCAGCCCAACTCCAGAGGCCATGCCCAGCACCTCGGCGCCCCCACCCTGGGGGCGGGTCCCAGGCGCCGGGTCCAGAGCCCCGGAACCGCCGCCCGCGCTCTAGCCCAGGGCGCGCACTCACTTCGCGGGAGCCGGTGACCGACGTGCTGTAGACGCGCAGGCCGCTCATGCTGCGGGTGGACCAACGGGAGGACAGGCAGACAGACGGCGGAGGCAGCAGCTGCACGGCCTAGAGACGAGGCCGCCGCGCTCGGGAGCGGTTTCCTTCCTGCTCAGCCCGCGAGTCACCGCTCTCGGGACCAATGGGCGGCGCGGACCGGCGCGCGGCCGGGGCGGGGCCTGCGCGACCCCGCCCCGCGCACCACCGGGCCCCCTCCCCTCCCCCTTGGGGACTGGGCGCGCCGGGGACCCGCGTCCCACGCAGGGCCGCCCCTTTCAGCCCTCCCCGGCCTGGGGCTCGCAGTGTGAGGCCAGGGAGCGATCTGATGGAAAGGGCGGGGGCAGGGGCTTGGCAGAGGCCGCCTCAGCCTCGCCCAGGTTTGTTGCACCCAACTGGTTGCCCTCCCCCGGGTGCCACGACTCCGCTGCTCAGCTCCGGGCTTTGAAGGCTCGAGCTGTTCTCAGTTCCCCGCCTGGGGAACCTGGTTCCAGTCGAGCATTGTCCTGGGGGCCACCCACACATAGCTAACCCCGCGGGGCACGCCACGGCAGTGACAACCCCTCGCTGCGAGTTTTCCCCAGAGCTTCTCTCCGCTCAGATAGGCAGGTTCAGACAAGTAAGGGTGGTGGCCGAGACAGAGCCACGTCCTCAAAGAGCCAAATGGGGGCCAAGGTGAGAAAGGCTTCTAGCTCTGGACCCGGTGGAGGCAGAGGCTGGCAGCAGGGTTCCCGAGTCTGGCTGGGCCCTTGTTAAAAATCCACAGCTGGTCTTGGGGTGGCCCCAGCCCCACCCAACTTCATGCTGCAGATGGCCCTCCAAAACTCCTACTTCCAGCAAAATGCAGGGAGTACAGAGGCAGCAGCCAGCCCAACTCTGGAGACTCAGCCATCTGTGTGGGGTGGGACATGACACCCCTCAGAAGTCTTCCCAGGCCCAGAGCCCCAAGAATAACCCAGGAAGACAAGCCTAGCTCCTGGAGGCAAACACTGCCCTGCCTGGCTCTGGGGAAGCCACCTCCCTGCAGCAACCCACAGGCAGCAGACTTCCTTGTCTGGATTACTGAAACTCTATGACAAACTTGCTTTATGACTCAGGGCAGCATCACCCAATAGAAAGTGCTGTGGGAAGAGATCTTATCTGTCTCCACAGACACAGGAGCAGAAGTGGTAGAGATACAAACGAGGCTGGACCTGCCAAAGTTCCCTCTTTGCTTCTGTTTGGAGAACTTGGCTAAACACCCAGGCTTTGGCCCCAAGAAGCCAAAATGAGGGGTGGAGTATGAGATGATGGCGATGGAAGGCAATGGAAAACTGAGGAGTTTGTTAAATTTTTATTTTGTAAACAAAATAGGCAATACAAACCAGTTGACATAACAAGGATTCATATAAATAACTGCTTATAAACTTTATGAGGAAAAATACCCGTGAGCATGGTGGCTGGGCTCCCAATTCAGGGTGGAGACCAACCGAGCAGCTCCGCTTTTAGCAGGCAGGAGCCCAGAGGCTGGGGGGACAGCTGGGTGGGGATGCTCTGAATGGAGGGTTAAGTCACTCCATAAAGAAAACACCAACTTGTAAAAACACTTAAGAAGGACTCTCATTCAGGCCTGGGAGTGAGGTCCAGGATGCTGCCCTGCTAGCCCAAAGCTTAGCAACAATCTCCCAGTGGCTGGCTCTGAACTCCTGAACTGCTCAGGACTCCCTCCTCACACGGCCCTGGCTTGGCCTGGCTCCAGATCTAGAGGCAACCTTGAGCTGGCCCAAGTACCAGACACACACAACTACAAGTTGCTCTCTCAAGAGAGGCAAGAGAAACCAGAAAGCAGAGGTCCAAAGGCCCCAGAGAAACAACTAAACACAAAACGCTATACCTTGAAGCTGACCTGTACTGGCTACTCTCAAGGAGCCCAGAGCAGGAAAGGGAAAGGACCTCCATCCCCAAACACAAGAGAGGCACAAATCAGAAGGCCAGGTGCTGCCCCAGCCTTGGGGGAAGGGGGTGAGCAGCTTGACAGTTGCCCTGCGGTATCCCAGGGGAAAATCTTGCCCAAACCCAGAAGCACAGAGAAGAGTTTGCGCTGAAAGCCCACGAAGGGGCTGCCTGGCCAGCCCGAGAACACAGGACAGGGGGCTGTGCTGACTACATGGCCGGGCCAAGGGGCACGGCGCAGCTCCAGCGGGGCTCCTGTAAACAGGCATGGTAGCACAGATGGAGGAGCCCTGGGTATAATCCCTGGGCCCCCAATCCTAGCAAATACTTTGCTAATGAACAGATCACCCTGAGGCATCAGTGAGAACAAGAGCCCTGAGGAAGGAGGAGTGGGCCTGGGCCTAGGAAAGTCCAGAGCCAGCTCAGGCCCAGGAAGGCTGGCAGAGGGCCGGAGGATTCTCAAGTGGCTACTGTTACTAGTACTCAGCCTTTCCTGGCCCTTCTAAGGAACTTTGGGCATCAGCACGACCAAGGTACAGAGTGGGAATGAATGTGGATCCATCCCAAAGGATGGGGAAGGGAGTTAAGCAGCCTGTTTGCCTTTGACATCAGCTTGCTACTGGGAACAGTCTGTGAGGATTTACCTGCAAGTTAATTAGTAACTCACCCTAAAAGAGTGAATCAGGATGACAGGATAAATGCAACCCAACAAGGCAAAGCCAGAGTTGGGCAAGACAAACAAAATTCTCTCATCGGCCCTTGGCCCCACATGCAGGCTCATACCTCCTCCCTCCCACCCCTTCTTTCTGGAAATAGCAGCAGATAGGAGGCAAGAGATTGTCAGGGCAGGACCTGCTGGACGGTGCTCTCAGCAGACCAGATTCTCCCTGGGGGAACACAGCTTGTCCAGCCCCAGCACTCCTCATTGCGTGACACAGTTTTCTCCCATGTCCTGGGCATATCTGTCTGACATGGTGGTCCTTAAGTCCTCGATGTCACGGCGCAGCTGCTGAACCTCTTCCAGTTTCCTCCTGATCACATCTGGCTTCTGAAAATCTAGCTGAGTCCCTGGGTGCTGTGCAGCTGGGGAAGAGAAGAACATTTTGACGGAATATTAATAAGAACATTTTGACGGAATATTAATAAGTCAAAAGATACTTCCATGTGGAGGGGGTAGTGTGGACAGGCACTACCCTAAGGCCTGTGGTCTTGGAACATGGCACTTTTTACAAAACAGCTGGGGATAATGGGCTAAAAATCCTGCTGCCTAAGGGCCACTTTTTTATTTGTCCAACACTCAGGTACCCATAAGGATGCCTGCTTCCAGAACAGAGTTACTGAACATCTAACTGGGAAAGGTAGATAGGGGTGAGAGAAGCATGAAAGCCACTATCTCCTAGGTCCCAGACTGGTCTAAGGACTCACAGTGAATGCCCAGGAGCAGGGAGAGATTGGGATCGTGGCCCTGGGCCCTCTGGGTCACAATGCTACAGACAGCCTGCAGATCTTGAAGACAACTGGCCAATTCCTGGTGCAGCTCAAATGCCAGCTGGGCTGTGTCTGATGAAGATAGGGACCCTGATTGGGCCTGTCGCAGGTGTTCCTGGAGCGTCAGATTCTTCTCAATGAGGTCCTGGTTCTGTACTGAAAGCTGAGCAGATAGATAGGTGAGCACGTTAACTCAGGCCCAGGGAGAAGCAGAGTAACTGCACACGAATGTGGCTATACGTATATGGTATGTCAAGGCGAAGCTATGAGTCAAAGGCAATGCTCCCCCCTCCCCACTCCTACCAACAGGCTTTGCGTTGCCGCCTCCCCCATCATATCAGGCTGGGCTTCTCCTGCAGGTAGTTGGGCCCACAGGACCGCAGCACTGGGGAGGAGGCTGCACCCCAGCAGACTGAGTCAGTAGCCTCCAGGTTTCTTTCTGTTCAGGAACCAGAGAAGATACTCCTGCTCCTCGGAACTCTTATCTGAAGCCAGTCCCTCAGCCAACTCTGTTAGCCAGGCTATTAGAGAAGGCTTAACGTGAACTGTGAAATCTGAGGAGACACTGGTTTCAATCTCTCCCTGCCACCCTGACAAAAGTGGCCATCAGCCAGCTTGATCAGTGTGTGTCAGAGGAATAAAGTGGGCAAGAAAGGCAACATGACAGCTAGTGGCCACTGGGTAGGTGAAGGTTAGGGGGCTAAAGAAGCTGCTGACCTGGAGGACACAGTGCTGAAATGTGTCCTGCCTTTTCAGTCCTTCACCTCGGTGGAGTCAGGCTTCACTACAGAGACCAGCTCATTCACGTATATCTGTGTCTCTTTCTCTCCCTTTCCCACAACATCCTTAACACACTCTCCTTCCCTTCCTACCACTATTCTGTTTTAAAGACAAGGAACAGAGTTCCTCCACTAGTCCCAACCCTTCACCCACACTGGCCATATGACCATCTTTGCTCTGGGAGACTCCTTCCTCAGCACTTGGCCAGTGACCTTGACCGCCCCCTGCTGACAGCTCTGTTTACTCCAGGAGGATCACCAAACCTTCAGTCTTCTTGAACCCTTCATCCCCAATCCTACAAACCCATCACAGCAAGAAGACAAAATAAGAGAGAATGATTTTCCATATCCAAAAAGCATTACTGGATAATTACGGCCAAAGATAGGCTTAGGACCTTTAATATAAAGAATGATACCTTTAATATAAAGGATGATGCAATGTTCCTTCTTATTCCTCCAAAAAACCTTAGTAGAGACCTCCTAAAATGTGGGGGCTCTTGTGGGAGTAGGGATGGGTAGAGTACACAGAGAAATGAGGTTTGTAAAGACAATACCAAGAGGCCTGGTGCTGCTCACCTCTTTCACAGCTGTGTGCAGCTGCTGCAGGGCTGTCTCCCTCCTTTGGGCCTCCTCTTTCAGGGTCTGGCTTGTTTCTTCTTCTTGAGCCACTTCCTGCTCTAGGCTCTGAATCCCATGGCAAGGAGGGTGGGAGAACACATCAGAGGTAACAAGTCTAGGTCAGACCACATTGCCTCTGGTCTAGACTACATAATAGTAAAGCCCCACCCTGCCCACGCACTGCTGCTAAGAGATTATTTTAGAACAACCCTGATCTGTGACTTTCCATCAAAACCCTTCTTGAGCCCCTGACCATGTACCAGCCAAGGTCAGGCTCCTCAGAAGAGCATTCTATTACAGGTCAGCCTGGCCTTCACCTATTTCTCTATCTTTACCTCTTTTAACCCGCCACAGAGCCTCCACTCTAGTCACACGGACTGACTACTGGCCTTCATCCCCAAAGCTTCCAGCGCCAATACTGTTGCTCACTTCTCTTCGCTTTTGCCCAGAATGCCCTTCTGCTCTGCCAGTCACCTGGAAACTTCCCACCTCAACCTTCCTTCATCTGCAAATCAGATTCAATTAATCCCAACCTTGCCCTGCTACTAATACTCATGGCTCATGAGTACATTTGTTGGCTGTGCATTTGATTCCTCTCTCTATTAGACTGTAACTTTCTAGAGGGCAAGGAATATCTATTCAGTTGAGTTCAATTATTTATTGAGCACTTACTACTGACAGGCACTAGGGATACAGAAAATAATACCAAACATTTCCCGTCTTCGAGGAGCTCACAGCCAAATGCCCTTGACAATTGTTGTTGTTTAGTCACCAAGATGTGTCCCACTCTTTTGCCAGCCCATGGACTGTAGTCTACTAGGCGCCTCTGTCCATGAGATTTCCCAGGCAAGAATATTGGAGTGGGTTGCCATTTCCTTCTCCAGGGCATATTCCCAAACCAGCGATCGAACCTGCGTCTCCTGCATTGGCAGGCAGATTCTTTACCACTGAGCTGCCAGGAAAGCACTGTATATTAAATGCTTTTGACAGAGATGAGAAGTAGAGGGCACTCTCTCAGTCATCTAATCTAGCTATGTATATGTGTGTGTCTGTGTATAGGGGTGGTCAGGGTCAGGAGAGGGAGGTATATAGACTTGTTATCTTTTGCCTCTCATTCTGTTCATTCCAATTTCCCTCTGGTTTTGAAACTGATTTGGACAAATAAGTATAAATAATATTTCTGAGCTTTTCCATTTTGTTTTAATAAAAAATTAAACAGCCAAGGAGAATGTCTCACCACCACGAAAGACCCAAGGTGACCATTTTGAACACACCTAATTCTACCAAATTCACCTGACATTTGTCTGAGAAGTCTCACCATGGGTAAATATACATTTAAAATGTTGTGGAGGGCTTCCCTGGTGATCCAGTGGCTGAGGATCCACCTTGCAATGCAGGGGACACCGGTTCGATCCCTGGTCTGGGAAGATCCCACATGCCTTGGGGCAGGTGAGCAAGCCCCTGCACCACAACTAATGAAGCCTGCGCACCCTAGAGCCTGTGCTTTGCAACAAGAGGGGCCACTGCAATGTGAAGTGTGCACACTGCAGCTAGAGGGCGGCAACCAGTTGCTCCAACTAGGGAAGGCCCTCTCAATGCAACAAGGACCTAGCACAGTCAAAAATAAATAAGTATTTTAAAAATAAATAAATAAAATGTTGTCAAGAGTTCCAGGAAACATATTTTGAGATCCATTAAAAACTACTAAAAGCCTCGGATTTTAAATGGATGTAGGGAATTCCCTGACTGTCCAGTGGTTAGGACTCCCTGCTTTCACTTCCAAGGGCCCACGTTCATCTCTGACAGAGAATTAAGATCCTGCAAACTGCACAGTGATAGCAAAATAATAATAGTAATAAAATAAATGGATGTAAACACTTGCTGCTGCTGCTAAGTCGCTTCAGTCGTGTCCAACTCTGTGCGACCCCATAGACGGCAGCCCACCAGGCTCCCCCGTCCCTGGGATACACCAGGCAAGAACACTGGAGTGGGTTGCCATTTCCTTCTCCAATGCATGAAAGGAAAAGTGAAAGTGAAGTCGCTCACTCGTGTCCGACTCTTAGCGACCCCATGGACTGCAGCCCACCAGGCTCCTCCGTCCATAGGATTTTCCAGGCAAGAGTACTGGAGTGGGTTGCCATTGCCTTCTCCAGTAAACACTCACTAGGTTTGACTCTCTTTAGAGGATTTGAAATCTGTGAACTAAATAGACCCACATGATGGCAATGGTAGGACTGAGCTTTCAGCTGTTCCTTGGTGAAGTGCATTTCACCTGTTTTGGTGTGAAAACCTCTTTAAGGATCCAAAAAGAACCTGTACCTAGGATTTCTTGGAGAACCCAGTTAAGGAAACTCCCACTCTGGTCCAAAATAGAAACCAGGAGTTGTCTTTAATTTCTGCAACAGACCTGCCCTCCAGCCTTGCCTCTCTCCAACTGCCAATCTTCTTCCACACAAGTCTGAGCTGCAAACCTGACTACATCACACCCCAACAAAATGCTTCGGTAGATTCCCATCACCTACCTAAAGAATAAAAGCTAACTTCACTGGACAGTCCATAGCCCAGTTCTCCATCTGCCACCTTAATCAACACTAGCAAACGACTTGCAGTTCCATGCATAAACCCTGCTGTCACATGCCTTGGTGTTCCTACCCATGCTGTTCCTTCTATCAGAATTTCAATACCCTCCTATGCTAGCCTCCTCATTGCCTGGCTAACTCCTCCTCCTTCTTCAAGGCTCATGGTCTCCAGAAACTCTTCCCTGATCTCCCTGCTTTCAATCACTCGTTGATGCTCCCCCAGGGGAATATGGATGCTCTCACTGCACTGTGCTGAATGAAACCCCTTCCCAACAAGACTGTAGGCCACAAGCACTGATTTGGTCTCATGCCTGTACTCCTGGATGCGTGCTAAGTCACTTCAATTGGGTCTGACTCTTTGCAATTCTATGGACCACAGCCTGCCAGGCTCCCCTGTCCATGTGATTCTCCAGACAAGAAGACTGGAGTGTGCTGCCAGGCCCTCCTCCAGGGGATCTTAATCACCCAGGAATCAAACCTGTGTCTTACATCTCTTGCACTGGCAGGCAGGTTCTTTACCACTAGCACCACCTGAGAAGCCCTAAGCTGGTACTCTTAACACTGAGCAAATCGCATGGCAAAGAACAGGATTGGTTGAATTCTATAAATTCCATCAAGTCCTGCCCATCATGTCCCAAGGATTCCAGCTCACCTGTACTTGTGAGTGCAACTGATCAATCTTCTGCTGTTGCCTCTCCACAATCTGAAAGGCAAAGTTATCAAGGACGATTGTAAACACATGCTAATAGTGGGGCCAGATGGCAAGAGGCTGCACTAAGATCTGCGGTTTGACTATTATCTCAACTGGCTACAGACAATTAATAGTGAGAACAGAGTGAAAACAAGAAATATAAACCAGACTCCCTATCCTGGCTACTTAGCTTCATACTCCTGTGCTCCAGTCACAGAGGTTTAAACAAAGAGGAACGCAATGTGGAGGACCCATGACTACCATGGGGAAGTCAGGTGGAGAGAGACACCTTCACCCTGATGACTGTCGGCCAGTAGAATTAACTTCATATACATATACAGTGTACCTTCTGGTTCTTTGGTGAAGGACATGGCTGAAAATTCAGTTTAACGAAGCCAGCCCTGTTCAGGGCTGTGAAAGTTTTTCACTTATAGCTTTGGTCCCACTGTTCGAGGAGGGAACCGAAACAGGTCCAGTGTCCTATCCTATGAGACCCCAGGTACTCTCTGAACCATTTCTGTGTCTTTTCTGCTGACATTCAAACAAGTCTCTCTGGTAGGTCCTGGGCTCCTCCTTCTATGCTGAATTAGGGTCACCTCACTGGCTAAAACTCTGCTCAGTGCAAGAGGTTCTGTAGAGGGCCTGAGCCATGAAGGAAGTGTACCAAGCTTCAGTGCACCATTTTGGTACATCTAAGTTTGGATATTCAGAGGCATGTCCTTCCCTAACTTTGCTTGCCAGTACTAAGGATGGCTATCTAAAATGTGAATTTATTATGCAGGGATGGCTTCTGGGAAAAGGGAGGGAAAACTCTGGGTAACAGATCCTAGGGGGCTCGGGGCCAGAAATTCATGGTTACCTACCAAAACCCCATCTTCTGCCTCCTCTAAGCCTACCCCCTTACAGCCTGGACGCCTTCAGTCACCTTTCGAAGGGAATCACATTCCTTCTGCCAGGACTCCATTTCCACTTGGGGACCTTGTCCTTGTTGAGCTGGACCTTCTCCACTGGCATCTTCCACACACTGCTTATCTTGCAGGCTGAAAGACAGTAGCCTCTTCAAGAACTCTAAATCAGAGAGATGTGGCTTTGATTCCTGATACTGCTATTTACTGGGCAAGACAAGTAGGCCCTTCCAAGTCATAGCTGGGATAATTGCTTAGGTCTGTTTAAAGTAGGGAATGCCACACAGAAGCTGCTTGCTCAGTCTGTGTTAGTTCCCTTCCCTAGAGGTCAGCATCTATACAATGTGCCAGCAATTCTTTACCTACCCAAGGCTTCTTTATTCTTTGTTTTGATATTTAAAAGTAAACATTCATCACATGTATTTAAATTACAAAAGTCACACATATAGGATAGAGAAATTTTAGAAAATACAAAAAACCCCAAAAGTCCTTTTTTCTTTGCACACCCAATCTGGAACAGACCCAACTTTGTCCCCTAACCACAATCACTTTCATCATGGGCCATATGCTGAGATAAACAACAGGGTTACTGTGGTTGAATGTGGGATAAGAAATCCAATCCATCCCATCAAAAATTGGATTTGGTCCAAGAGGCTGTTGAAACACAGCCACATTTTCAGAAACTGCTATTAATATGGAAGAAGTTCCCAAGACACCCTGAGTGTACATTATAGCATCTTGTTTTGTTCTCAGAACCTGCTGTGGCAATTGAGAGAAATCCCTAGGGCTAAGGAGAAGTAACAGATGTTCCTGGTAGCCTTCACAAGATTCACCATGTGGATAACCCTCAGTCATCAGCACCAGGATCTACTTCTGCAAATATAGATACTCACTTCCCAGTTTATAAAGTGCTCCCATTCATTCAACACATACATATTCAAGAATTATTACCCAATACTATTATGATGCCAGGCACTGGGTTGCATCTTTTCAAAGAACAGTGGAAAACCCCACTGCACCACTATACCACCCACATTCCATCTCAAAGACACAGTCCCTGCTCATAAACAGTTTTCCTATTACTTACAATCCAAAGAAAACAAAGCTCAGAGAAGTAAGTGAGTTGCCCAAAGTCAAACAAGCAGTGAGTAGGGTAGCCAGGACCAGAACCTAGCTCTCTGCTTCTTTCTAAACCCTCAGGGCTATTTACCTATGTCGGGTGGAGGAGAAGTCAGCTTCCCTCTGTCTCAGGCTTTCCAGTTGAACTTCCTTTTCTCTGCAGGCTGCCTGGGTCTCCGCCAGCAAACTCTCCAGCTCAATCACTCTCTCCTGCAGCTCTGTGCTCTTCAACTCAGAATCCTTAAGCTGAGAGACAGGATTCCATACTTAGGTCAACAAGCAGGGAAGACTTTGGGTGTATTTCAAAAACTTTGCAGTTTAGTTGTGATGTGAGTCTGGACATGACTCCCTTGGGATTTTCCTTTCAGGACACCACAAGGTCACTGCATGCAGCAGAGGTTGAGAAAGCCTCCCCCGCCCACCACCAACTTGCCCCAGGTATTGCTCATTGCTGCTACCTGCTGGCTCTGCTTCTGATGGTCTTCCAGAGTGGGCAGGTCAGCCAGATAGCGCTCCAAGGTCTCAATACGCTGCTGCTTCTCCCGGTTCTGCTCGGATTCCTTCTGACATTTCTTTTTCAAATTGTTAATATGTTTATCACGACCCTTGACCTATTGGAAAGAAATGTTAAGAATCCTTCTCCACTGACCCCTCTACCATCTTGAACGTTAACTGTTTTTTTGAAGTGAACACTGTCTTTGACCTTAGGACTATAAATGTTTTCTACTACCATGAAGTCAGGAAGTTGAACAAATTTTGCCATTGGAGATTAGGGCATAAAATACAGAGTTATCACACAAGGACTTTCCATTCAAGGGCAAGGAAGAAGGGATTCTTGGGCAGTTTTCAAAACCTGGTAGCTCTACTGTATAATAAACAATTTCTCTGGTCTTTGTTCAAGTTCCTGGAGGTAACGTCTAAACTCTTAGAATATCCCAAATAATAGGTGTGTCTTTGTTATTCACAGTGGACCAGTTCAGTTCAGTTGTGTCCAACTCTTTGTGACCCCATGAACTGCAGCACTCCAGGCCTCCCTGTCCATCATCAACTCCCGGAGCCTACCCAAACTCATGTCCATTGAGTCAGTGATGCCATCCAACCATCTCATCCTCTGTTGTCCACTTCTCCTGCCCTCAATCTTTCCCAACAACAGGGTCTTTTCAAATGAGTCAGCTCTTCGCATCAGGTGGCCAAAGTATTGCAGTTTCAGCTTCAACATCAGTCCTTCCAATGAACACCCAGGACTGATCTCCTTTAGGATGGACTGGTTGGATCTCCTTGCAGTCTAAGGGACTCTCAAGAGTCTTCTCCGACACCACAGTTCAAAAGCATCAATTCTTCTGTGCTCAGCCTTCTTTATAGTCCAACTCTTTTTTTTTTTCCCATTTATTTTTATTAGTTGGAGGCTAATTACTTTACAATATTGTAGTGGTTTTTGTCATACATTGACATGAATCAGCCATGGATTTACATGTATTCCCCATCCTGATTCCCCCTCCCACCTCCCACTCCACCCAATCCCTCTGGGTCTTCCCAGTGCACCAGCCCCGAGCATTTGTCTCATGCATCCAACCTGGGCTGGTGATCTGTTTCACCCTTGATAATATACATGTTTCGATGCTGTTCTCTCTAAACATCCCACCCTTGCCTTCTCCCACAGAGTCCAAAAGTCTGTTCTGTACATCTGTGTCTCTTTTTCTGTTTTGTATATAGGGTTATCATTACCATCTTTCTTAATTCCATATATATGCGTTAGTATACTGTATTGGTCTGTATCTTTCTGGCTTACTTCACTCTGTATAATGGGCTCCAGTTTCATCCATCTCTATAGTCCAACTCTTACATCCATACATGACTACTGGAAAAACCACAGCCTTGACTAGATGGACCTTTGTTGGCAAAGTAAGTCTCTGCTTTTTAAAATGCTGTCTCAGTTCAGTTCAGTTCAGTCGCTCAGTTGTGTCCAACTCTGCGACCCCATGAACCGCAGCACACCAGGCCTCCCTGTCCATCACCAACTCCTGGAGTCCACCCAAACCCATGTCCATCGAGTCGGTGATGCCATACAACCATCTCATTCTCTGTCATCCCCTTCTCCTCCTGCCCTCAGTCTTTCCCAGCATCAGGGTCTTTTCAAATGGGTCAGCTCTTTGCATCAGGTGGCCAAAGTATTGGAATATGTAGTCTAGGTTAGTCATAACTTTCCTTCCAAGGAGTAAGCGTCTTTTAATTTCATGGCCGTAGTCACCACCTGCAGTGATTTTGGAGCCCCCCCCAAAAAATCAGCCACTGTTTCCTCTGTTTCCCCATCTATTTCCCATGAAGTGATGGGACTGGATGCCATGATCTTAGTTTTCTGAATGTTGAGCTTTAAGCCAACTTTTTCATTCCCCTCTTTCTCTTTCATCAAGAGGCTCTTTAGTTCTTCACTTTCTGCCATAAGCGTGGTGTCATCTGCATATCTGAGGTTATTGATATTTCTCCCGGCAATCCTGATTCCAGCTTGTGCTTCCTCCAGCCCAGCATTTCTCATGATGTACTCTGCATATAAGTTAAATAAGCAGGGTGACAGTATACAGCCTTGACATACTCCTTTTCCTATTTGGAACCAGTCTGTTGTTCCATGTCCAGTTCTTTTTTTCTTCCTTATTTTTTTTAATTTTGTTTTTTCCATGTCCAGTTCTAACTGTTGCTTCCTGACCTGCATACAGGTTTCTCAAGAGGCAGGTCAGGTGGTCTAGTATTCCCATCTCTTGAAGAATTTCCCACAGCTGATTGTGATCCACACAGTCAAAGGCTTTGGCATAGTCGATAAAGCGGAAATAGACGTTTTTTTCTGGAACTCTCTTGCTCTTTCAATGATCCAGGGGATATTGGCAATTTGATCTCTGGTTCCTCTGCCTTTCCTAAAACCAGCTTGAACATCTGGAAGTTCACGGTTCACGTATTGCTGAAGCCTGGCTTGGAGAATTTTGAGCATTACTTTACTAGCATGTGAGATGAGTGCAATTGTGCGGTAGTTTTGAGCATTCTTTGGCATTGCCATTCTTTGGGACTGGAATGAAAACTGATCTTTTCCAGTCCTGAGGCCACTGCTGAGTTTTCCAAATTTGCTGGCATACTGAGTACAGCACTTTCACGGCATCATCTTTTAGGATTTGAAACAGCTCAACTGGGATTCCATCACCTCCACTAGCTTTGTTTGTAGTGATGCTTCCTAAGGCCAACTTGACTTTACATTCCAGGATGTCTGGCTCTAGGTGAGTGATCACAGCATCATGATTAACTGGGTCGTGAAGATCTTTTTTGTACAGTTCTTCTGTGTATTCTTGCCACCTCTTCTTAATATCTTCTGCTTCTGTTAGGTCCATACCATTTCTGTCCTTTATTGAGCCCATCTTTGCATGAAATGTTCCCTTGGTATCTTTAATTTTCTTGAAGAGATCTCTAGTCTTTCCCATTCTATTTTTTTCCTCTATTTCTTTGCACTGATTGCTGAGGAAGGCTTTCTTATCTCTCCTTGTTATTCTTTAGAACTCTGCTTTCAAATGGGTATATCTTTCCTTTTCTCTTTTGCTTTTCACTTCTCTTCTTTTCATGGCTATTTGTAAAGCCTCCTCAGACAGCCATTTTGCTTTTTTGCATTTCTTTTTCTTGGGGATGGTCTTGATCCCTGTCTCCTGCACGATGTCATGAACCTCCATCCATAGTTCATCAGGCACTCTATCAGATCTAGTCCCTTAAATCTATTTCTCACTTCCACTGTATAATCATAGGGGATTTTCTTTAGGTCATATCTGAATGGTTCAGTGGTTTCCCCCACTTTCTTCAATTTAAGTCTGAATTTGGCTATAAGGAGTTCATGATCTGAGCCACAATCCACTCTCGGTCTTATTTTTGCTGACTTTATAGAGCTTCTGTATCTTTGGTTGCAAAGAATATAATCAATCTGATTTCGGTGTTGGCCATCTGGTGATGTCCATGTGTAGAATCTTCTCTACGTTGTTGGAAGAGGGTGTTTGCTATGACCAGTGTGTTCTCTTGGCAAAACTCTATTAGCCTTTGCCTGGCTTCATTCTGTACTCCAAGGCCAAATTTGCCTGTTACTCCAGGTGTTTCTTGACTTCCTACTTTTGCATTCCAGTTCCCTATAATGAAAAGGACATCTTTTTGGGGTGTTAGTTCTAAAAGGTCTTCTAGGTCTTCATAGAACCGTTCAACTTCAGCTTCTTCAGCATTACTGGTTGGGGCATACACTTGGATTACCATGATATTGAATGGTTTGCCTTGGAGACGAACAGAGATCATTCTGTCGTTTTTGAGATTGCATCCAAGTACTGCATTTCAGACTCTTTTGTTGACTATGATAGCTACTCCATTTCTTCTAAGGGATTCCTGCCCACAGTAGTAGATATAATGGTTATCTGAGTTAAATTCACCCATTCCAGTCCATTTTAATTCGCGGATTCCTAAAATGTCAATGTTCACTCTTGCCATCTCCTGTTTGACCACTTCCAGTTTGCCTTGATTCATGGACCTAACATTCCAGGTTCCTATGCAATATTGCTCAGTGGACCAGATCGCACCATAAATGCATTTATGCTAATTAGATGACTCAGAATAGGAACTGATCACTATAAAAACCAATGGAGTTGAACCCAACTTCCTGTGAAGAGGGGACAAAGACAGGAGATTTGAGTTCAATCATACCTACATGATAAAATCCCAATTAAAAACTGTGGACACCAAAGCTCAATGGAGCTTCCTGGTTGATGAACACATGCATGTGCTGGGAGGATGACAGGTTCTAATTCCAAGAGGGAAAAGGTATGGAAGCCCTGCTTTGAGGACTTTCCCAGACCTCATCCTATTTGTCTCTTTACTTGGCTTATCATGATTTGTATAACAAAACTGTAATCTGTGGAATTAGTGAACCTGAAGGCATCATGGGAACCCCTGGATTTATAGCCAGTTGATCAGAAATATAGGCAATCTAGGGAACCCAAAACTTGCAGTTGGCATCTGAAATAGTAAATAAGGAGTCTTTTGGAGGACTGTGTCCTTTAAACTTGTGGGGTCTGATGCTAACTCTGAGTGGTTTGCATCAGAACTGAATTGCAAAAGTATATATAACCGTACACATAGCATACATACAGCCCACCTGGTCTGTTCTGATGAGACAGGTAATGCATTCTTCTCTAAACACTTCATATAATATAAAGCTAAGCAATTATCTGGAAGGGCTAATGAAGACTGTAAACTCCTTGAGAGGAGGGGCTATGTCCATTTTGCTTTTATCAAATTGCCAACACACAGCACAATGCTTGGCACTAAGTAGGCAATCAATTAAGATTTGTTGAATAGAAACTTTTCTTTACTATTACAGCTTTTTCTTTGGCTTATGAAAAAGGAAGCTGGAGATAAAGCAGAGAAAAAGGCAGATTTATTGATGCTAAAGAGGCTCAGGCCTAATTTGATCCAAAGATAACTCAGTACTAAGAAGGATCCCTGAAAATCAGTTAAAAGCTTTACCCCAGGTACAATCTGTACCCTTCAAGCTCCATGTGATTCCCCAGATTCTCACATTTTAATATGCATCAGAATCACGTGGGAAGCTTACTGAAAATGCTGATGGCCAACTCTTAATTAAAAAAATGGTTGGCCAGTCAGAGGTGTTTTTCTCCCTTCCAAAACATTTTTAGAATGACAGGCATAAAATAAAATACCAATTCTTAAAAGGCAACAGAGGAGACAAAAGTATACAAGATAGGGGCTTCTGTAACCGTTCGGTGGCAAAGAATCTGCCTGCCAATGAAACAGACATGGGTTTGATCCCTGGTCTGGAAGATTCCATGTGCTGTGGAACAACTAAGCCCCAGAGCCTCAACTACTGAACCCATGCTCTAGAGCCCCAGAGCCACAACTACGAAAGCCTGCATGCTCTGGAGGCTGTGCTTCACAACAAGAGAAGACAATGAGAAGTCACACCACCACTAGAGTGTAGCTCCTGCTCACCACAACTAGAGAAAAGCCCATGCAGCAACAAAGATGAAGCACAGCCCCCCAAAAACAAATAAAAAGAGTATATAAGATAGTTCAAGATGTTTTCAGAATATGAAAGGGAATGGGAGGGACAAATGATTTGGAGCAGAGGAGTTACAATTTGCAGTAGGAGTCACAGACAACTTGGAAGACAATGTGCCCTTCACAACCCACATGAATCCCTGTACGTGAAACATGAGATACCTGAGGCAGGTAGGTATAAGCCATAAACCTGAAAAATAGGGGAATTCATTGGAAGTCTAGATTCAGGTTAGCTGGATATCATTCTCACCCCAGGTTTTCCCAAAAGGAGTCTGGAGGTTTATTCTTTGTGGAGAAATAAAATCAGAGAGAGCCCAGCCCAGGGGTATATTAGTCATGGCAGAGAGACAGAGAATGAAGCACAGGGTTGAAAATAAGCATAAATAAGAATCTATGTGTAGAACTATGGGACTTTAAATCTAATTTCCTTCTCAGTGTTGAGAACCCAAAGGCCAAAAGCATTCCTGTCCCCAGCCTCCCCACCAGGCAGCAGACTGAAGATTCTTTTCTAGAGAGAGTAAGATGAGACATCAGATATTGACATTTAAGGGTTCCCAAGTGAAAAGGGAAGACTAAGTCTGATCATCCCATAGGGAAGCCCACCAGGCCATTTCCATGAACCTAGAGCTTCCATGCAATTTAAAAATACTATATTCTTAAGTATGAGCACTCTTTCATTCAAGGATCATCAATCCTCTAATGTGAAAAACACAAAAACAAAATAAGACCTGAAAGAAACACTATAAGCAGATGCAGATTCCCAAAAGGCATAATCAATATCATCAGAGAAAAGATATTGCATTCATGAAACTAAAACAGCAAAAAAAATGCAGTAAATAAGAGAATACTATTCAGAAATACAGATGTACATGTCAGGAGAAAGAAAAGAGTTGAGGACAGCTAACTCTGTAGACTGGGGCTGGGCAGAGAATCACTAATTTTTATTATCAACATTGATATTTGATAACAAGTTGGTTACTTAACTTAGACACATGTATTATTTTCTTTTTTTTTTTTGCGTTTTCGTTCAATTTTTTATTATTTTTTTGTATTTTCTGTTCATTTTATTATTATTTTTTTTGCTTGTTTTCATTCTCTTTTTCTACTTTAATTACACAAGTTGACTTCTAGAGTCATCTTTCCAATTTAGGGGCTCAAAACACACTATAACTTAAGGTATAAACAGATTTTCCTCCTGGAGGAGGATGACTGTTGGTTTCCTTCTTGGTGTAGACACATGTATTATTTTGATTAAAAGTTTTTTCCTTTTTTTTTAAACAAGCCTCTAAGTCGTACCAATGGCACCACCACCACCTGGTAAGATTGTCAGAAATGCAGAATCCCAGGACTGCCTCCCCTTCCAGAACTACTGAATCTGGATCTGTATTTTCATCAAGATCTTCAAATGGTTCTTAAACACATTAAAGTTTAAGAATCACTGCTTTAGCTGACTTTGATGCAAGTGGTCCACAGCTAAACATTATTAAACTGGCCCCCCAAGAACATATATATTAGAGCAACCCGTGAACAGAATCAGAAGACTTAGCTCCTTCTATGATAACCAATCTCAACCTGAGGCAATTCTAACAGCACTGGCAAAAACGTAAAAACTCCCCAAAGAGCTGCATATGTGGGATTCTTCACCTACTTTTTAGGTAGAAGTGAGAAGAAATCATGCTGAATGATGTACCACAGGTACATCTTGCAACAGTACCATTTGGTATGACTAGTCAGACTGGTTTTTCACCTAGGCCAGCTGGTTCCCCATCACAACCTGGGACAGTGAGAGATTATACAGCTTTCCCTGTCTGTGACAGTTTTTTGTGGAGATAAAGCAGATATGAAGGGTTCCACTTCAAACAAAACAGTCCTGCATGAGAAGTCAATGTAGGGTGTCTCACCCAATTGTCTCCTCCAGGTTCCAAGAATAGTTTGGCAGGAAAGGGCGGACTGCCAATTCTTTTGTGAATTAGAAAGCTATCAGCTCTTTAGCTCACCCTTTCTTCCTGTTTCTTCCCTTCCTCCGAGTGCTTCTGCAGTGCCACTCTGAGTGACTCTCTGATGAGCTGGACTTCAACTTCTGAAGCAGAGAGTTTCTTTTCAAGCTCGATCTTCTCTTTGCTCAAGGCTTCTGTCTTCTGGGCAAACTGTGCACGTAAGAAAGTGTTCTCTCGCTGCAATTCCTGCAGAAAGATTCACAACATGTAACGGTTCCTTACCCTGAGAGTCCCATGTACTTTACTTATACCTAGCATACTTTGTGGTCGAATATTAACTTTCCCTGAGAATTTCCTCAGGCAGTGCTTCTCAAAGTGTGGTCCTAGGACTAACAGGGGTTTCCTCGATAGCTCAGTTGGAAAGAATCCACCTGCAATGTGGGAGACCTGGGTTCGATCCCTGGGTTGGGAAGATCCCATGGAGAAGGGAAAGGCTACTGACTCCAGTATTTTGGCCTAGAGAATTTCATGGACTGTATAGTCCATGGAGTCACAAAGAGTTGGACACAACAGAGCTACTTTCACTTTCAGGACTAACAGCTTCAGCATTACCTGGGAACTTGTTAGAAATGCAAATTCTTAAGCCCAACTCCCAGGCCCAGTGAATCAAAAACTCTGGGGATGGGTATTAATAATCTGTGTTTTAACAAGTCCTCCAGGTGATTCAGATGCACACTCAAATTTCAGAACCACTGGCTTAAAGCAATATTCAAGGACCAGTCATGTAACAAAGGAATACAGGACAATATATCAGCAGACCTGGGCTCAAGGCCTGGTTCTCCTCCACTCATTCTTTATATGACTTAAGGCCAATTCTTCCTCCTTCTTGGGCCTCAATTTTCTCATCAGTAAATGAGAAGACTGAGATATATTTTATGTAATGGCCATTCTCACACTAACATTCTGATTCTCCAAGATGGAACATTGAAGATGGAACATTGTCTTAAGAAGCCCAGTAGGAGGCAAAGCCAGTATAGTACTACAGTCTGTCTAATACTCATCACTCAAAAGCCCAAATTGCAGAAAAAGCTTGGCCAACATCTTTCAGAGCTATTGACCTAAATAAGAGTACAATTTTCCCTCAGTTGCTCCTAGACATGGAAGAATAAAAATGGGAATGGCTTTAAATCCCGTACTACCTCTGCTACTCTTTTCATTTGGCCAGGGCCGGTAGATCAAGACTTCTCAGAACACAACTCAATTCTAGGACCTTACTATGAACCTTGCTCTGCCTTCCTTTTCTCCCAAGTATGTCCTGATATCAAGGCACCTGGACTTCCACTTGATTCCATCCTTAGGCCTTTTCTGCCCCATCAAGAGCAGAACAGGAGATGCTTTATAATTAGAATGTTTACACTCTGAGGGCAGGAATACCTTACTTCACTTGGTCCATTTTCTATCTCTTGGATACCTATCAGTGCCAAGCACAGGGAAGATCCTGAGTTATGACAAGCAGAATGCCATCCTGGCTGCCAAAGCTTACCTGTAGCCTCAGCAAGCAGACATCCCCAAAGGGGGCAGGGCGGCCTAAAAGAGCACTGTGGACTTGCAGTTCACTCTCTCGTACCTTCTGCTCCAGCTGAGAGATATGTTTCCTCTGCCTGCAAAAGTAAGAACAGAATGAGGCCCAGGGTCCTGACACAAACCCACTTGCAATATGAACCCCAACTTTCCTTTAACAGGTAAAAACCACACTTTGTAAACAAAGACCTTGGATTCTTGGGTTGTGCTATTTCCTGAAGGAGGAAACGCAAATGAGAAAACTGACAGGTGAAATGAACAAAGCTTAGCTGCAAAGAACCAGCTACCTCCTCTAGGCATTCCCCACAGCCCCTGCAGAGATATGCAACAAACTTATCACATTATTCACACACAGGACTAGGCTACTTATCCTGAGGTAAAGCAGGGTTCTAAACAGAGGAGGATGCACTGCCCCTGGGGAGATGTCATCAGTAGGGGCTGGGAGAGCAGAGGCTGGCCTGATGGCCCCTTGCCTCCTTACTTGTCAATAAGGAGCTCCTTTTCCTTCAGAAGGTGTTCATTACTGTTCAAGATGCTGATCCATTGTGCTGGGTCTAACGTGGGCAATGAAGGAGAAAAACCAGCAGGATGGTGGCAGACGGCTCCATTCTGAAGCTGAAAGACAAGCAGGCCCAGTGGGACTTAATGTTAACCTATAGGCACCTGAAAGCACCTATGAAGCACCCAGCTGTGTCTGCAGTCAAGACTCACTTTGGCTCAGTTTGAGAAGGCCCACTGTTTATGAAATAATTTTAGCTCTGATGCATGACTGGAAAAAGCCTGCTTGACAGACTTCTGCCAACTGGACACTCCCTGCTCAGAAAGGCTCTAGTTTCTAATAAAAGGTCAGTTTATCTTTCATTATCTGGAACAAAAGCAAATCAGGAGCTAAGATGCCCTCACCAACCAGGAAAGGAGAATGTCTCCTGCTTCCTTTCTCCCCATTCTTGAGAAGTACAAGAACTTTCAAAAAACAAAACAAAACAAAAAAACAAACACAAAAGTAGTACAGTGGAAAGAATATGGGACTAAAAGATAGTTTTTGAACCCTAGAGCTCTGCCACTTAAACCAGCTCTATGACCCTGGACAGATTGCTTATTCTAAGAACCTGGTAAATTTCTACGTTTACCTCATCAGAGTGCCGTAAGGATCAAATGAGACTCTGTATGTTGAAGTACCTCGCCGAGTGTTATGTAAGTACATACACACACAGTCAGTGTCAGTGTCCTACTGCTGGGTTTTCCTTTGTAACCCTCTGCTTTGGAGAACCTATCTGGTGTTTAGAACTGACAGATTTGATGACATTCACAAGATTTCATTTCCTATCTACAAACATCTCCTTTTTACAAACACTTTCTTTGGAGTCAAAACTTATAAGAAAAAAACCTATATAGTTCTAAGATTAGCACAGAAACTGCAAAGTCCAAGGAAAGAATGGCCTCTACCTGCATTTGCTCCATCTGTAAACGGATCAACTCCAGCTGCTGCCGACAAGTGCTGAGCTCACAAGATTGCTCGCGGGAATGCCAAGGGTCAGGATTCGGCTGCCATACCTGAGAAGGTAGAGGCTTGGAGAGCCCAGGAGCAGGCTGGAGTCCCAAAGGAAGAACCCCACTGGCGCCAGGGTGTGGTCCATTCCGCTCACATACTGCCCCGCTGCCTGGTGCCTTCTTGGTCTCAGGCAGCCCTTTGTATAGCTCCTTGTTTGTGTCGGTTCTCGGGTTGTGGAAGTAGACTCGGTAGTGGGGATCTGAATAAAGTGTCTCCAGCACTGCCGACTGATTGAGGGTAGACTCCATATTGGGAACATCAAACTTTCTTGCCTCTTCTTCCCTTTCATGGCCCACTGCTGGAAACCAGGACTGCTCAACTCCGTTTTCTCCAGCAGCACCACAAAGATACATGAAATCTCTAGAAAGGCCTGGAGAACGTTTCATTGAACAGAGGTCTCCATTTCTTGTCATCCCCACACTTTCAGCCAACCCCGACAAAGGAAGTTTGGAAGAGGGTCCGGCAGCAGAATTTGGCTTGGCAGGAGAGGTCCCCAAAGTAGAAGGTATCACATGGGCTGTTGGAATGGTTACGTGGCTTTTGATGGGCTGGAAAGAAGGGCTGCTACTTGAACTGCAAAAATCTGTGGAGAGAACAGTCTTCCGTAAGTCAAAACTGAAGCAGCAAGCTATTTTTCAGTTTGGCTGCTATTCCAGACATTCTCTGCCAGAGACCAGGCAGAGAGGGCACCGTCACAAGTATCAGGCAGAAAAATATAGCAGCCTAAATGGGAGATGTGTGTTCTAGGATCTCAAATGCCATTCCCAAGGCAAACCAAAGCAAGGTAACATTGGCTTCACTTTTAATTTATACTCTGTTCTTTGTATTTGAATAACAAAAATCCTGTCAGTCAACAAAGCTGAAAACTGAACTTAAAAAAAAAAAATCACTTACTTAAGGGAACTGGATTAAGTCTGAGTCTTCCAAGAGCTGGGCTATAAGCTATAATCCAATCTAATAAAAATGTCTTTTCCAAGGGCTGCCAGAATCCTCTTTAATCTCCAAAAGCTCCAAAGCAAAGGTGAACAATGAATCTAAACTATCCAAAGAATAAGACAAACTGGATAGTGCGGCTGTGTATCTGGGGCAGGGAGCACCGCATCTGAATCAGGATTCTGGTCTCTCCCCCACACGCCAGACCTGACTGCCAGGATATGTGAAGTTATTCTTAGCAACTCTCAGGTTTCATTCTAGTGCAGTGAGCACTCTCAACTGGTAAACACTGAAATCCTCTATTTTTTACTTTGCCTTTTATTTACCCCCTTGTTTGTATATAAATGTGATTTTTCACTTTCCTTGAGACTGGATTTATGTTTCTTTTAGCTCCTGCCTGGTCTTGGGAGACAACCCTCTGATTGGCTCTGCTGCAGAAGGTTCATATTTTTACTATTTCCAACTTTCAAGTGCTCCTGTGAAGAGGACTACAAGGTCACAGAACTAACACAGGGCAGTGAGCTACAAGCAAAGTACAAGGCAGGAAACTGAGGAAACATACCTGTTACCTTCAGCAGGCAGGAAACTGAGTGAGGGAGACAAGGAATAAAACGTCTTCCTTTTTCAACTATGTCCAATATTCTTTTCCAAACTAAGCAACATCTACCTTGGAGAACAGATCTCCGATTTGTTTCATTTTCCATCAACCAACACAGAACATACTCAGCTAATGAGGACAGATACTAAACTTTTCCAGAATTAAATGGGTATAGATCTGTTATTATCTTCTCACATGGGTTTGTAAGCACGTCTTTAAAAACAAGCAAGCCAAATTATCCTTTATAATGTATGCAGAGTATCTAATGTCCTCTACTCAGATGATCGTGGGGATATATAAAATACCATAGTAAAAACAAACAAGAAGCAAAACAACCAGTAATTTTTGATGACACGCATCAGCTTCTCAGGACCAAGAAAGACAGACATTTCAAGAGTCAAAGGACACCGTTTTTGATGTCCCAAAACTTAAATACAGAACTAGTCAACAGGGTTAAGGTAGACTGGTGGTGATGAAGATTCTAAGACTAGAAAGCTCTCTACTTGAAATCTCCCATAATGACACCATAATATTCTCTCATCAAGGGTCCTGACTCTCCAAATATAATTATGGAACAGAAGGCAGTAAGATTTTGGTTATGAGGGCTGCTACTATGCTGAACTCAGCAACACCTCCTCCCATTCTCCCTCCATGGCACCACTCTCTCTCACGACTTCACCAAATTCAGTTTTGATCCCATAATGCCCAAAGTAGTAATGCCAAAACCGAAGTCAAGAAGAAAGGTACCAACTGCCCAAAAGAATATTGTTTCTCTAATTTGCCGGCGAGTGTACTCCATCTATGGATGATAAAATGAGGTCTGTCAGCACTTGTCATTATCTACTGAGTTTACCTATTTACATTAAGGAAACTGTGTGATTCTGAAAAAGTACTATAAAATGTCAAGTTACATTAAAGTCAGGCTTGTGTTTTAGAGCATTTTAAAACAAAATGGCAACACATTTTCAAAAGGGTCACTATCCTCTATAATTTTCAAAGGCGATTCAAATTTAGCATATGATATGTGTGATTTTTGAATATGAGCTATTTCAAATCCTAAAAGATGATGCTGTGAAAGTGCTGTACTCAATATGTCAGCATATTTGGAAAACTCAGCAGTGGCCACAGAAGTGGAAAAGATCAGTTTTCATTCCAGTCCCAAAGAATGCTCAAACTACTGCACAATTGCACTCATCTCACACGCTAGTAAAGTAATGCTCAAAATTCTCCAAGCCAGGCTTCAGCAATACATGAACCGTGAACTTCCAGATGTTCAAGCTGGATTTAGGAAAGGCGGAGGAACCAGAGATCAAATTGCCAACATCCCCTGGATCACTGAAAGAGCAAGAGAGTTCCAGAAAAACATCTATTTCTGCTTTATCGACTATGCCAAAGCCTTTGACTGTGTGGATCACAATCAGCTGTGGGAAATTCTTCAAGAGATGGGAATACTAGACCACCTGACCTGCCTCTTGAGAAACCTGTATGCAGGTCAGGAAGCAACAGTTAGAACTGGACATGGAACAACAGACTGGTTCCAAATAGGAAAAGGAGTATGTCAAGGCTGTATACTGTCACCCTGCTTATTTAACTTATATGCAGAGTACATTATGAGAAATGCTGGGCTGGAGGAAGCACAAGCTGGAATCAAGATTGCCGGGAGAAATATCAATAACCTCAGATATGCAGATGACACCACGCTTATGGCAGAAAGTGAAGAACTAAAGAGCCTCTTGATGAAAGAGAAAGAGGGGAATGAAAAAGTTGGCTTAAAGCTCAACATTCAGAAAACTAAGATCATGGCATCCAGTCCCATCACTTCATGGGAAATAGATGGGGAAACAGAGGAAACAGTGGCTGATTTTTTTGGGGGGGCTCCAAAATCACTGCAGGTGGTGACTACGGCCATGAAATTAAAAGACGCTTACTCCTTGGAAGGAAAGTTATGACCAACCTAGACAGCATATTAAAAAGCAGAGACATTACTTTGCCAACAAAGGTCCGTCTAGTCAAGGCTATGGTTTTTCCAGTAGTCATGTGTGGATGTAAGAGTTGGGACTATAAAGAAGGCTGAGAGCAGAAGAACTGATGCTTTTGAACTGTGGTGTTGAAGAAGACTCCTGAGAGTCCCTTGGACGGCAAGGAGATCCAACCAGTCCATCCTAAAAGAGATCAGTCCTAGGTGTTCATTGGAAGTACTGACGTTGAAGCTGAAACTCCCAATACTTTGGCCACCTGATGCGAAGAGCTGACTCATTTGAAAAGACCCTGATGCTGGGAAAGACTGAGGAAAGGAGAAGAAGGGGATGACAGAGGATGAGACGGTTGGATGGCATCACTGACTCAACGGACATGAGTTTGGGTGAACTCCGACAGTTGGTGATGGACAGGGAGGCCTGGCGTGCTGTGGTTTTTGGGGTTGCAGAGAGCCCGACACGACTGAGCAACTGAACTGAACTATGTGATTATTTAGAAAAGTTTACAATTCACCAAATCATTGGGTTTTTGCCACTTCAAGGATATATCTCTAAATCTCTCCTTTCCTCAAACATACTCCCTTCCTCTCAACTCCCACCCCCCAGGAAAAGCAATTCATTCTTTCTAGCAACCGTCCTTTCTTAGTAAGAGGTAGACTTAGCTATTGCTAAATTTTGATCATGTCTGCCTATATCCCTTACAGGCTTATGAAGTACGGTAGTCTGAAATAAGCCAGTGATGATTTGTCTTTGTCAAAAAACTGAAAGACTTCTGATCTCTCAGGTATCTATCTCCATCCTGTCCCTTGCGAATCTTCAAGGTAAAACACCTTAGTGAACGGTAGAATCACAAACCTAAATGGGGAATTCCCTGGCAGTTCAATGGTTAGGACTCCAAGCTTTCACTGCCGAGGCTGGGTTCAATCTTGGGTTGGGGAACTAAGATCCCACAAGTTGCACAACACAACCAGGAAAAGCAAAACAAAACAAAAAACCCTAAATGTCCATCAGCAAATGAACCTAAAGATATGGTATGTATATTCAATGGAGTATTACTTAACCATAAAAAAGAAAAGAAAGAAAAATGAAATAATGCCATTTGCAGTAACATGAATGGACCTAGAGATTATCATACTGAGTCAGACAAAGACAAATATCATATCATATGGTATCACTTATATGTGGAATCTAAAAAAAATGATACAAATAAACTTATTTACAAACAGAAAATAGACTCATAGACTTAGAGAATGAATTTATGGTTACCAAATGAGAAAGGTGAAGGGGAAGGAAAAATTAGGATTTGGGGGTTAACATACTATTGTAATCAATAAGGACCTACTGTATAGCACAGGGATCTCTACTCAACATTTTATAATAATCTAAATGGGAAATGAATATGAAAAAGAATAGATATATGTGTATATATAACTGAATTACTTTGCCATACACTTGAAATTAACACATTGTAAATCAGCTGCACTCCACCATAAAATAAAAAAAAATTTTAATAGAAAAAAAGAACACCTAATGAACTATATTTTATACCAGTCACAAATGTTCTTGTCAACTGGGCTCCAAATAAACCACGATACAGTCATGAACAAAATGAGCAAAAAATAAAGACCACAGTATATAACATGGCAGAAAAGAAACCTTAGATCCTTTTAAAAGAAACTTCTAGACCAATGGCTTTGGCCACCATGTCAAGACTACTATAATTTAAAAAAGAACACATGACTGGCAATTCCCTGGTGGTCCAGTAAGACCCTGAGCTTTCACCTCTGGGGACCCAGGTTGATCTCTGTTCGGGTAACTGAGATCAGTTGTGGTAATAAGCCACACACTCAGACAAAAAAACTAAAAATAAAAATGCACTAGGAAGGAAATATAAATATATATTTCCCCAACGATATAAAAAGCATGCAGAGTTACACACAATCTATGTAACAATTTGACTGGATGAAATACAGCCAGTCAGTTTAACAGGGGGAAAAATCTAGACAATTGTTTTGAATTTTAAAATCTCTATTTTCATTACACAAGTGATGGAAAGAATACTACAAGTGGGAGACCTGAATCTGATAATTAGCTGTGTGACAAGCTAGTTAGGCTTGTTACATTAACAAGTTACTTAATTGTTAACTTGTAACTTACTTGTTACATTAGGCAAGTTACTTAACCCTGTGTGGAATTTGTGTTACTCATTAGCAAAAAAGAACCAGATTAAGTGATTTTTAAAGTCCTGTCTATTAAAATCTACTATTCCATTTACTCAATATTTACTGACACTATGCCCATATACATAGCTATCAAATCAAATGCCAGGTGCCCAGGAGTCAGTACTAGTATTTTATTCTTCAAAATAGAAGATTTTTTTCCCACTTTTTTTTTTTTTAAACAGTTTTACTGAGATATAGTTCACATACCACACAATTTTCACCCACTTGAAACACACAATTCAATGGCTTTTTAGTATATTCACAGAATTATGTGACCATCACTACAATCCAGTTTAGAATATTTTCATCATCCTCAAAAAAAACCTTTTTACCCTCTAGAGGTCATGCTGCATTTACTCTAACTTCATGGCCTTAGGCAACCACTAAATCTCCTTTCTGTCTCTATATAAATTGGCCTATTTTGGACACTTCATACAAATAGAATCATATAATATGTGGTCTTTTGTGTCTGGCTTTTTTTACTCAGCACGGATTTTTTAAAGTTCATCCAGTTTGTGGGGTGTACTCATACTTCATTTCTTTTTATTGCTCCATAGTATTCTATAATATGGATATACAACATTTTATTCATCTATTTGTTAACTGATAGACATTGGGTTGTTTCCATTTTTTGGTTATTATTATTAACCAACGCTGCTATGAACATTTGCATACAAGTTGTTGTGCGGATGTATGTTTTCATCTTCTCTTGAGTATATACACCCAGGAGTAGATTTGCTGAGCCATGATGCAACTCTATGTTTAACCTTTTAAGGAACTGCCAAACAGCTTTCCAAAGCAGCTGAAACATTTTACATTCCCACCAGCAATGTACAGGCTCCAGTTTCTCTACATTCCCACCAACACTTATTATTATTATTTGGTTATAGCCATCCAAGTGGGTGTAACATCTGAGAAAGTACCAAAGTAATTAGTTTTGTGACTTTAATCAGCTCATTTAATCACTTTGAAATTCAGCTTTCTCATTTGTAGATTGGAAATAAAATATCTCTTGGGACTTCCCTGTTGATTCAGTGATTAAGACTCCATGCTCCCATTGCAGGGGGCTAGGGTTTGTTCTCGGGTCAGGGAACTAGATCTCATGTCACAACTAAAAATCTCAAGTGCCACAACTAAGACCAAGCGCTTAAAAAAAATGCATCGAGTTCTTAATGGTATTAATGAAAAAAACAGTATTCATCATAAAGTATTTGATAAACAGTAGTTAATTATTATCACTAGCTTTTCTGTCTTCCTAGGAACCCACCATCTAAATGAAAAGGAAAAAAAAAACTCTTGTGAAGTACAACCTTACAGCTTTTTGCCGTTTTTTCTTTTTAATTTTTTATTGGGATATATTATTTACAAAGCAGCCTAACAGCTATTACTTCAGTGCAAAAACAAGTGGCAGAAAAAATAAAGTATAAGATTGCAAAAAGGAAGATCAGTAATGGGAGAAAGGGATGTGAAAAATTTGGTCAAGACACTTCACTAAATCATGAAAAATAAGATCAACATAGCTGGGAGGGGCAAGAGAAGATGAGAAGAGCAAAAATGGGTCCAGATTAAAGAAGGAAAGAGCTCAGGTATCCAAAAAAAAAAAAAAAGTTCTGTGCTTTCATAGCATAGTTAAGACAATATGCCTGAGGACAGTAAGAAATATGTCTGGGGCTTCCCTGGTGGCTCAGTGGTAAAGAATCCACCTGCCAATGCAGGAGACAAGGATTGAATTCCTGGTCCAGGAAGATTCCACATGCCACTGAGAAACTAAGCCTATGTCCCTACAACTACTGAGCATGTGCTCTAGAGCCCTGGAGCCGCAATTACTGAGCCCACATGCCCCAACTACTGAAGCTGGCACACCCTAGGGCCCATGCTCTCCAACAAGGGAAGATACTGCAATGAGAAGCCCGTGCATCGCAACTAGAGAAAAGTCCATGCAGCAATGAAGACCCAGCACAGCCAAAAATAAATAAACAAAATAAAAAAAAAAATAGTTTTAACGGGATAGGTACAGATCACAGAATTGAAGACTCTGACCTTTATCCTCCAAGTAACAGAAACAGTTGAAGATTTGCAGGAAAGGGAAACTATGAAATCAGGATTTTAAGAAGATTAATCTGGCAGGAGAGGGAAAGACCTCATGCCAAGAAACCTATTAGGAAGTTGTTCAGGCAGGACAAACAGCAGAAGTTGAGAGGAAGGGACCAGTTGTGACGAGCATAGCATAGGAAGAATCGAGCAGACTCTGAGTAAACTGACTTATGAATATTCTGGAAATGAAAATACACCTGAAATACAATCTGAAAATGACAACATATTTTCGTAATCAAATCATTAATTCAAACTTACCCTCTGCGATGTCTGAGCATGATGTGCCAATGGCTGTGTCCCCACTGTCGGCTACACTTGAACAACGACTGAAGCGGCTCCGAAAGGCCTCTGAGATAACGGGGGTCTGCCATTCAGTCCCCAGGGAACTGCCCTTCTGAATCACGCTGGAACCTGAAAGAACCAGCATTTCCCACTGTTAGTGTGAATCAGCTCGTGTAATTCCACAAAACTTTTTTTAAAAAATCACTTAAACCTGTGAGAGAACAGCCATTCTTCACCCCTTTCTTCCTCCTGTGCCTATTTCAACTACTCTGAATTAGTTAATTTTATTTTTTTTAATGGTGTTTTTTAAAATTAGGCATTCATCCATTCATTCATGGCTGCACTGGGTCCCTGTTGTGGCATAGGGACTCTTCATTGCTGTGGGTGGGCTTTCTCTAGTTGTGGCGAGTAGGGGCTACTCTCCAGCTGTGGTGCCAGGAATTCTCCTTGCAGTGGGTTCTCTTGTCTCAGAGCACGGGCTCTAGGCACTTGGGCTCAGCAGTTGTGGCACACAGGTTCAGTTGCCCCAAGGCATGTGGAAACTTAGTTCCCAAACTAGGGATCGAACTCATGTTCCCGCATTGCAAGGCAGATTCTCAACCACTGAACCATCAGGGAAGGCCCTGAATTAGTTAAATCTAAATGGAAATAGCATAAGAGATAATAATGTTCAAAGACACAAAAAAAAACCTACCAAGGATCCAGGAGTACTGAGACAGTAATAATTAACAGCAGCTCCATTCTTTGAAATCTAGAAGCCACGGCACTTTACAGACATGGTCTCATCTACCTAGTGAAAAGTATTATAACCCCTGTTTTACAGAGGATACAGCTGAGAGTTGAACCCGTGCTATTCTGATTCCAATACCCACATTTTTTCCTCTCACAGGGTTTCTCAACAGGTTCTCTTGGCATTCTGGGTCTGACAATTCTTCAATGTATAGTCTACCTACTACAGGATGGTTAAGCATCCCTAGTCCTTCCCCATCCCCTAAATGCCAGTAACAGACCTCACTCCATCCTACCATCATTGAGAAACCTGAAAATACCCCCATATGTTTCCAAATGCTCCACAGGGTAACATGCAATCCAGTGTCCTTTGAAAATCACCACTTGGGAATGAATCAGGGTATCCTTCTGGGCAGGGTGAATCCAGATCATAAGGCAAGTCTTACAAGTTAATCTGAAGGTTTCTGGGGGGCAATGCAGAGGAACTACTAAAATTTCTGACCAGGTAAGATGAAACAAGACTGATGAAATTTATCTGACTTTGTCAGCTTGCTGTTTGAGGGCTGGTAGATAGGAATTGTTCAATAAATACTTTATTTATGAACATATTAGCAAAGAGTTAAATTCAAATTATTTTTTAAAAATCACTGTAATTTTTCTAAACTTTATATGAGATGATCCATGTTAACAAACAGGTAATGGCAGCAACTTATCCATTTAACGTGTCAGAATCTGAGTGTGTAAAATATGTTTCTACATACTCTATGATCGAGTGGGAAGCAAATGATATTTGAATTTAGTGCTTCTCCCACCTTCTGAACCAACCTATTTTGCATCTTTTTTCACTACCCTTATGTTTACTTTCTACTGAAGACATTCTCACTTTCCCCAAGAACTCCTTTTATTTTTTGGGTCTCAGGGGACTGATTTGAAAACATTTATATATACACAGTAATCTGTAACAATCTTTAATAGAAAACACAGCCAAAAATTAGAGCCTCTGATCAGCATAGGATCAGCAAGTGTTACTATACTAAATTAACAAAAGTCTAGCCAGAAGCAAAGAAATTTGACTTGGTGAGTCTATATGGCATTATCTCTCCAGTCAGTGTATAATTTGTCATGTTTTTTGAAACAGTGAAAATCCATGAGGGCCTCATCTTGGAAACCACTCCCTGTTACTACTACTAATCTTTTTCTTCATTTCTACCATCTTTCTAGTCAACCACTCAATATACCAATTCTTTTTTTTTTTAGTTCTACCAGTTTATTGCTACCAACCCATCTCCCTCCACCCTCATGCACCCATGCTCAGTCATGTAACCCCATGGACTGCAGGCCGCCGGGCTCCTCTGTCCATGGACTTCTCCAGGCAAGAATACTGGAGTGGGTTGCCATTTCCTTCTCCATATATATCAATTCTAAAAGAAAGATTTGCTGAAATGAAAGTGTGTTTTGGTACAGTTACAGAGATTGATTATCTGAAGTGTGATTTCTGTGTTATGCCACGTGTCCTATCACTGGCTTGCGGGTGATGATCAATCAAACAAGAGACCGAAGAGAACAAAGCACAGAAAGATAGTGAGCTGACAGTAACTGCTGCATTCCAAAACGTGCACTATACATAGCTTTCCTAAGAAACTGTACATTTAGTCCTAAGACAGTGCATAGCAGATGTTCAATAAATATTTGCTGAATGACTCTTGAATTTTTTCAAAGTGCTTACTACATGCAAGGCCATATGCCTAGAAGAAAATAACATACCTGTCAAAATGTCTGTTATAAGGCACCATAAAATTTTTAAAGTTAAAGAAAACATATCATTAGTTCCATAAATGTATTCTTTCTTCATAAATGTCCCAGAATGCAAAAGTTATTTTTCTAAAATGGTACTTCCTATTTGAATATATCATATCTAATTAAATGTTGCCTATTGAGTGTGTATGACTGTAGCCTTCCAGGCTCCTCTGCCCATGGAATTTTCCAGGCAAGAATACTGAAGTGGGTAGCCTTTCCCTTCTCCAGGGGATCTTCCCAACTCTGGTATTGAATCCAGATTTCCTACATTGCAGGCTGATTCACCAGCGGACCCACATGGGAAGCCCTTTACTTAATGTTGTCTATTGAGTGTGTATATATATTTACATGTTTTAATACATATATAAAATATACATATATACTTTTTTTTAAGATACTTTTTTATTTAGAAAAAATATGGAACACTTCACGAATCTGTGTGTCATCCTTGCGCAGGGGCCATGCTAATCTCTGTATCGTTCCAATTTTAGTATATGTGCTGCTGAAGCGAGCACAAAATATACATACATACTTTTAACATATTAACTTAGGATATCAACTGAGCTTTCAAAATCCTTTAAATTCATTCTAGAGATAAATTTCTGAGTCTCTAGTGACAACATAAGTGAGACTGCTGGCATCCAAGAAGAATTCCAATCTTTGTGGGCTAGCAGATGACTGACCCACCCACAGGACTACAAAGACAACATAGACCACAGTAATTTATGCTGTGTTTTTCTGATTTCAAATGGAACTATGTTCCAAAGTCATTTTGTTCCAATCCTTTATATGCCCCCCCCTCAATAATCAATCACGTGGTCTTGTTGGAAGCCATGTAGCACCAGAGATAAACAGTTGTTCTCTCAGAGAGATCTATTTTCCTATTCAATGTAGCACCATGTCATTTTTGTTCTTTTGGTACCAGCATTTCAGTGAATGCTTGTTTGTTCAGTATTTCCTTTTAAGGAAATTTCCGTTATAAATTAACAGAGCAATGGTCAGAATTTAATCCAAAAAACTCTGACCACTCACCTGGTGAGGTGGCATGAGAGATCCTCTCACTTGGATATTTCTCCTGCATGGCCATGAACACAGTTACTTGAGCCAGCTGTAAAATGAAGGAAGCAGTCAGATCTCTCCATTATCTTTTAATTCCCTGTAATTCATTCTCATTCAGCTGAAACTGCCAAATGCACACAAAGTATTCAAGTGGAAGAATTTTCACATGTTTTACTCCTAAGGATATTTTTTTAAGGCAAAACAACTCCCAATATTTCACTCTACTTCTCCCAAAGAAAGAAGAAAAAACCTAGAACCAAACAGAGATTCCCAATACCGATCCTATAAGGTCTAAAACCCTTCTGATTATTGCAAAAATTAAAAATAATATTATTTTAATTAAAAAGCTGCCAAAGATATTCTTACCCACTGGACGGGATGGAAGAGTGAGGTAGGAAAAAAACTAACGAAAACAAGAGCAAAGTATTACAGCTTCAATCCTGATGAACATAAAATGAAGTCCCCGATTCCTCCAGTAATGAAAGTTAGTCATATGATGTACAATGATGGACAGAATTCTTGGTCAAAAGCAGAACTCTAATCCTCAGCTGGGAACATGAAATTTTCTTCCCATTTCCCCATTACTTAAATAAAACATATATTTATTCTAAAGGCAGGATCTAAGAATTCAGGATAAGTCTGATTAAGAGTTGTATAAAAAAGAAAGCTTTAATTAGCTGTAACTAATAATAGCAAATATATGTATAGTACTTGAGAGGCAGCACAGAGTAAGAGAAGTGGCTCAGAGCACTGACTCTCAATCAGACAGTTCAGGTTTGAAGCTGGACATGAGCCAACTCATTGGAATAGACCCTGATCTGGGAAAGATTAAGGACAGGAGGAGAAGGGGACAACAGAGGATGAGATAGCTGGATGGCAAGACAAACTCAATGGATATGGGTTTGAGCAGGCTCCAGGAGACAGTCAAGGACAGGGAAGCCTGGCATGCTATAGTCCATGGGGTCGCAATGAGTTGGACGCAACTGAACAACAAATGAACAATGTACTAGCTGTGTAACCTTGGGCAAATTTCTTAATATCTTTGTGCCTCAGCTCCTTCCTATAAAAATGAGAATAAAAATGACCTAATTTGTTCTCATTTAGGATTAACTTACAATGGTGTCTGACACATATTAAGTGCTTAATAAATGCTTTTATTATACTTGGCATATTAACAGTTTATGTTAATAAAAAGTGAAAGAGTACAATTCCTGGGAGATAAATTATGAATTTAGAAACTCTGAATTTATAAGAGCCCATGGGGCTTCCCTGATAGTTCAGTTGGTGAAGAATCCACCTGCAATGCAGGAGACCACGGTTCTATTTCTGGGTCAGGAAGATCCCCTGGAGAAGGGATAGGCTGCCCACTCTAGTATTCTTGGGCTTCCCTTGTGGCTCAGCTGTTAAAGAATCTGCCTACAATGCAGGAGACCTGGGTTCGATTCCCGGGTTGGGAAGGTACCCTGCAGAAGGGCAAGGCTACCTACTCCAGCATTCTGGCCTGGAGAATTCCATGGACTGTATAGTCCATGGGGTCGCAAAAAGTCGGACATGACAGTGACTTTCACTTTCAGGGTCTGGGACAAACCCTATCCACAGAACACAATTCTTAGAGGTGCAATTTAACTTTGGAGGGGAAAAAAAGGCTATATGGTACTTTTTCCCTAATGTGCTTTACTGACCTCTGCAGTTTTTTCTTAGTAACAACAACAAATCCTAATTCACTGCATCTACAACAGAAATTGTAGGATCCCCTGACATCCCAGGTCTCCATATACTGGGTAAGAGAAATTTTGTGCAGCTAAACAGTTTCCATTTATGGCCACTATCTGATTCAGTGTTTCACCGTGACACAGAAGGATGATCTACCTACTAGTGATACCAGTCAATATCAAAACTCATTTTCATCCCCTTCTTTAAAATATAAAAAGGTTGGTCCATTAAATTCTGAAACCTTTCCAAATTCAGAGTTGAAAATGGGATGACAAAAGAACTCTCAGTTAAACATGGATTTACCCTATGACTCAGTAGCTTCAAACATATGTCAACACAAAACCCTATACATTAATCTTCATAGCAGCATTATAAAGTGGCCAAAAAGTAGAAAGAAATGTCCATTAGCTGACTGATGGATAAATAAAACGTGGCCCTCCCTCACAGCTCAGTTAATAAAGAACTGGTCTGCAACGCAGGAGATCCCGGCTCAATTCCTGGGTCAGGAAGATCCTCTGGAGAAGGGAAAGGCTACTCACTCCAGTATTCTGGCCTGGAGAATCCCATGGACTATATAGTCCATGGGGTTGCAAGGAGATGGACACAACTGAGCGACTTTCACTTTCTTTTTCAAATAAAATGTGGTATATGCATACAATGGAATATTATTAGGCAGCAAAAAAGGAATGAAGTACTGATACATGCTACAACATGGATGAACACTGGAAATAATATACTAAGTAAAGAAAGACAAGTACAAAAGGCCATATATTGTATGAATCCATTTATATAAAGTGTACAGAACTGGCAAATCCATAAAGACAACAGATGAGTGGTTGCTAGGGACTAAGAGGAGGGCAGGGAGTTTCTGACTAGCCTGAACAAAATGTTGAAACTAGATAGTGATGATGGCTGCGCAAGCTTGTGAATACACTAAAACCTCTCAATTGTACACACATAAAACTGAATTTTATGATATGTGAATTACATCTCAATTTAAAAAACTCACATAAGGAGTAATAAAGTACAGAATAAGTAATTCTTAACTTCTTCCTACTTAAGTTTACAAGTAGATGGGCTACTGGTGGAAATTTTTAGAGACATTGAAAGAGACAGACTTCTTGAGATAAAAGTGAGAGAAATGAATAGATAAGAAGTATTACAAATAGCCAATTATACAGCCAAGAGAGGTAGAAATGAATGCAGGCAGACAGAAGAAAAGAACCCAACACTGATGATTTCTACTTTCAAAGCTGTTTAAACTACAGAACAATTCATTCAACAAATTTAACATGTATTAAGTACAAGCATACATCTTTTTTTAACTGCACTTCACTTTACTGAGCTTCACAGATTCTATTTTTTTTTAACAAAGTAAAGATCTGTGGCAACCCTGGTGTCGAGCAAGTCTATGGATGCCATTTTTTCCTGCAGCATTTGCTCACTTTGTGTCTGTGTCATATTTTGGTGATTCTTGCAATATTCCAAGCTTTTTCATCATTATTACATCCATTATGGTGATCTGTGATTAGTGATTTTTTATGTTACTACTGTAATTGCAGGAATGGTAGAACTAGCAATAGGACTAAAATTAGAAGTGGAGCCTGAAGATGTGACTGAATTACTGCAATCTCATGATAAAACTTTAAAAGATGAAGAGGTGCTTTTTATGGATGAGGAAAGTGGTTTCTTGAGATGGAACTACTTCCAGTGAAGATGCTGTCAAGACTGTCGAAATGACAACAAAGGATTTAGAATATTACATAAACTTAGTTGACAGAGCAGCAGCAGGGTTTGAGAGGACTGATTCGTTTTGAAAGAAGTTCCACCATGGGGAAAATACCATTAAACAGCTTTGCATGTTATAGAAAAATAGTTTGTGAAAGGAAAAGTCAATCAATGCAGTAAACTTCACTGTTGTCTTATTTTAAGAAATTGCAACAGCCACCCCAACATTCAGCAACCATCACCTCATTCAGTCATCAGCCATTAACATCAAGGCAGAATCCTCTACCGCCAAACTGGCAAACAGATTACGAATCACTGAGGGTTCAATGACAGTTAGCTTTTTTTTAAGCAATAAAGTATTTTTTAATTAAGGCATGTACATTTTTAAAAGACATAATGCTATTGCATACTTAATGGACTACAGTAAAGTGTAAACATAACATATATGTACTGAGAAACCAAAAAAATTTGTGACTCGATTTATTCCAGTGGTCTGGAACCCTACCCACAATATCTCTGAGGTAAGCCAGTCCTTACTACACATCAAGCACTGTGCTAAAGATTCTATAGTATCATGTCTTATGTTTAATACTCACGTCAAACCTATGAGGTAGTTACTAAGGCACCACAAGTTGGAGTTTCCACCTCAGACAGAGCCAGAGCTGCAAGTCCCAAAGCACTTAGGGGCTGGGGCAGCTCATATAATTTCTTCACTACAGCTCATATAATTTCTTCACTTCACCCAAGCTCTATTTCCCAAGTTGCTATCCAAGAACTAGATTTTGACTGTTGTATTTCTCCTTTGAAGAATTATAATCTTAGTGTGGAACACATTTGGCAGCTGTTGAGAGAACCACATCAAGACAGGAGAGGATTTGAAGGCATACACAGACAGCTGACACACACTAAGAATCTCACACCATTACACTATTTCCATCGCCTTGATCATTCATCGAACCAGATCTAAAGAGAAGCCAAATCCTTGCCAAGATGTTGCCTTTACAAAGGAGCCCTGAAACACACCACACCATCAGATTATTATAAAACATACAAGGCCGAAGGGCAAGAAATGAAGCATGGTTATCTTAATCGTCCTTGTATCACCACTCCTCCCTTCCTAGCACACAGTATTCAATTCATTAACCAAAATTTACTGAGTGCCTATTTGCCTGGCTCTGTGCCATGCAGTGGAAGTAGACTGGTGCAGAGGACAAACAGGGTTCTGATCCTCCCATTTAATGTGCGGAACACCCTCCATTGAATAAATAAGCTTCAACACACTTTCTGTGCATCCAGAGAACCAGCTCCTCCCTGTCTATAGCAGGGATCCTCAATCTTGGTACTACTGACACTCGGGTCGGTAAGTCTTTGATGTAGGGCTGTCCTGCAGGCTGTTCAGCAGCACCCCTGACACCTACCCATCGGATGCCAGGAACAATCCCAGAGTTGTGAGAACCCAAATCGTCTCCAGACACTGTTAAATAGCCTGTGGAGGGGGGAGCGAACCCGTGCCTGCTCAGAAACTCCAGCCCAGCGCCTTCACGAGTGCTCTCGGTCCCTTCGACCTTCCTTCTTTATTCATGCTCCAAATCCTGGCTCGAAATTCGCTTCCTCGGGGAGGGCTCCCCGCCCCCTCAGACCTGTTGGTGCCTAGGGTTCCGCGCTCCGTACTCCTCCACCCTGCACAACCACCCGCTTGACGTCTACTCTCCCAGGGCTACGCGCTCCGAGAGGGCAAGGAACTTCCCTCCCGCCGTGCCCTGGCGACGGGGACCGGCACTGTACCTCACAGAGGTCCCGCAACTGCTGTGGAATGAGGGACGGAGAGAGCAAGGCGATGAAAGCGGGGGGGCGTTATTTCAGAAAGCCGGGGCGTGAGCGACCCAAGGCGGGCAGCTCAGCGGCTCTGCGCATGCTCTTCAGTCTCCCACGGCCCCCAACGGAGGCAGGTCGACCGTGCCTGAGGCTCTGCCGGGGCTCTCCAAGGAGGGCACAGGGTTTGTCAGTCCAACGAAGGCCCGGGAGAGAGGAGGACTTACGTGGGTTTGAAAGCGGGCAGCAAAACCCCTCACTCAGGAACACCAACCGCTGCGACCACGTCGGCCACGGACGGCGGCTCGGCCCCCTCGGCTCGCCTCCCTCAGCTCGCCTAACGGCCGTTAACACGCCCGCCAGGCCGCGCGCCGCGCGCACAGCCCCGGCCCCGCCCCTTTTTGCCCGTCTGCGACCAATCAGAAGTAGGGCCGCGCGGGTGTCCCACCCCCGCACGCCGCCCTCGGCGCGGGGAACGGACGGATCTCTCTGCGCATGAACCAGTCGCCGCTCTCTGCTGTCGCCTCAACCCTTCGGCTGGTCTCGCCTTTGGGCGGAGCGCTGCTCACCGGGCCCTGAAGTGGCCTTCTTGGGCCTGTGCAGATTGAGAAACTGGCAGCCAGCGCAGCTCATTCCGGGATCCCAGCCTCCTCCCATTCCTCACCACCTATCGAGTACTCCCACCTGAAACAGGGGGTCACATTGTGACCAGGAGTTAGGTTGTGGCCAGGGTCACTGTCTTGTCAGGGTCAGGACTTGATCCGGTTACATAACAGGCCATGGTCAGTCTGTGACCAGGAGTCAGATTGAAGGGTATGGGATCAATCTTGCCTCCCTACTCAAACGTGCTCCCCTCTCATTTATATTTTAATGAAGACTTTTGGCGTTAATTTGAGAGAATATTAACAATTTTCAACAGTTTTAAGTTCAATACCATCCTTTTAACTTTATTTTGTTTCATTCTGTTTTCTTTTTGAGGTATTTAAGCATAATATGGTCAATGGTATTTTCCCCTCATACTTGAGGATATTTTCTTTCTTTTTTTGCCCCAGCCTGTGGCTTGCAGGATCTTAGTTCCAATCTTAGTTACCCTACCAGAGATTGAACTGTGCCCTCAGCAGTGGAAGCCCCAAGTCCTAGCCATTGGACTGCCAAGGAATTCCCTAGGATATATATTTTTTTACTTATTTTAAAATACTTTTATTTGGCGACTTAGTTGTGTCACGTGGGATCTTAAGTTGCAGCATGGAGTCTAGTTCCCTGATCAGGGATCAAACATGGACCCCTGCATTGGGAGCACAGTCTTAGCCACTGGACCACGAAGGAAATCCTGCCTAGGATATATTTTAAATGTGGGCAAGGGTTAATGGCTTTGTCAACAAGGCTATTTAAAAGGTCTGTTTACTCCAGATTCATAAAGTGAATATGAATTCCCAATGAAATGTAATTAATTGTACTGATTTAATGTGTGTGATTTTTATGTACATGAAAAAATAATATGGATTGATCATTTGACTTAATTTTTTTTCTGGAGCTGTTAAATCATTAAATGATAAGAAAAGATTTTGCAAATGAAATGTTAAAGACTTTTAGTTGTTTGTAACAATATATTTCCCCAAGAAATTAATTTCTGGAATGATTATAGATACAAATAAAAGCAATATTTTAAAAATGAAACAAAATAGGCATAGGGCCTTCTTGATTTTGTGAAAGTACCACCTCTGTCAGCTTCTAAAGCCTGTCCTGCTTTGTGGTTCACACCAGGCAGTGGTACTTCCTGCCTTCAACTATCCTCTCTGTAGGGTCAAAGCCTGTGTTTTGTGTGCTGTTGAATCCCCAGTAGATTCCAACCTGTTTTTGAATGAATAAATGGTAGCACACTGTTGCCTCTATCCACCCTCTGTTAGGAAAGGGGAGTTAATGAGGATGGAAATAATGATCAGAATAATATTATATTCATACCTGCTGTGCTCTGCTTAGTCATTCAGTCGTGTCTGACTCTTTGCAACCACATGGACTGTAGCCCGCCAGTCTCCTCTGTCCATGGAATCCTTCAGGCAAGAATACTGGAGTGGATTGCCATGCCCTCCTCCAGGGGATCATCCCAACCCAGGTCTTCCACATTGCAGGCAGATACTTTACCATCTGAGCCACCAGGGAAGCCCATGAATACTGGAGTTGGTAGCCTATCCCCTCTCCAGGCGATCTTCCTGACCCAGGAATCAAACCAGGGTCTCCTGCATTGCGGGCAGATTCTTTACCAGTTGAGCTACCAGGGAAGCCCTATATTGACACATTAAATCCTAATTCTGAAATTGAATAGATCTTGCCCATTCTGCGGAAGAAAGGAGACTTGGAACCAGTTGGCCACAGCTCAGCAACTTACCTAGAATGTGAGTCATGGAGTCCCCATATTGAAGCAAAGACCATCTGGTCAAATTCTTTCATTTTACAAATGGAGGAACCGAGACCCATAGAGAACAAAGTTACTTCTCACATGTATGTACACACACACACACACCATTCCTCATAAAGCGTCGAATTTTGTGGTCTGATGACAGAAAAGGAGTCGGATAAAGTAGGAAAGTTCTCTGCTGTTTATTGGCCATAATCTCTGCCTACACCTTACCATATTGAGCAGTACAAACCTACCCTTGGAAGAGTTCCAGAGATGGGAAGGGAAGGTGAAATGAGGAAGCACTGCCCAAGGCTCAGTGGTCACAATCCTTACTAGACAGTTTAATAAGTCACACATGGATTCCATCTTCATCCCCAACCTGTTTGGTCACTAACAAGAGGACAAACTAGTTGCCTTCCCCTATATCTTCCTCCACCCTACCCTTGCCTCAGGCCACTAAACTAAAGTCTAAGGACTAGAGTTTCGGGGGAGTATCTGGATAGGATTTTATCCTAGCATCCAGCCTATCATCGTGAGAATAAAGATGGCCATCCAGGATCCTGCAGGAAAGAAAGAAATGATTTTAAAAGCAGAATAGGTGCCTTTGTGAGCCTGGGAAACATTTTAGGCTTAAACACTCCACTTTGGAGATTATTTAGTAAGTCATTCATGCATTCTTTCAACAAAGCTTTCCTGGGGCTTACTATGTGGCCCTGAGTACTCAGACAGTTGGATAGCATCACTGACTCAATGGACATGAGTTTGAGCAAACCCCAGGAAATAGGGAAAGACAGGAAAGCCTGGCATGCTGCAGTTTATGGGGTTACAAAGAGTTGGACATGACTTAGTGACTGAACAACAACTGTGTGGCAGTTCCTCTGTTGGGCTGGGGGTGAGATGGATGGAGATACAGAGATGAACTCTCCATTCAGTGTGGATTCCATTCAACCTCCTCACTTGTTACTACCTTCCTGGCCTCGTATCTTGACATTTCAACCCCTACTCTAAATCATTTCTGGATAGCCTCAGGTTCTGATAAGGGATAAAAAGTTATGATTACAAACAGTCCCAAAATGACAACTCTGCCATGTATAGCTGAGAAAGTTGAGACTTAGGGTAAATAACTTCTCCCAGGTCACATACTACTGAGTAGAGATAAGATCCAAGTCCAGCCAGTGTGCACCCCCAGACCCTGGTGCAGCCATCATAACTTTGTCACAGCAATCCCTGGGTACCAACCTGCCAGACTCCTGCTGCTGGAGGCACTAGACTCTGAAACCGCAAAGGAAGAAAGATTAAGCTTAAAGTTTTTAGGCTTAAACACTCCACTCTGGGGATTATTTAGTGTCATTTATGCATTCTTTGTGGAGAAGGAAATGGCAACCCACTCCAATATTCTTGCCTGGAGAATCCCAGGGACAGAGGAGCCTGGTGGGCTGTCCGACAGAGTCGGACATAACTGAAGCACTTAGCAGCAGCAGCATGCATTATTTGATTAAGCAAAAGGACCGTTTCTCGAAGCATGGGCTCAGAAGGTTGTGATGATGAACCTTCTGCCTCTAAAGAATGGACTTACTAAGAAGATAGGCTTTCCTGTGAGGGTCAGAGCTTTGGAAGGTTGTCACCAAACAGAGAAAAGGGAGAGATGGTTTCAGACTAGCAGGAGGGTTTACAAAAGCAGACTGGCACAAGGGACAAACATACTGGGCAAAAATGGGTCTGGGGTGGGCAGGAAAGATGAGAATGGGAGGAGAAAAGTTTAATGAGTGAGAAAAGGAACCAGGATGGGGTGAGAGAGGAGACCTCTCCAGAGCAAAGGAATCGAGGAGGACACGGACTGGAATTGAGGGAAGAGGATGGTAGGAAGAGGTTAAAGGGTTGACATCTCAGAACAGGTCAGTGGGGAAATCTAGAGGAGGAGCCAAGGAGGCCCCCAAATGATCCAGTTACCACTCAATCGAATGGGCCCGAACACCAGCCAGCCAGTGCCGCTCTCCAGGCCCTCTCGGGTTGAGATCTCCCAGGCTCGATTCCTCCTAGGCGGACTGTTCTGTCTACAGGTCTGTGGGGACAAAGCAGAAGGGTAGCGAAGTCTCTGTCCGCCCTCACCTGGTTGGGCCTTTGCCCGAGATGCCCAGGTTGCCCCAGTGAATTCACCAAAATCCTGCCCTTTAGGTCAATCTACAGGCCCCTCACCCTGGGCAGGCTAGGCCAAGCCCCAGCACCACCGTCCTCCAGGCCCCTCCTTAGTCCCACCCTTGGGATGAGGAATTGCTGGGAGCCCAGCTCCCCAGCTAACCGCCCTCAGCTGTGGCCCATGGAGCACCTAGTGCTGCCCGCTCACCGGTGGACACGGGCGTCCTGCCTGCTTGTCACACAGGGTCACTCGGCTGTGCAGGTAGAGCGCATCGCTGGGCAAGAGGTGGAACGGGTTGAAGGCCAGTTTCACCTCCAGGGAGGCCCCGTTGGCCCGCGGGCCCTCCAGCAGCCGCTTGCTGACGGGGCAGCTGTCAGGAGAGGCAGCGTCCCCCATGGTTAGGAGCCCAGGCAAACACTGATTTCCCCTTTTTGGCTTGTCCAGTGTGGGTGTACGCGCTGGGTCTCATGATGAAAATTCACATGCATTATTTCACTGTATTCTCACATCAGTCGTAGGAGGAAGACAATACTTTTGCCCCCCTCCTCTTTCTTTCTTTACTTCTTTCTTCCTCTCCTTCCCTTTCTTCCCTTCCCTCCTTGTGTCCCTCTCCCTCCCTTCATCTCTCTCTCCTTCCCCCTTTCCCTCCCTCTTTCCCCTTTTTCTTTCTTTCTTTCCCTCCTTCCTTTTTTTTTTTTAAAGTCTTTTCTCTCCCTCTGTCTTTTCCTTTCTTCTCCTTCCTCTCTTACTTCTATTATTATTTTGATGATGTGGTGGTAGCAACTTAAGGCAAGATGACCTTTTATTTTTATGTGTGTTTTTCTAAGGCCCTCCCCTTTCAGTAAAGTGCACTTCTTCACTGGACATAGTTTATCAGGGGGCACTTATTAGCTGCTCCACATTAAAAAAAAGGAAACCTCAGCTACTGGTGGCAAAGTGATAGGCACAAAAAATCATGAGCTAAGGGATTCGGAGGTAGTGGCCTGAACTGTCCTTGGTGTTGTCATGGTAACTTTTTTGAGGTGACAATGACCTAAATGTAACCCCTTCACTATAACTGATAACATTGGAATAGAGTCCGTGCAGAGTCCGTGGGCAGAAAGTCTTACAGAGCATAGGTTCTCTTCTTGGTCCTTGGGAGAAAGTTCACTCAGGAAACTGAGTGAATGAAACAGACCAAACCTCCTATTCTCTTGTGAGTAAGAGGAGACACACAAGAAATAACTTAATAAAAAAAAAAGGAAATGAGCTCACATAACATAGTATATAATAGGAGGTGATAAGTAGATAGAAGAAAGAAATATGGATCTAGACTGGATAAGTGGAGGGTAGTTGCAATTTTAAATAGCAAGGATGGGGTAGGCTTCATTGAAATGGTGTCCTTTAAGTAAAGACTAAGGGGATGAGAATTCTCCATATAGGTATCAGGGCGTTGAGGATTCCAGGAAGAGAAAACAGCCAATGTAAAAGCCTAAGGGACAGCAAATTATCTTCCTACTAAATTACCTGTCCCCTCCTATGGGCATTAGGCAATCACCTCTATGACCTCTCTCCCTTGTACTTTCTGAAGCCCATGTAATCTTTTTATACCCTGGGGTCTTTATTCCAGGACTCAAGACTGCTTGCTTGCTCAGGTGCTTCTGATTCTTTGTGACACTATGGACTGTAGCCTGCCAGGCTCCTCCGACCATGGGATTTCCTGGGCAAGAATGCTGAAGTGAGTTGCCGTGCCCACATCCAGGGAATCTTCTCGACCCAGGGATCGAAACTGCATCTCTTGTGTCTCCTGCATTGGCAGGCAGGTTCTTTACCACTAGCGCCACCTGGGAAGCCCAGTATTTTTTATCCTTGGGTCTTTATCCCTGGTGGCTCAGATGGTAAAGTGTCTGCCTACAATGTGGGAGACCTGGGTTTGATCCCTGGGTCAGGAAGATCCCCTCGGAAATGGCAACCCACTCCAGTACTCTTGCCTGGAAAATTCTATGGATGGAGGAGCCTGGTGGGCTACAGTCCATGGGGTCCCAAAAGTTGGACACGACTAAGCGACTTCACTTTCTTTATTCCAAGACTCAAGCTTACTATCAGTAAATCCATTCTAGTCTCCCTCCTTGATGGTCCTTTTCTTCTACTTCTTTTATCTTTGACTGTGTCATGTGGCTTGTGGGATCTCAGTGGTTGGGATTGAACCTAGCCCCATGGCAGTGAAACCGCCGAGTCCTAACCACTGGACTGGGAATTCTGTCCTTTTTTTCTTTTAAAGATGAGGAAACTGAAGCTCAGAAAAGCTAAGTAGGTGGTCCAGGTTTCTTCAGGTAGCAATCTGAGTGCAGTGCCACCCATACCCTTAATCACTAAGTTCTCTTTTCTCCTAACAAAGGAGCTTCCCTGGTGGCTCAGATGGTAAAGAATATGCCTGTAATGCAGGAGACCTGGGTTCCATCCCCGAGTGGGGAAGATGCCCTGGAGAAGGGCATGGCAACCCACTCCAGTGTTCTTGCCTGGAGAATTCCAAGGACAGAGAAGTCTGGCAGGCTACAGTCTATGGGGTCACAAAAAGTCAGACATGATTCACTTTCACTTTCTATTTCCTCCTGACAAAGGAAGAATTGCACGGTAGAATGGATTTGGTGGTATTTCAGAATCAGGACTCTGGAAGAATGAGTAGATCAGCATTATGTCCTTGGTCTAGTCATTAAACTCTGAATCCTCTAATCCTCTTATTTTTAAAGTGGGGGAAGTAATACTTCATAGGGTTTTTTCAGGAATAAATGGGGCGATGAATGATTCACTGTGCTCTATGAAGACTTGTTAATAACAATGAAATAAAACCAGGAGACAGGAGACATGTCTCCTTCCCTTGACCATGAGCTGTTGAGGGTAAGGACTTGAACCACCACTTATCAAGGTCTACCACTTATGAGTTGTGTGAACTGAGCCTAAGTTTCTCCATCTATAGAATGGGAATGAAAATATAACTATCTCATACAGTGTGTTGTGAGCCTTATGTGAATTAATATATGCGAAGTGATTTGAACAGTGTCTGTTCAAGTGTCAAATATATTATGTAGTGTATCATACCCTGAAACGTTAGCTTTGTTTTCATTTTTTACTTTTATGACTGTAAACCCTCAGTAACTGTTTGAGGAAAGAAGACAAGGAATGAGTGCCATTAATTGACTGTAATCTTGTAGAGGCCTTCATTTCCCATTGCTTTAATTTACTCATCTGAAACATGGAAATGATAATAATCTTTGCATTTTTTTCAACAAGCATTCACCCAGCACTTACTTTCTCCTCCTGTTTATGTACCAGGAATACAGAGAAAAGTGACAGGACCTGTGCTTATGGGTATGAAACTACCCAGCTCAAGCTACAGTCCAAGAGCTAGAGTAGCAGTGAAAGGAGGTTACCAGGGCCCCGCAGGTACTTACCTTCCCTTCACAAAGTAGTGGGTGGCCTTAACAGCACCAGTCCTGGAGCTGCTGGTGCTGGCAAAGACCTCATTGACCACCAGGGCAAATCTATTTGGGTCTCTGCTTGTCGCTCTGAGGACCACGTAGAGAGGCTTGTGAAGGGGAGCTGGTCTGTTCTCAAGTGGAGATGAGCACTGAGGGTCTGTGTAGATGCCCAGGATGATGATGGTGTCCCCAGTGCCGGAAATATGGATGGTGATATATCTGGAAAGGGATGGCAATAAAACCCTCACCACAAAACCCTAGAGGCAAGGGGTATCATTCACCCTCTGCCTTGTACCCTGGTTCACTGAGCACTGGTAGCCACAGAGAACTAGGGGAAGAGAAGTGTTAGTAGCTCAATCATTCCAACTCTTTGATTTGCCAGGCTCCCCTCTCCATGGAATTCTCCAGGCAAGAATACTGGTGTGGGTAGTCATGCCCTTCTCCAGGGGATCTTCCTGATCCAGGGATCAAATGGTCTCCTGCATTTCAAGCAGATTCTTTATTGTCTGAGCCGCCAGGGAAGCCCAGGGAGAGGAGAGGCAAGTTTGCTAACCTTCCTCCTGGACCTCCTAAAAGGTGAGGGGCCACATCATAGATCCTCAGACCCCAGGGCCCTTGAGGACATCTGAGCCATCCTACCTCAAGGTCATTAATTTACATAAACAACCCATAATGTATTACTTCATAAAAGCACCTTTTTCTTCCACTAATACTTTGTATCCCAGTCTAAGAGGTACCTATGATTGCTGGGTGGGCATGGCAGGGGGACCAACATCCGGAGGGTGTTGACTCCTTTTGCATCAATTATAGGTAGCAGTGGGAACTCGAGAGCCTCTGCAGGGCTCAGCCAGAGAGGCAGCTGATGAAAAGGAACTCACGTGAAAGAGACTACTGGTTTGGGGTGAGTGACATTCACCACCAGAGCATACGTGCAGCTGAGGCTGAGCATCATGACGTCAGTTTTATTGGCAGCATCAGGATGAGATTTCAGAAGCTGCACCTCCAGAGAATAAAGGGCATGGCTCTTGTTGATCTGGAAAAAACAGGGAGGCAGCCATTACCCTCAAATCTCCTGGGGAATCTCTGCTTTCCATCGTCATTTGTTGCAAGTTGTTTATTTAAATAAGAGGAATGGCCAAAGCCTGGACCTCTCTGGCAGTCCAGTGTTTAAGATGCTGCACTTCCCCTGCAGGAGATGTGGGTTTGAAACCTGGTGGAAGATCCCGCAGCCAAAATATAGAGGGGGGGAAAGAGTAATGGCTAAAGTTTACTGAGCATGGGTTATATTCCAGGCACTGTGGTCTGATTGCAACTCTGTGAGGAGGGGTCCATTATTAGTCCCATTTTACAGAAGGGTAAACTAAGGCTTATTTATTTGGCTGCACAGTGCACCTGCAGGATCTTAGTTCCCCAACCAGGGATTGAACCCAGGCCCTCAGCAGTGAAAGCGCAGAGCTCTAACACCTAGACTGCCAGGGAATTTCCAAAAGAGTAAACTGAGGGTTAGAAAGTTAAAAGATTTGCCCAAAGCAATTAACAAAGCCAGAATTCAACATCTCACTGATCCCAGAGCCCATGTTCTTAACCTCTGTGCCAGTGGTTCTCAAATTTCAACATGCATTTTAGAATCTGCTGGAAAAAAATAAAAGAATCACTGTAGGACTTGTTAAAATTGCTGATGCCTGGTCCTTATCCCAAGATTCGGATATTTTTTTGATATTTCATTGTTTTTCACAGCATTTCTTAAAAACAAATCAAAATTATTTGTTTTATTGCTATAAATCAAGCAGTTTGTTTTAAAAGGAACACAGAATTCTAGGGGCAAAGCCACAGACTTATCTATTACATGTTGAAACTGTCAACTCTGTGCTATTGACTTAGGCAAGAGAACCCATCTGTGGGTGGCAGAACTAGATACTGGAGGAACTACATCACCCACCTTACCCCACCATTAGAACAAACTCTGGTTTTCAAACTGAGCCTGGAGAGCTCCAGAGCCTCTTTGAAGGGGCGTTAAAGTCTACCCATGTGTTAGGTGGAAGCTGACCCAGCAGGGCACCCTTCCTCCTGCTGCATTCAATCAGAGCTGCTCTATTTTTATATATTTCTTTTTATGTTTGGCTTTTCACAAGAGCCCTTTCCAGGAAAGGAGGTAACAGCAGAGTGAGCAGTTAGGAGCACAAGTCAGCTGGGTTAATAACTGACTGTGTGACTTGGGATAATCCCTCAGCTTCTCTGAGCCTTAGATTGCTCATCTGTAAAATGGAAACTTCAGAGGATTATTGTGAAGATTTAGTGAGACATTGCATGTAAAAAAATTTCTGACCCACAGCACACGGTACACAGTATGTGTGTGTCAATCAGTCATGTCTGACTCTTTGTGACACCATGGACTGTAGCCACTCTCCAGGCAAGAATACTGGAGTGGGTTGCCATTCCCTTCTCCAGGGGATCTTCCTGACCCAGGGATTGAACCTGGGTCTCCTGCATTGCAGGCAGATTTTTTAACATCTGAGCTACCAGGGAAGCCCAGCACACAGCAAGATATTAATACATACTGGTTGCAGTTGTGGTTGTGGTAGTTATTATTTTAAAGGATTCTGTGGCTGACAAGTTTGGAAATCAATTTCCCAATCCATCAAACATGGCACCATTTATAAGGGCATTCCTAATCTGATGAGAGACAACATGGTCTCCTTCCCCAAAAGACTAGTCTGATTGCTAAGACTTGACTTCATTCCAGAGAGTTATCCTTCATTTCGAAGGAAATAAAGTTACAACTGGTACCCAGTCATTCATTTCCCAGTCTGCCGGGAGCCAGCACATGAGATCCCACCCATGACAAGGTCATGAGGAGAAGACCTGACAAGCAAGGCAGATCAGGACTTCAGGGGTTTCGAAAACCTGCCCTGGCGCTCACCTTAAAGATGATCTCTGTCTTTCTGATGCTTGCTATATTAGACCACTCCCTAATTTCTGTGACACAGGGAGAAGGCCTTCCCCGATCTCTCTCCAAACAGAATTAACTTAGAACTTTAATCAATATGTCCCCCGGACGGTGGTATCCTATAAGATTATCCAGGATGAAAGGAGTGTTTCAATTTAGACCCCTTTGCTGGCATTCTAGCCTGCTTGGCAAATGCGTACTAATGCACATGACTGCTCAAAACACCTTAATCATAAACAGCATAAAGAACCTGATCACACAAAAGGCCCTAATAGGCACAGAGCCCTTCGGGGGGTGAGGAAGCCCTATTAGAGAACACAAAAATATTATTCTAAAAGTGGTTATAGTTAAAGATTTAGAAAAATAAGAGTTTAGAATTGTTCATTTTAACCAGGAATGCTAAACAGGGGCTGCCTCGCCGGAGCTGCAGAGTTGTTGTGTGGTAAACCTTTTAGATAAATTTAACTGATAACTTCTGCAAAAAGACTGACCTTTGTGTTAACAGGATTGTATTTCTACTATGTTGTAACCTACTGTACCATGAGACTTCCACTTTTCTGTTTTCTGCTAAGCTCAAGGCAAAATAGAACAATGAAAAATAGACTATACGGAAAACAGCTTTGCATTCTCCTAGGTCATAAAATGGCAATGGGCCCCAAGGCCAGAAGATAATGTACAAAAAATCTACTATGGAAAAAGACTCTCATAAACAAAGAAGTATACAGAAAACTTCCTGGTTTCATGAAGGACAAGCTGATGTAATGTTAAACTAACTCTGTGTGCTTATCTTTCCCTTAGAAATGTACTAACTTAGGGTATGAGAGCTACGGTAAAAAAATAAAGCAACGCCAGACCCTGCTGCAAACCCCAGTCTGATCTCTCTCTCTCTCTCGCTGACGCCATTCATCCTGAGGGTACCCCTGGATCCTGCTGAAGCTGGACCCCGGCACCAGTCCCTCCCCCAAGCACACATACAGCCCAACTTCCTGTCAGAGGGTCCCTTCCAGATTTCTCACAGAGAGGTGGAGTCCACAAGAACGCTCTTTCTTCTCCACGGTGAAGACCTGGGCTCTGCGGCCCTCCTCTGACTTGCCGACGCTGGAGCATCCTGAAAAGGTGCCTTCCCCCAGGACCCAGTGGCGAGTCTTCAGGAAGCAGCTGCTCAGGACCACCTCAATTTTCTGTGGCTGGCAGCGCAGAGCCACCAATGCCCCGGATAGTTCTGTAGGGGACAAGAGCCAGGACAGAGGCTTCGTGAGGCTCCCAGGGTGATGCCATGGGCAGGGGTACTAGTTCTAATCTGGGTGGAGGAAGCACTGTGGGGATACAAGCCCAACCCATAGCCAATCCCTTAAAGACTCTCCCTCATGGGAGGAGAGACCACTCTGCCATGATTGCGCTGGGGACCTAATCCCTGGCCTTAGCTGATCCACTCAGAATCTCTTTCCCAGGAACTCAGCCTGCAAGGAGGCGGTATAAAGCCCGAGAGTTGTGAGGCAGCCCTCTCGTGCCTTGTGGGCTGAGATGCAGGAATAGCCAGTGTTTGGAGAGAGGAACAAAGCAGTTGTGGGTACAGAAGCGGGTAAAGCAAGACTGAGAGAGGAGAGAGGGGTGACTCGCTGGTTGCCACCACATCCATCGTTCCAAGTCCCTGGGGACCCTGGCTGGAGCCTACGCTTGGGCTCCATGAGACACCCTTGTAATAAATTCTCCTGTTTACCCTTCTCCAACCCCATTGGCTTCTTTACTTGCCTGGAAAGATTATTTGAGGAGATAATAATTTGCTTTGTTCTTTGATTTCCTTCTTATTCCAACAGGTAACCTGGGCCTTGGGGTTTTTGAGGGACCTAAACTGTCTGAACTCAATGGCTCTTTCTGTCTTGTAAAAGCCGAGGGAGCACCATTGAGAGTCATGAGAGAGAGGAGTGCATCTTCACATACTTTTCAGGATTTCTTAGCTTCACAAGGCAACAAATTTTGCTTTGTTCCATGTTTTCTGTTTTTTTAATTAATTAATTAATTATACTTAAATCAATTAGCATTGATTTTTCTGCCTCTGGCACCACATGGTGCCCTGATAATGTCAGCACCATGTTTTGGGTGATGAAGGAGAAGCTAATATTTAACCCTTCTGTTCTTTCTGTGTCTGTGCATTCCATACTTGCTGTTGAATTTGGGATGAACTGCTTACAGTTAGTCATTAAAAAGTAAAATATCAAGGAAATACGAAACATTTTTGGACTTGCTTCATTACTTTGAATTTAAAGATTTTTGTTTTTGTTTCCTTTTTTTTTAAAAAAATCTCCTTGATTCTATTTTCGCAGGCTTGTTTGGTCAGAAGCATGGACTGAGATATAAGAGCTGATGCTTTGGAAGTTCCCTGGTGGTCTAGTGGTGAAGACTCTTGCGCTTCCACTGCAGGGAGTATGGGTTAGATCCCTGGTTGGGAAATTAAGATCCCACATGCCAACATGGCATGGCAAAAAAAAAAAAAAAGGCAGAGTAGTCTTTTTTAGAAAAATCAGAGTTTTATTATATTGAAGTATTGTGGGGGGTTAGATTTATTTCCACTGTAGGGGGCATATGTTTTGTTCCCAGGACCCAGCTTCAGCCCTGCCAGAGGCTGAGCCTGGGAGGTAGTTGCATTGCTATTCACACAGGGAGATCCTGTGACCTCCACCTTTCTATAATATCTGCTACACTTGTCTTGCCTCAACAAAATTTTTGCTCGTTTCCCTGCTTAGCCCTCCAGGCCTCTGCTGGGGTTTTATCTTTGATAGCTCATCATCTACTCCCTGCAGGAAGGCTTAATCTCAGATCACTCGTTGGAATCCTGGGGGCTGGAGGTTGATGAGTTGCCCATTCTACCTCTGCTGTAGACCATATGTTTGCACCACCACCCCCAAATCCATATGTTAAATCCTAATAGCCAATGTGACATTATTAGAAGGTGGGTCCTTTGGAAAGGGATTAGGTCACGAGAAGGAAATGGCAACCCAATCCAGTATTCTGGCCTAGAGAATTCCATGGACTGTATAGTCCCATGGGGTCGCAAAGAGTCGGACATGACTGAGTGACTTTTGCTTCACTTAGGTCATGAGGGGAAAGCCCTCATGAACAGAATTGGTGCCCTTATAAAAGGGACCCCAGAGAGCTCCCTTGCCCCTTCCATCCTTTGAGGACTCAGTAAGAGGACAGCTGTCTGAACCAGGACGTGGGCCCTCACCCAATTCCAAAGCTACCCGTGCCTTCATCTTGGACTTTCAGCCTCCAGAAATGTAAGGAATAAGTTTCTGTTGTTCATAAGCCAACCTATGTCTGGTATTTTGCTATAGCAGCCCGAACTAAGACAAATTCATATGTCTAGCTACCTTTGCTCTCACTGGAAATCACCTCTACCCAGATAGACTCTTTAGATGTCAATGTCTGACCAAACCTCACTAGCTCTCCCATACCCTTTGGACTTAGTTCATCTGGGCCTTCACAGACTTGTGGGGAGTTCTTAGCTGCACTGTCGGGAGTTCCTCAGACTTACCTGAGTGGGCATAGTAGCTGTTATTGCACATACAACCTCCACTGTCAGCTAGGTACTCATCCAAAGCACAGATTTCTGCTCCAGGACTGCTGCTCCCGGTGTGTTTGGGGGACACTTGACTGACTCCAGTCCTGGCAGAGGATTTTGTTGTCCCTGGGGAAATGGGAGTAAGGGTTGTTGAATGAGCAGCTGTTGTCTCAGGTGACGGGGTCGTGGCAGCCCCAGCACTGGGGGCTGATTCCATCGGAGGGGAAGGTGTTCGCATGACGGTGTTGTGATGTCTTTCGGACTCTGTGCTTGTCGTGGAGGATGTTGTTGGGGTGGAGAGTGCAGCTGTAGTTACCCCTGCCTGAGTCCCAGGCATGTTTGTTCCAGGAACAATTGTCTCCAGGGTGGTCATGGTTAGTGAAATAGTGTGAGTAACAGCACTGGTGGTCACAGGTAAAGATTCTATTGCATCAGTGGTTTTGTCCAATGTCACTCGGGATGTTGTAGCTGACATCTCAGAGACAGTGGTTGTTATGGACCCTGATGACGTAACGTCAATGCCTGATGTGTTTAAAGCCACTGGAGTTGTGATCGTGGCTAATTTTGAAGAGTCAGTTGCCACTGAGGACTCCAGTCCATTGGCTGCAGATCTCGATGTGAATGGGGCTGCAGCTGGAGCACGCTGCTTCTGTTTCGAGGGGTTTGCTGTTGTGGCCATGCTGGATGAGGCTGTGCTTCTGGATGTTCCTTCCTGGGCCTTCAGTGTGGAAGTCATCATGGAACTTGGCAGCGTTCTGCCCTCAGAAGTTGTGGTGATAACTGTATTTAATTTCTCCTCCTGAATCTCATGTGTTGGGCTTGTCTGCTCAGTGGACCCAGCAGAGCTGCCGGTTGGTGATGAACTTAGAGGCGCAACTGGTGTTGTATGTTGCTGGGTCTTAGACACTGTTGTCCTCCCGATTGTTGGTGAAGCATTAGATGAAACTGCAGGGCCATCGTCTCTCCCACTGTTGGATAAAGTTGTGCAGGAATACTCTGTAGTTCCCGAAGCTTCAGAGTCGTTCATGGAGGATGTTGTAATTGACCCCCGGGTTGTCATAATGCCTATAAAACAAACAAAAAGAAACCAGTATACCTGTTCCCTCCACCAATCCAGATGTTCTCACTTTACCAAATATCTTTATTGCAAGATTCAATTAAGTAATATCAACAGCAACTACATTATTACTGGCTTGCACCATTTATGTGCCAGCTCTGTGCTAATTTTATTTTCTTGGGCTCCAAAATCACTGTGGATGGTAACTGCAGCCACGAAATTAAAAGACGCCTGCTCCTTGGAAGAAAAGCTATGACAAATCTAGACAGCATATTAAAAAGCAGTGACATTACTTTGCTGACAAAGGTCAGTATTGTCAAAGCTATGGTTTTTCTAGTAGTCATGTATGGATGTGTAAGTTGGATCATAAAGAAGGCAGAGCACCAAAGAATTGATGGCCAAAGAATTTCACATTGTGGTGCTGGAGAGGACTCTTGAGAGTCCCTTGGACAGCAAGGAGATCAAACCAGTCAATCCTAAAGGAGAGCAACTCTGAATATTCATTGGAAGGATGGATGCTGAAGCTGAAGCTCCAATAATTTGGCCACCTGATGCAAAGAGCCAGTTCATTGGAAAAGATCCTGATGCTTGGAAAGATTGAGGGCAAGAGGAGAAGGGCAGGACAGAGAGTGAGGTGGTTGGATGGCATCACTGACTCAATGGACATGAATTTGAGCAAACTCTGGGAGATAGTGAAAGACTGGGAAGCCTGGCATGCTGCAGTCCATGGGGTCGCAAAGAGTCGGCCACAACCTAGTGACTGAACAACAACTGTGCTAGTAGATCTTAGCTGATGCATGCCGGGGAGTGCTAATTTAACTAATTCTGGCAACTATGTCTCATTATACTTAAAGACTATTCCAGAGACAAGAGTCAGCAAAAGATGGAAATCTATTATCACACTTGATCTTTGATTTTTTTATTATGTTCATCACCTAATTATTATTAAAGTAACTTCTCACAAATTTTTATTTACATGCATATGTATGAGCATGATCTTTGATTTCTTAATACCTTTTTTGATGTGACTTTCATACTGCATTGAATATGATTTTAATATTTAAAGGTACCCTTGTGTGTTTTTTTGCAACCTGACCCCTAATTGAAAGCCAAATGCTTCATTTACTGCAATAGCAGTCAAGGATAGTTTTGACAACCTTCAGTTTTCACCTTGTCTGAGTAAGGTGCTGTTCCAATGTGCAAGCCTTGGCGCACTGAATCCTCACATCCACCCTTAGGTAAGGACTATTATTTCTATTTATCAGATGAAGAAACTGAGGCTCAGCCAGAGGAAGACATCTGTACAAGGTCGCACAGCCAGGAAGTGGTAGCACTGGATTTGAAACCAGATCCATCAGACTCCAGAGCCCAATGTCCTCCCTACTATGCTGCACTGCTTCACAAAAACACAACTTTATTCTCATGGCTGAGCCAGATACCCTCTCTAGAGAAAAAGGCCCAAATCAGTTACACTAAGCTGTATCCCTTGGAAACCTTCCTCTCTCTCCTGGGCAATAGGCAGAAATAGGTCCATCACCTGATGCCCTATCATTGTAACCTTGGCAGTTGTCAAGGGACTAATTCAGAAAAGCGGAGGTGACCCAGCCCAGGTGATGGGCTTGTCCTTCCCACAGTTAGCTCTGAAGAGACACTGAAACTTCTCCCCAACCCCACCCACATCTGGCATCTGCTTCTTCCAACCCTCACTTTCTTCTATCCCTGAAGAGAGCTACGGGGTCACAAAAGGACAGGAGTGGTGACCAGGATGCACGAAAGGAAAAGCTAGGCTCTGGACCTGGCTCTGTTACTGACTTGCTGTGTAATATTGGGGAAGACCACACCTCTCTCAGTCCTTGCACATCCCACTTAACACAGTGAGGGACTTGGACTTAGTATCACAAGACCTCTCTAAACCCTAGTGATCCATAGGTCTGTTTGCAACAAAATTCCAGGCCGAAATGAAGAGAGATCCTGCTACAGGGGTCTCGTGTTTTTATTTTCAGGGACAGATGTTTCCACTGGATCTGATTTTATGTTTTTTTTCCATGTGGTTAACCAGTTGTCTCTGCCCCCTTTTGGAGAAGTCTGTCCTTTCCCTACTGGTTTGTCAGGCTACCATTGTTATGCATCAAGACTGATTTTCTTGCTCTTTCATTCCCTTGGTTCGCTTGTCTATTGCTGCAACACCACATTATCTTACTGTTACTTTAATGTAAGTCTCAGTATCAGGTGGAGCGAGTCTCCCATCTTGCTCTTCAAAGTTACCTTGGCTATTGTTGACTTTTTGTTCTCCCTCATATGTATTGAAATCTGCATATCAGCTTTTGCAAAAAACCCCACTGTGATTTTGATTGAAAGTGTGTTGCAATTAGAGGTTTGCTAAGAATTCACACGGAGAAGACAATGGCAACCCACTCCAGTACTCTTGTCTGGAAAATCCCATGGACGGAGGAGCTTGGTAGGCTGCAGTCCCTGGGGTCGCTGGGAGTCAGATATGACTGAGCGACTTCACTTTCACTTTTCACTTTCACGCACTGGAGAAGGAAATGGCAACCCACTCCAGTGTTCTTGCCTGGAGAATCCCGGGGATGGGGGAGCCTGGTGGGCTGCCGTCTATGGGGTCACACAGAGTCAGACACGACTGAAGCGACTTAGCAGCAGCAAGAATTTACATGTATATGATATGGAGGTCTCCTGCCCACAGCAGCTCCTTTGAGAAGCAATGGAGCCTGGCCTGGACTCCAAAGCCAGACCTGGGACAGACTCCTAGTGCTGTGATGAGCAGACAAACCACTTCATGTCTCCAAGTCTGTTTCCTCAACTGTAAAACAGCAGTGATACCAGTGCCTATTTCAGGGTGCTCATAAAGATTAAATGAGACAGTGCATAGGAAGCACTTGGCACAGTGCTGAGCATACAGTAGGTGCTCAACAAGCAGAACCTGCTGCTGGTAATGATTTCCCCTCCTGTGCTTCTCACCAAAACTGGTATCTGCTTCCTGGGTATTATTTTGCCAAGGAAACACCCGGTCTTGGAAAAAGTCGTGATTCAGGAGATTGATGACACATGCAGTTTCCTGACAGCTCCCCATATCTTCCCCTGCACTGTCCCATGAACTCAGGATCCAGGGCTGCACTCCTCTGTTGGGCTCAGTGAGACACTGCCGGTGGCAGTTGGGGTAGGGCAGGGGAGGGCAGCAGGGGTCCAAGCCCCTGCAGGGGCCCTCAGTTCTAGACCAGATTGAGGGGGAACTAGCCTATTGAAACCCCTAGCTACTGGCCCAGAGCAGATGGAAAGGACAGACAGTAAAGGGGAGATGGCTGAGATGACAGACGACATGGAAGTAGATGAGGATAGCGTCTTGAGTGAGGATGGACAGGCCAAGCCAGAAGCTCTTTGGAGGTCATCCCATCATGTTCCTGCCCTGCCCCCCAAGCTCATGGGTGCCCTAAGGCTTCAGATCATTTAGGGGTGGGTTGGAGATGGCTATGCTCACATACGGTCTTCCTAGGGACAGACACTAACATCTTCCACCACCTGCTTCCCCTCCCCGGTGAGCCAGAAGATGGGCTGTGAGAGCCCCCAGAGAAGGATGGGTGGAAAGGGTGTGTGTGGATACTCACCAGGAAGATGGAGGGCTCCATCCCCAATTAATAGCAGCAGCAGCAGCAAAAGCCACTGTCTGCCCATCGTTCTGCCGGTCGATAGTCCCGGAGGTCACTGGCAGGGAGTCCTGGTCCAAACCGAGGCACAGACAGCAGCTCCAAGATTGTGAGGAACTGCTGGCATTGGTGTGACCTCCCACCTGCCTGCTGAGTGTCCCAGCCCTGCCCTAGTGTTCCAGACTCCTTCCCAGCAGGCCCCAGGGGGCTTTTCAGGGCTGGAAGCCATGCCCATGGGAGGGAATGAAGGGTGGAGTTTCCCATCAGCTGCAATCAGTGGACCTCTGGGGATTCCCATTCCAACTGGTGACTGTCCCCAAGGCCCCTAACTGTCAGTGTATGCTGAACAGCCGGGCAGAACTCTGGGCCTTCCAGCCTTTCTCTCACACAACAGCAGGGAACCTGAGTCTCAGTCACATGGCTGATCTCATCAGCCTCCCAACTCCAGGGAGTTGAGTTCTGGCCATTTGATTTTAGAACTGGCGCTCAGTCTTATCCTCTCCCAATTGCACCAATGGGCAAAATGAGGCCTGGTGACTTGCCCAAGAATGAGCGTCCATCAAGGCAGCTCTTCATAGTGTCCACCACCGCCACCACTTTGTCAGACTGAATTGCCTAGCTCAGGGACCTGCTGTGGCTCTCAGTGGTCTTACTGTGAAGGTCCCAAAGAGGTCTCACAGGTCCCAAGTTCTCTACCAGACTTCATTCACCTGAGCCTCAAATTCCTCCTGCTGCCTTCCATGCTCTTCTCCTCCAGAGAGCCTGCCAGGACCCACATTTCATTCTCCATTGACCCAGGATGGAGTTTCCATACCTGCATGACTTGGTCAATGGTGACCCCATGAGACTAGAGCTCTCCAGAATGAGGACCAGTGTTTTACACCTTCAGACAGAGAGAGAGGGTAGGTGTTTCCATCAGAGAGGCACTCCCAACCCTGAAGACCAGACTTTCACCCTTCAAATTTAGGACCCTAAGGCAGGAATTATCTCTCTACCATTAAATCAAAAATTTTCAGGCTGTAGATTCTCTCTCCCATTAGACTGGAAGCTCTGGGGGACAGTCAGTGACTCTCTCGTCCGACAAAAGAGGCTTTTGAGGGGGCAAGGCTGCCCCCAAAGGTTTTGGAGGTCTATCTACCAGTCAGACACATTAATCCCAACATAAAACTTTATTGTCGATACATGATACCTGGCCCCACCGGCCTCATCTTTCTCCTCTTGGTACTTGGGCCCGCTTAGACCCCATCTAGTTCTGGTCTAGCAGGGGACCAGGGATGCCCATCCTGAGGGCAAATCCTGGCTGCCCTGGCCAGCACCCCCTTGTGGGCTCGTCCTTGCTGTAAGGCTCCCACTCTTATCCACTATCCTTCTCCATCCGTGCTCCTCTGGACCTGGGGCCTCACAGGCCCAAGTCCTAGAGATACCGCCCCCTTCCATCCCCAGGCATCTGCCCAGGTGTAAGGCAGAGGATGGGCTCAGGCCAGGATGTGCCAAGTCATGCTAGCGATGCAGGAAGATGCAGCAGCTGGGTGTGCGCTCACGCCCATTGGCTCCTGCACTGCCCTCTCAGCGGCTGGTCTTGTGTTTGTTAACATTTGTGTTGGATTCCTGAACCTGCAAACCAAGAGGTCTTCTTGTCAATCCCCCACCCCTGACATGGCAGACGCTCCCTTACTCCCCTCCTCCAGCTCAACAGCGGCTCATCCCGGCTTCCCAGGGAAGTCCTTCCCGTCTGTTAGTCTCCTCTCTGACCGTGGAGCTCTCCTCTCAGGCCACAGACACCCACAAGGCTCCCAGGTCAGATGGGATGGGAAGCAGAGAAGGAAACGAAATGTGTGGGAATGTGCCTTGTTCTATGGGGCTTCCCAGGTGGCGCAAGGGGCAAAGAACCCGCCTGCCAATGCAAGAGATGTGGGTTTGATCCCTGGTTCAGGAAGATCTCTGGAGTGGGGCATGGCCTTTTTCTCCCTAGAATTTTCCTCCCTCAGGAGGCTGCTCCTTTTATGTACCTGACAAGACCTGGGGGTCCTATGCCCCCCTGGTGGACCTAAGCATCTGCCACCAAGTAGGAACTGAGCTGCTCAAGTCCCCTTAAGAGGAAGCTTGAGGGCGCTGAAGACCAAGATGGCTTAGTGTGTGGAGCCCTGGGCCTCCCAGAAAAGCTGAAATCTAACCAGATGGGCAGTGACTGCTGGGGAAAGCGTCAGAAACCTTGACTAAGGGAGTGGTGGCTGGGCTGGGTGAGGTGAGGGGTGAGCACTGATTGGGTAGGAGAGGGAAGCTGAGAAGCTGCACCTTTTTCCTGTTGACGAGGGCGGTGATCAAGTCTTGCTCGCGAGTCATCTCACGGATGTCCACGGAGGACTTGCTCTCCAAGGATATGTTCCATGACAAGCGCCTCTGCAGCAGCTCCTCCTCCTGCTCCTGGTTGAAGCGGATGGAGCGGACCTCGTCCACTATCCTGAAGGTGGAGGGGTGAGTGCGTTCCAAGGGAGGGCGCTGGGGGCGGCCCCTCCGTCTCTCCCCTGGGGTCCAGCCCCCTGCGCCCTCCCCTCCTTGGCTCTGATAGAGACCCAGGCCAAGGCTCAAGGCCCCTTGTGAGATTACAAGGAGATACATATCCTGCACAGACAGGCTGGGGGTGGGGGCTGGGCAAGTCACTTAACCGCTCTGGGTCCCAGGGTCCCCATTATCAATGAGGGTGTGAGGCCAGAAGAATCTGAGGGTCCACTCAGCCCTGACTCATGAGACTCGGGGGGTACCCCCAGTACCCGCCCTACGTGTTGAGCTCATCGCGGATCTCCTTGTATTGCATCAGGTTCTCCTGTATCGCCTCGAGCACCAGGCAAAAGTTGTCACATGTCCTTTCCGAGAGGTTTGTCAGGGGGCCCCCCATAAATGGCTCTTGGGGGACGCCAGGCATCTCCGAACGGGCCACTGCACAGTGCACCAGCGGCAGCTTGTTATTCCCATTTCCCTCCTTGTTGTCTACCTGGGGAAGGGAGAGTGGAGAGGGAAGGATAGCTTTGCCGGGACCCCCTCCCCTGGCCCCTTCCTGCTTGACTTCAGGGGAGACGAGTCTCAGGACGCCAGGGTTCTCATGCCCCTCGTTTCAGCTCCAACCAGTCTTAGCCTCCCCTCCTTGACTGTGGGAGCTCAACTTGAAATGCAGCAGTCTGTCCCTCACCTCTGAAAATTCTCACCCCTTTCCACAACTTAATGCATCCCCCATCATTTCCCTCCTGATAAACCCTACCCAGCAAACCTCTGAAACCCTAAATACTCTCTGGTCACAGTCCACAGCCCTCAACACTTTATACAACACTCCCCACCTTTCGGAAGCTCTACCCCTGGATGAGTAACACTATAGCTAATGTTCACCGAGTTCTTAATATGTGCCAAGTACTGTTCACTGACCCATGAAATTCTCATAATAGCCCTATGAAGTACATAGAATTATCATCACTTCAATTTTATAGAAGAAGAAACCGAGGTTTAGATTGGTTTAAATGCCCTAAGGCCACCCAGCTGCTCACTTTCAAGTTGTCACAGAGCAAGACATCTAGGAACGCCACACCCCTTAGAAGCCCCAGTTGGTGAGTTGGCACTCAACGTGAGGGTTGCTGCCTTTAGGCCTCACGCTTGGCTTTCTTTAGGCCCTCGAGTGTGTGAGCACACTCACTCACACACACACACTCAAGGTAGCACTCATATACACTCTCCCCTTCCCCCCTCTGCCCTCCCTATCTCACTCACCTCACTGAAGTCTATTTGATGCTGTTGCCCCTGTCCTGCCTTCATCATTTGCTCCAGATTGGTGGTCACCACGACGACCAACAGGTTGATGCCAATGAAGGCACCGATGGTGATGAAGATGGCAAAGTAGATGGCGCCCCCAATCTCCACTCCGTACTCCCCTGTCTCCATCCTGGAGATGGCAGTCAGGGACCCTATCACCTCCCTGGCCCTTTGGGCCTCAGTTTCCTCATCTACGAGATGGAGAAATTATCTCAAAGCCTACTGGGACTTCTGCTGCCTCCCTGCTGCTGTGCAGATCTAAGGCCTGACTCCTAACTGTCCCCACAGCTGCTCTTGAATGAGCATCCGCTGTACTGCCAGTGGGCCGTCCTCAAGCCAGCCCTGCAAGGTGAGGATTCATACACCAGCATTATCAAATTTCATCTATTGGCTGTACTCTTTATCATGTCATTCTTATTATAACTCAGGTTCATGATAGAAAAACCAGAGGGAAAATGAACAGGAAAAAGATCCCACCACCGTTAATACCTATTGCAAACCTCCCATAAAATATTTTCCCAAATAATAGCTTTCGCTCTCTTGCTACACATGTGTATGTGTGCATGTGTGTGCACAATGCCAGTCTCTACTAATCCTCAGAGCAACCCATGACATGGTTAAATATCGTATTATCATCTCCAGTTGACAGATGAGGAAACTGAGGCTCAGAAGGTTGCATGGTTAGTACAGTGGAGCAAAGACTCAAAAGCCCAGGCCACCTTTATCGCACATTCCATGACTTGTCCACTGTCTATAACATAATGGGTAATGAGAGTAGAAGCCCCTTTACCAACTGGGCTTCTACTTTCACATGAGGGAGATAAAAAGAAATCAGTCAGGGGGATCAAGCCCCTGAAATGGCCTGGAAACAAGTAGGATTTGGGCTAAATGGAAAGAGGTAAAGAACAGAACCCAGGCAGCCCTCTGTGGCCAAACATGACCTTGGACAGTGGGTCTCAGAATGAATAAAATGAGACCTTACATTCCTAGGAGTCGAGGCAGTCTGGTGGGCTCCAGTGTGGACTGGGAGCTGCCTTGGGACCCTAGATGCAACCACAGGCCTGCTGCCTGGCCCAGGGCCAAGCTGCCCAACTGCTGAGCATGAAGGGAGCCTGCGGTCCATGAACAAGACTGCCGCGGGACTTTGAATACATGGAGTTTCATAGGGACAAGGCTTCAAGTAGATTACAAAGCTAGAGGTCCCAGCCCCAGGAGTCTCCTTTTCTCCAGTTTAAAGCCCCAGGCACCCTCCCCCCACCTCCTGCCACCCTCATCCCAAGCCCTGGAGCCTCACTCCCACCTGAGAGCCCTTCTCCCTCCCCAGGTAGTTTTTTCTGCCCCTGGATGCCCCAGCCCCTCATTGCCTAGCTCAGCTGGACTGGGGCCCCGGAAGCCCCATGGGCACTCACTGAAAGTCACTGTAGATGTCCACCCAGCCATCCTGGGTGATGCAGATGAAGAGGGTATACAGGGCAACCTGAATGTTCTGGAAATGCTTGGGCACGAACACACCAAAGAGAGTGACCCCAAACACGGAGAACACCTGCCGGAGAGACAGGAGGCCCGCCGCGGACTTCACTCATGGGCCTGGGACACAGCACACGCAGAGAAGCTGCCAGGGGAATCGCAGGGAGGCAGGCCTTTCCTCCTCCCATCCCCAAAGCCTCCTTCTTTCTGCTCCAGACACCCCGTATCCCCAGAGACCCAGGGGCCTGTTCAGGAAAGCGGGGAGGCGCGTCTGGGGGCAGGGGAGGGCACTGACCAGCATGAAGAAGAGGATGAGGACCATGATGTTGGCCATGTCGGGCACCGACTGCAGGATGACGCGAATGATCCGGGCCAGAGGCTCCACCGCCACGCACAAGTGCAGCAGACGAAGCGCCCTGCGGCAGAGCCTCTCAGGGCGCCCCCTCGGCCCTTCCCAACCCCCCCCCCCACCATCGCCCCACCTGCAACCATCCCCTCCCCTCCCTCCCAGGATCCAGACAGGTCCCTTCTTCATTCCGAGTCCCCAGCTTACCTGAGGGTGTAGGTGATAGCGACGGCATTGAGTTCAGTAACGAAAAACCCCAGGAGCAAGATAAAGATGATAAGGAAGTTGAGGATGTTCCAGCCGTCCTGGGGGGGTGGGCCAGCCCCAGCAGGGTCTGTCAGGCCCAGCCCGTGGGTTCATCCTGGGTCTGCCCTCCCCACACCCTCAGGATGGGGGACTCCACGGTGCTCTCGGAGCCGGGCCAGTCACGTGCCAACCACTGCGGTCCTGCTGTCGCCCCCCAAACATGCCACAAAACACCTACGCGCTCGCTGTCTCATACACATGTCCACAGCCAAGCGCAGTGTCTGAACACACAGTCGAGCCCCTCACACAAGCCAGTTCCTAAGCTGATTATTGTCCACCTTGGCTAGTGTGCCGTTGACAAAGGCCTTGCCCTGCAGTTAGGTGACCTGAGAGTGTTTGGATGCTCCAGCTTTGTGGGACACAGACTACAGTTAATAAAATGAACATAAATGAAAACGCTAAGGAACAGGGCTTCAATAGACACTTCAGAGGTGAGCTAACTCTCACTGTAAAGGCACAGTTTGCAAGCCCCGTGTCCAACACAGCACAAGCTCCTTTAGAATACAGACGCAGGAGGGAAGCTCACAGGTATGACAAATTCAAACACAACCACTACGGGGGAGATTTTCTCTAATAAACAGTCTGCCTTTACCTTCGACCAGTGATCCCACTTCTAGAAATCCATCCCACACAAACTCTGGTACAACTACAAAATGACATTTGTAGAAGGCTGAAAATAACTAAAGTGTCCAGCAATTATAATAGAACACTGGCTGGCTAAACTACTGCACATTCATTCAATGGAGTACAGAACAATGAGAAAGGTCTCCATGTACTGACACAGAAAGACCCATTAAATGACGAAAGTAAAGTGTACAACAGCATTTACACTACGCTACTGTCTGGGAAGGGAGGACTAAGAATATATACATATTTGCTTATGATTGCAAAATAAACACTAGGAGGATAAACGAGATTATAAATAACAAAGATTATCTGAAGAGGGTGGGGGTAGGGGAAAGGGATGAAGGGACAGAGTAGAAACAAGGATTTTGTTTGCTCCTTCCAGGACAGTTTTGACCAATATGTAGCTGCATTAAATATTCAAAAAGAAAACCCACTCTAGTATTCTTGCCTGGAAAAGTCCATGGACAGAGGAGCCTGGCGGGCTGCAGTGCATGGGGTTACATGACTGAGCATGTGTGCACGAGGATGGAGGGAGATGGGTTGGTAGCAATAAAGTGGTAGAACTAAAAAAAAAAAGAAAACAATTTTTTTTTCCCCGTTTTGAAAAAATATTATTTGGCTGCAACAAGGCTTAGTTCCAGCATGTGGGATCTAGTTTCCTGACCAGGGATTGAACCTGGATTTCCTGCATTGGGAGCATGGAATCTTAGCCACTGGACCACCAGGGAAGTTCCAAAAAGAAAACTATTTTATTTTGAAAAAATTACTTTAATGGGAAAAAAGTTCTTAAATTTATTGGGCAGTCCAATAAACATAAGACCTCCTGGTATGTCACATTCAGAGTGTTGGTGCCAAAACAAACACAAGGAGACACAAGGCTGCCTGCCTATAGATCCATCCCTGTATCCATTCAATATTATGCTCCTACTATATGCCACACCTCAAATCAGATCCTGAAGATACAGGATTTCTGCCCTGCTGAGCTCATAGGCTATTTTGAGGGAGGTGGACAGACAGTAAATTTTAACTCCTGGTGACAGACTCTGGGAGTTAGTGATGGACAGGGAGGCCTGGCGTGTTGCAGTCCATGGGGTCACAAAGGGTCGGATATGACTGAGTGACTGAACTGAACTGAGAGGTGAGTACACAGTGTTAAGGAAACAGAGCAACAACTAACGTAGCTTAGGAGAAACAGGAAGACTTCCTGGAAGAGGAGACATCTGAATGAGTCTTAAACTGTAAGTAGGAGAAAAGCAAGTGAGTAAGTGATAAGGAGCTTTCATAGACTAGGTGTCAGCATGGACAAAGGCATGAAAGTGAGCAACAGCAGTGTGCCTATATTTGTGTATGTGTGTGTGTGCACACTTGTAAGTGTGTCTTTAGGAATGTCATTACAAGCAGCTTGATGTAGCTGGAACACCCAAGGGTGAGGCGAGGGGTGATAAGGCTGCAAAAGCAGATAGGAGCCATTTCACAGAAAGCCTTAAGCACAACTGAGACAGGCTGGGACCTGGCACTCTTTGCTACAGTGCTGCAATGCTTGCACCTGGACACACCTCTACTCCAGCAACAAAATACAAAGAAACTATATGGGACTAAAAATAACTAAGTGCATGTGCAGATGGGAGAAATTCTGGATACAAAAAGGCCAAAAAACTCAATTAGCCACTTCTAAAGAGCCAGGAGCAAAAACAGGATGCTGGGAGCAAAATCAGGGTATTGCACATGCCCCCCTGCACACAACACTACCTAAGGGATGGGCAAACCACCTAAGTCACCCCTCCAGTCTGACCCCAGACACACCCCTATCCCCACCCCATGTAAGGAACAACCTTGCCTCACAGGTCAGGGATTGAAGGAACAAGACAGTCTGTTACACGTTCTCCTTCCCCTCTGCAGCAGCGGGGGCCCTAGAAGGCCTTGCCTGAATCTCTTGTCTGGCCTCCAGTCAGTTTCTATTGATTGGAGAAGGCCAAGAACGTGGGTCATATCACAATGAGGCATTTAGACCTGATCCTATAAACAATTGGAAGCCACTGGAATGTTCAAGGGTACTCTGTCTCGGGCTTTGGGAAAACTATTTTTGATGGCAGATGGGGTACACTGGAAGCCATAGCAACACCCTGGTGAGAAGACAAGACAGGAACTAGAATGGGGTACCAGAGCTGCAGAGGTGGCAAGAAAACTGAGAAAGTTAGGTGGTAAAATAATAATTAATAGACTGTGGAGGTAAGGAGACAGGAGCCACATGAGCACTGGGGGCGCAGCGTTGGGGATCCCCATGTGGCTGGGTAATATTTGAGATTTTAACTTGCAGATTTTCCTCCCTCCCCTGCCTTCTCCCTTTCCATCCACCCATTAAGTGGGGAGTCCTTGTATACTGGGACCAGGAGAGGGGCTGGGAGTGGGGAAGAAGACGGCAGAGGGTCTCTAACAAGCTTTGGCTTTTGGCACTGGGAGGCTGGCCCCAGATAAAGGTTAGGGTTTGGGACATTCGTTTTCAGCCATTAGTTCTGGAGGGCAGTTTTGCCTTCCAGAGCACATTTGGCAGTGTCTGGAGGTATCCTTGATTGTCACAGCTAGGAAGATGGTAATGGCATCTAACGGGTAGAGGCCAAGAATGCTGCTAAACATTCTGCAATGCACAGGACAATCCCCTCCCAATGAAGAATTATCTAGGCCAATTATGTCAACAGTGCCAAGGGTGAGAAATCTTGTCCTTGAGGAGATAAGCAGAGTGGCTGGGAGGAACACAAAATTTGCTCGCATTCGCTTGTGCTGATGAAATGCTAGAGTTTAGCCTCGAAAGTGCAGGCCCTCCTAACTGCTCCTGCAAATGAAACAGGCTGGAACCTGGAGCCCTTTGCTGCAATGCTTGCACCTGGACAGACTTCCTCAAGCAATACAAATAAACTGTAAGAGACTAAAAATAACTGCCTGCAGGAGCAGTTGGGGCAAATTATGGACAACAAGATACAAAAAGACCAACAGTCCAAATGCTACTTCTAAAGAGCGCGGAGCAAAAAGGGGGGGGGGGTTGGGAGCAAACACAAGGGGTCAAAAGCAGTAAACAAAAGCAGTACTTGCACATGCCTCCTGCACACACCACCACCAAAAGGGCAGTCAAACCACCTAAACGGCCCCTCCAGTCTGACCCCTGGTCACACCACTACCCTCACCTCATATAAGGAGTCCTGGAAAGATGAGCAAAGGAAACTGTTACTTGTTCTCACTCCCCACTGCTACTGCAGAGGCCCTAACAAAGTCTTGCCTGAATTTCTTATCGAGCCTCTGAACAATTTCTATGGGCAACAAAAGAAATCTCAGGGCTACTTTCACGTAAGAAATGCTCTCTCTTAGGGAACAGATATCTGCCTGTATCTTGAAGAGTGATACATTGAAATATTCACAAAATCATGGTACCTATTCTCCCCTCCACCATGGAGACAAGTAAATATGCATCATCCTATTCTATTTTCTGTTAATAAATACCCTCCCAAGTGTTGTTCTCACAAAGCAGGCTTTAAGACATCCATACTTTAGAAAGATTGTTCTAGGTTCTACATTCTGTGTTCTATGAAGTGACACTTCTAAGCCCTGGAAAGCTTATAATTCTAGTTGGTTGTCCTGATAATGGTATTTAAGTGATGCTTCCTTTTTAAGAAGGTATAAAGATTTGATGGGTAATTTTTTTAAAGATTCTTCTTGCACATGCCCAAAGGAAGATAAATCCCTTGACAGAAAATCCAGAAATCCTTTGACTCTAGAAGTCCTATTTAAACAAAGAATTTGAGTCTTTGTTTCATTTTACGTAATGTTAAGATCTGTTCCTACCCAGATATCTTTTTCTTGTTTGTTTCAATGGTTTATTAACGGACCAGATTACAAAAATAATCCTGGCAGATACCTTAGTTCATCCTTCTAATAAGCCTGTTGATCTGGTCTTCCCTGTTGCCAGCATCTCCACCTTCTACAAAATGGGTGGTCTTTTTCTTCATTCCACCTCATGGAGAAGACAATTTAAAGGGCCACAGGAAGTTGTTTGCTTCTTTGAAACGTTTTCCAAGGGTGTAGATCTCATGAATCAGATCCTCCATGCAGATGATTCCGTATTTCCCAAGAGATCGAGCAATCAATGCGTTGTCTGTCAGGGCAATTTGCTTTTTGTTGATTTTGCCATAACCACGCTTGTAGATCAATTCATTTACAGACTTCAGATTTGGGTACCCTCATGCAACGTATGGCTCCACAATTCTCAGCATGTTAACTGATGCCTTGTTGAGCTTCACAAAGGTGCCATTGAAGATCTGCTGGAGGCGAAGGAGCTGTAGCACCTTTCGAACCTTTGGGCTCACACCATTGACACCTCTGATCCTGATGACAAATGCCAACTTGGGTTCCGTGGGTACATAGAAGTTGCCAGCTTTTCGTGCCATCCTAGCCATTCGAATTTCAGTTCTGTACATCTGCCTGTATTCCTTGTGGTAATGCTTAGCTTTTTCATAAATAAGCTTCCTCCTTGCCTTTTGAAGCCTCTTTTGGGCAAACTTCTTTCTCAGGCGCTTGATCTTAAGCTCTGCGAAATTCTTTCGCTTTTTCTTAAGGGTTTCTGGCACAGCAGGAATCTTCTTTTTCTTCTCTTCTGCACCCTCCATGGTTCCAGCCGGGAAAGAGGGTGTTCCTACCCAGATATCTTTTTGATACTCTCCCAAACAGGAGTCAGCAACCTATAGCTCAAGGACAAATCTGACCAGCAGCCTCTTTTTTTTTAAGGCCCATGGATTTAGAATGATTTTAATGTTTTTAAATGGTTGGGGAGAAATCAAAAGGAAAATAATATTTCATTACATGTAAAATTTAAAGTTCAAATGTCAGTATCCACAAATAAAAGTTACTTGGAACATAGCCATGCTCATTTGTCTATATATTGTCTATGGCTGCTCTGTGCTCTCATAGCAGAGAAGAGTGTTTGCAAGAGACTATATGGCCCGCAAAACTTAAAATATTTACCTGGCCCTTGAGAAAATCATAGGGAAACCTCCCTGCAATGCAATAGGATGGCCAAAAGGGGGCGCTCCCATGCTGTACCACTAGATTACCGGTGGATTACAGGAAGAATTGTCAATTACAGACTCAACAGCATAATCACTAAAGGGGAAAGAATCATCAATTATAGGCCCCACAGGAAAAGAGGTACATAGCATCTTCTGCAAGAAATCTAGCATTCTAGCAACTCAGTTAATAAGACCATCTCACCCTGCACTCTCACTTTTCTCCAACATATTTTGGTTCAAATCAACCTCTCCTAACTGCCTCCTTTTTCTCCATAAAATAACATTCCTCTCCATTTTGAACTTGCTGTGCCTTTTGCTATAGCTTGCTAGTCCTGAATTGCAAATCCTCTTCTATTCCCATGTAAAGCCCCCATTTTGTTTTGCTGGTAAAATAACTGACTTAATTATTTTTAAGGTCAACACCCTTTACAGAAAATCTCTGCTGACCCCTCTGCTCTTGAACCCTGTAAATTAAGGTGTGTGTGTGTGTGTGTGTGTGTGTGTGTGCTAAGTTACTTCAGCCATGTCTGACTCTTTGCAGCCCTATGGACTGTAGCCTACCAGGCTCCTCTGTCCATGGCAAGAATACTGGAGTGGGTTACCAGGCCCTCCTCTAGGGGATCTTCCCAACCCAGGGGTAAATTAAGGTGGATACTCTCAGTTGCATTTCTCTAATAAGCAAGTCAAGGTTTTCCCAAGAGCACAGAACTAGGGAAAGCTGGATCAGGAATGGGGACCCAGGAAGCCTGCACTTCCAGTACAAATTACTTTCTGTCACATCACAGACATCTCAGAAGTTGGTCTTTCTTTCTTCATGCATGCGCATGAACATACACATGCACTCACACACACACACATGCACACACACTCCTCAGGTTTCAGGAAGGCCAGGTACACAGTGGTGAGGACAGGATGGGGTGCCAACCCAAAGGAGGAGTAGACGTGATGGCAGGGAGGGCCCAGGATCTCACCTTCCAGAAAATCCAGAAACCATTTAACCAGCCGAGAAGCAGCTCGCAGATAAGGGTGGTCAGCACAATGTCATCTATGGTAGAGAACAACTCATAGTGTTTCTATATGGAAGACAGAGAGAAAGAAGGGCAGAGAGGTCAGTGGAGCGGGGCCGTGGCAAGACCAGGGACAGAGGACATCTGTAGGGAAGGGGAGGCCCAGATTCTTATTGCTCTTCAGCCTCAGCATCTTTGTAGTTCCCTTTAAAGTATCCCTTGCACATACGTGCCAGGCACCATTCTTAAAACCACAAACTTATTTCATTTTATCATCACCATCGTCCTGCAAAGTAGGTTTTATTCCCATCTTGCACTTGAGGAATCGAGAGGTGCCCAAGGTCAAACATTTAGTGATAAAGATTGTTGTCTGACTACAAACCTTTGTCCCTAACCTCTAGAGTAGGAAAAGGGAGGTGGAGAAAGGCAGAACAGACTCCAGGATTGGGAGGAAAAGCCCCGGCCCTTGAGTTGGAGGACACCAGGTCCCATCCTTGCTTCTTTGGCTGTCTCCACCACTCCGGCTGCACCAGCTCCCAAATCCCCAGGCTTGGCTTGACCAAACTCCTGAGTATCCCCCTACACATGGGTCCAAGACATGCTCCCGGGGTGGATGGATTGATGGATGGATGACTCCATGATTCTGAATTCTGTTTAAAACAACTCACTTTCATGCCATCTCCTGTTCAGCTGTGACACTGCTGTTGTTTGTGACATGAACAGCTCCCAGCCCCCCGATTCCACTTTGCCAGTTACAAAAGTCACCGTCACCCTTTTCTTTACCTCTGTGGCCCACAGACTCAGGGCCTCAAGCCTCCTGCTCCCCACACCTTGCCACCAGCTCCATCCACCAGCCAGCGTGAGGCTGGACAGAGCTGCTTTTTTTTTTTCTCTTGGCCACGCTGCACAGCATGTGGGATCTTACTTCTCTGAACAGGGATTGAACCCATGCCCCCTGCAGTGGAAGCATGGAGTCTCAACCACTGGACCACCACAGAATTCCCTGGGCAGAGCTTCTTAAGTTCAGATGGGAGCTGAAGTTTATGGGCTTCCAGCCTGTTCCAAATTCCCAAATGGCATCATGGGCTAGAGGTGTCTACCTAAAACAAGGAAAGGCTTTTTCCTTCCCTTTGTCTTTCCCTTCAGCTCTACCCCATTGGCCACAGGTGGCAATAGGCTCTCCTTACTGTTTATTGAAAGAGCTTCCTGAACAGTCGCCCTGCCTTCTGCAAGTCATGAGCATCTGTGGCTAAATCAGAGTTGCCTTCTTTACCCACAAATCTTCCATGACTCCCTATGGCCTGCAGAGTGAGGTACAAAACCAGTCTGGCGTTCACAGGTCTCTAGGATCTGAGCTTCATGGCACACACCCTCTACCAGGCTTTCTTAGCATTTTTGACTTGGACTCAAAGAAATATATATTTTACTCCATAATGCTTTCTCTCCCTCTGGCTCCTCCCCTCCCTCTCGTCCCCACCACAGTTTCTACTTCATTCTTTTTCATTTTATTTCATTCTACATCAAAATGCCACTACCTGCATTCTGAATTGTTTTCATGATCCATTGATGGGTTTTGATCTGCCCCCCAGTCACTCTTTCTGCAAACCCTGGCAGGTGGGTTTCTGCCTTCACCACATCAGAATTAGCTCCTGTCAAGGTCACAAGGGCAAGATCCAAGGGATGTTTCAGAGTTCTTTTCTGGCCTCCTGTCCTAGCCAGATCTAACGCTGCGCTTGCTCCCGTGGTAACGTACTCTCCCGGGGATCCTCTCACTCCTCCGGCCACTCCTCCTTACTACCCTTTTGCATCTCCTCTTCTATTTTCTGCCCTTTACTTAGAGGCTCTTCTCAGAGACCTCTGTCTTGGCCCCCGCCTTCTCACTCAGTACTCAGTCCCAGGCAAGCTCATCCATTCCTTGAGCTTTGGCAACCAGCTCCCTGGATGCCAATCACTCTCACGTTGCCATACTTTAAAGCAGGGCTTGCCTGGATAAACATCAAGGTACTACTGTATAGCACAGGAGACTATATTAATATCCTATGATAAACCTTAATGGAAAAGAATATAAAAAAGTATATATGCATGCATAACTGAATCACTGCCAAACAGCAGAAATTAACACAACACTGTCAATCAATGATACTTCAATTTAAAAATAAAAGTAAAAAATAAAAAAACAAACCTTGGCTTTCCAAAGACATCCTCCTTAATATAACTTGAAGATGTTGTGTGATCTGGCTGTTGACTGCCTCTCTGAACTTACCAGTCACCACATAGGAATATTTTAAAAACACTGGCTTTCAATAGGACAATTCACCTATGTGGTGGACTCCTTGTAAGAAATCAAAACCTCAAGGGTAAGACCCAAGTCATAGTGGAGTTCAAGTTGGATACCCAGAACTCACTTCTTCTGCCCAAAACATTCTTCTCAACCTCTTTCTGCCTGGCCAACACCTGCTCATTCTTTATTCTCCACTTAAATGTCCCTTTCTCCAGGAAGCCCTCCTGGCCCCAAGATTAGGTCCAATGCCTCCTTTGAGCTTCCACACACTCTGTGACACCCAGGCATTTGCAATGACATGTTTGTGGTGTCTGTCTGAGACAGACCTTGGTCTGTTGTATTCACACCTGGCACAGAGCACAGTATCTGCTGCAGAGTGATTCTTGCTCAGTGATTATTGATTAAAATAGGATACCCTTCCCCACAAGACACCCATTGGCCTGCCTCTGCTCACAGTGTTCTTCCCCTTTCCTTCCTCTGCAAATCTAAAGCATTTCCCAAAGCTGGGCCCCCTCCACCACAAAGTCCTCCCTGATCTCAGTGCTGACAGGCCCTTGAAAAGGGCCAATCCAACCATCATGAAAAGATGAGGAGTCTGAGGCCCAGGGAGGGAGGTGCCTTGCCCCAGCCCCTGTGAGATGAGTGAGAGGAGGGTTCAGGCTGGAGTCCCACCTGGCCAAGCATGGAGTTGGTGCGGAGCGCGATGGTGATGGCGTTGACCACCAGCAGCACGGCCAGCAGGACCTTGGAGGCTGGGTGTCGGAGAAGCTGCTTGACATACATGCGCGTGATGAACTCCTGCATGTCCCAGGCATCCTGGGAGAGGACGGGGGACCTTCCTTCAGGCAGGCGTCACCATAGGAGGCCTCTGCCTGGAAGTTTGCTCTCAGTGAATAGGGACCCATGGGGGCCACTTCTGGGGGGAGAAGTTGCGTGAGAGGGGATCATGGAATCAGGGGCATCAGTGTAGAGGTCACTACCTAAATAGTCACTAAAAGTTGGTCACTCCTGGTCGGGGGGGGGTCCTTGTGGGGGTCATTGCAAGGGAGACTCTTTTGGGGGTCTCTGCTGGGGAGTGGCTCTCATTGTAGGGGGGCTCCTGTGAGGGTCACAGCCAGGCAGCTACTAACATATCATGGTTGGGGAGTGGGTCACTGCAGGGATCCCTGCTGGGATGTTTAGAAGCAGAAGCGGCAGTTATTCTGAGGGCCTGTTGCCCCATGGATACCGCAGCAGAGGGGTCACTGTGGGGGTGAGGATGGCTGCAAGCCCCCCGACAGGCTGCAGGCCCAGCCTCAGCCTTACCTTTCTGCTGGTGATGTCTCGGCGGTTGATGAGTACTTGCTCCTCTGGCCGCTGGTAGGGCTCTTGAGCGGCCCTCTGCAAGGGTGAGGAGGGGGCCATCAGGGCAGCCCGTGCCCCTCCAGACCCAGTCCAGTCCTCTCATGCCCCATCCCACCCCGGGATGCCCAGCCTGGGCAGTGCAGCCAGGCAGGGGCCGCCTACCAAGCGGTTCAAAGGTTTGATGTAGGTGGTGTCGGTCCATTGCTGCCACCAGCTCCTCTGGTTATCCGACATATTGCTCAGTCTCCCCCCTCACTCCTCAAAGAAACGTCACTCCAAGCGCGCCTGCCCGCCCCTCGTGGTGATATCACAGAGGCCTCTGTGACCCCCCCAGCTGTCCGCATTCCACCAAGGAACTCCCGGAGCAAGAGAAGCTCCTCCCACTGACCCCTGGGCGTGCCGCAGAGGAGGCACCGGGGAGGTCAGAGCCGGAGGCTGGTGAGAGCAGGTCAGGTCTCTTGTGCAGCCTGGATGGAGACACAGGGGCAGGTCCCTGCTCTGCACCCAGGAGCTGGAGGTGAGACCCAGCCAAGGAGAGAGAAGAGGAGAAAGGTGTCTCGTTCTGGGGTCCTCCTCCCAGCAGACTTCACCCTGCATCCCTGCCCACCGGCTACCCCATCCCACCACCCGTCTCTAGAGCTGCCCTCACACCCGCCTTTCCATGGAAGGTATGTTTCCCCATCTGGAGAGGAAAAGGGTGGTCTCTATTTCTCACCTGTTCCCCCCTGGAGATGGGGCAGGACAACTCCATCAGGTCTCTGAAGGGCTGGGGAGAGATGGACGTTAAGGAGAAGCCCCCACCATCCTGGTAGGCATGGGCTTCAGGTAGAGGTGGGCTGTGCAGTGGGCTACTTACCAAGAGCATTCACCCCCGTCTGATGGCGTTTCATCCCCGTTCCCTCCCAGAAGCAGATTCCAGATTCTATATACTATAGAAGTCAAAGGCACATGCAGATTCACGTTAAAGAAACTGACTTTATTTAGTTGAAAAGTATCTACTGGCTCAAGTGAAGAACTTCTGTACAGACTGGCTTGGGGAATGGAGACATGCTGAGGGGCGGAGGGGGCACATGTAGAGCACAGGTAAGAAAGAGTTCTTGCACCCCTGCCTCTCGCTCCTTCCTTGGCACACAGCTCACTTCACTTTACCCCATTCCAGGGCAGGTAGAGGGGCAGAAATGGCGAAAGGTGGAGCAGAGGCAGTCAGCTTGGGGCAGAACCACGGACAAGCACTACCTCCAACTCGGAACAGCATGCAGGGATGCTCTGTCCTAGATGTGTCAGAGGTGGTCCTCAAGGCCGGAGGTCGGAAACTTAGGGTACTGGCCAAGGTTAGAGGTCAGGAGGTCGGGGGTCACTCTCTGGAGTCAGGGGGCAGAGAGGGGCGTGCTCCTCGGGGTCAGAGGGTGGCGGGTGGGAAGACTGTTCCTTGGGGTCAGAATTCAGGACTTGGGAGCCGCCCTCGGCCTGCCCCCCTCCCCAGGCCCCCAGGCCCTCCGAGTAGAGCTCCTGGTTCTGCTCCTTCCACCGGCGGAATTTCTCTCCCGTGAGCTCGGGGTCGCCCAGCACTTCCTCCAGAGCCTGCAGCTCCTGCAGCTTTGCCTGGAAGAGGTGTCGGGGTTAAGGGGCCAGGATCACCCGTGGAAGGGGCAGAGCCCGAGCCCAGAGCTAGCTCCGGGGCCCAGCGCCCAGATCCCAGCCAGCTTCAGCCCCCATCCTCAAAGTCGAGAGCCTGGCCCCAGGAACCCAGAACTCGGCCTGGTCCGCGGCCGAGCCCAAGAGGGCTAGACATCTGGACATCAAGCCCAGCTAGACATCTAGCCCAGCGGCCAGCCTCCTGTGCGCCCCCTGCTGACCTTGAGCGTGCTCTGCAGTGCGCGCACACGGTGCACTCGCTCATTGAGCTGCGGGTCTCGGTTGCGCCGCATGAAAGAGCTTCGCCATTGCTCCTGAGTGAGGGGCTGCTGCTGGCCCAGCAGGGACACGCCACCCAGCCTCAGCCCCCGGACCATTCTTTCGAGGGCCCCTTCGCTGCTGTCTGTGGGAGGGGGGAGCAGAGTGAGGGTGTGCCGGCCCCCCTGCCCCCAGCCCTGTCTCAGCTCCGTGCCCCGCCTCAACTCCCCCACCCCCACCCCCACCCCCACGCCTCCACCCCCGACTCCGCTCCGCACCTGTCGCCGCCGGACTGAAGGAGGTCTGCGGGCTGCCCTGCGGGGTGGCTGCAGGTGATGGATCTCCATGGAGCGAACTCCTAGCTTGGGCCGGGCTGGGCTGCGGGCAGGGCGGAAGGAGAGGAGGGTTATCAGTCTGAGCTCCACGCCCTGCTCTTCACCCGGCCACCCCCTCCACCAGCCCCCAACTCACTGAGGCTGAGCAGGATCCAGCCTCGTCGTCAGGATCTTCGGCTTCCGTCTCGCTGTAGCAGTCTGGGGTGGACAGGAGCCGTTGGGGCGACCCACTGAAGCTTCACAGGGTTGGGTAAGCCATGGGGTGGGCTTGGGGAACTGGATTCCCAGCCCCCACCCCAGGAAAGCAGAGGCTCAGGTGAGATTCAGTGGGATCCAGTCCTGTGAGACACCCACCTTCCTCTTGGGGCAGGGAGGCCCGGCCTGGAGACTGGTACTTGGAAATGCAGGTAATGAGATGACGCACCCACCTGTGAAGGGGCAAATGGGTTTCAGAGAGTTTCCACTGAGTCAGTAAACTGGGTTGGAGAAGGCGATGGCAACCCACTCCAGTACGCTTGCCTGGAAAATCCCATGGATGGAGGAGCCTGGTAGGCTGCAGTCCATGGGGTCGCACAGAATCAGACACGACTGAAGTGACTTAGCAGCAGTATGCTGAGTGTCTGTCAGTCGTCAGTTAAGTCACTCAGTCGTGTCCGACTCTTTGCGACCCCATGGACTGCAGCGTGCCAGGCCTCCCTGTCCATTACCAACTTCTGGAGTTTACTCAAACTCATGTCCATTGAGTCGGTGATGCCATCCAACTGTCTCATCCTCTGTTGTCCCCTTCTCCTCCCACCTTCAATCTTTCCCAGCATCAAGGTCTTTTCAAATGAGTCAGTTCTTCACATCAGGTGGCCAAAGGATTGGAGTTTCAGCTTCAACATCAGTCCTTCCAATGAATATTTAGGACTGATTTCCTTTAGGATGGACTGTTTGGATCTCCTTGCAGTCCAAGGGACTCTCAAGAGTGCTGGATGGGGCTTTCACTTACATCATCTTCTAACTTAATCCTCAGAGCTAATCTGAGAGATAGGAATTCTTATTAGTCCATTTTATAGACGGTGAAACTGAGGCTTAGAGAAGGGAGTGTCTTGACCAGCCCTCTCAGAGAGCTGGGATCTGAATCCAGGCTCCTGAGCCCAGGCCCCGAGCACTCACATGCAAGCTGTGAGGGGTGAGAGGGTGGCACTCACATACTCAGATCCGTCAGGGTATCAGCAGCAAAGATGAAGGGTTTGTACACGTTGTGGGTGAGCTGGAACACACTGCCGGGGAGCAGAGGGGCCTCACTCACCTGGGGGTGCCCATCCTGAACCCAGGGAGGCTGGCCTGGGAATCCCAGCCACCTGCTGCCCCCACCCCGCCCCTCCTGTCACCTGCCTCTCCCTTTCTTTCCCCACCCCCCGCCTGTCACAGCCCAGGACTTAACTATTTTTTCTTTTGATCTTGTCCACTTTCCAGACTGTAGTTGGAGACATTGATGAGGCCCTCGGCCTTCTCATCCTGGGGGATCACAGTGTGAGGGTCAGCTTGGAGCTCCAACACCCTTGAGGCCCAGGCAAGCTCCTAAGGGCAGGGGTGGGGTGGGGGAGGGCATCTCCTGGGCTGTCTAACTGCTCATCTCTCAATGCCCAGGGCTCAGGGCAGGAAGCTGGGGTAGGGTTGTGACCAAGGGGTGTCTCTGTGCCTGGAAATGGTAGGCAAGCTATCCAGAGCAAGAGCCAGGAAAGAGGAGCCTGCTCATACATCTGCTCCATCGCAGACACAGACCAAGCTGCTTCGCAAAATGCTCTTCTCCTTGCCTGCTTTTCTTTCATCTTTCCGTCTAACTAACATTCAGGCACTAGTTTCTCAGGAAGCCTTCGCCACTCTTCAGGTGGACTGGTCACCTTTGCAGGGATCCCACCCACCCCTGGGCTCTTCCTTCATCACATTATATGTTCCTGTATTGTCCCTGTGTATTCATCCCTGTCCACACTGGCCTGAGAAACAGAAAAGGTCTAGTTCTTTCCCATGTCCCAGAGCCCAGCCCAGAGCTGGGTATACAGTAGGCACCTTGAATGTTAGTGGAATGAGCAGACAATTGCTTGAGCAATTAACAGAAGGGGAAGGAAAGGCGGGCAGAATCGGTGATTCTACATGGCCTGTGATAAACTTTTCCAAACTGCTTTTGCACACACCCCAGTTCTCTCTGAAGAGTGTTCCTATTTTACAGATGGGAACGCTGAGGCCCACCTGTGACCACCAATGGGCCTGGACGGTGGAGGAGAAACAGGAGCCATGGTCCTGAGGTGACTCACTTGTGCATGTGTGTATGGGGTCTCACCTGGGGCTGGCGGTACCAGTAGAGTGTGTGTCCCTTGAGCACAAACCAGCAGCGGCGCCAGCGCGGGCCCATAAAGCCCCCGGGCACCTTGCGGAGCAAGAGCCAGCCATCACAGTCGGGCAGGCCCAGCTCCCGACACGACACCCGCCGACGCGTCGCCACGCCTGCAGCAGCAGGGCACAAGGGTCAGTGAGGGGCTGGCGGGGCATCCCAGACCCCTAAAGTTGCTCCCTGGCCCCCCACGAGCACCCCCAGCTGATGTTTCTGAACCCATGCTCTGTGCTTGGATTGTGACAAGGGTCAGTTCTGGGCGGGGGTGACTCTTCTTATTTTAAGAGATGAGGAAGGTGAAGATCAGAGAACGAGCTGTTTGCCCAGAAATCACAGAGCTGGTGAGAGGTCTGGGCTGGGAGCACAGGCCTGTCTGACCCCAGAAACAGAACTGCGTCTGGAAGAGAAGTGTGTGATGTGTGTCGGGAGGGTGGTCTTGCCCAGCCTTGCAAAGCCTTCTAAGAGTGCCTCAGATCAGAGGAAAACCCCCCAAGCTGCCCAGCCAGGTGCATTTCGTACCTTTTGATTTCCTGCAGCCAGGGACAGGACTCTGAAAGGACCACAGGCAGTTAGAAAAGAGTCTGCATCCAGAGCCACACACCCCTCCGCGCTGAGCCCCTGAACTTACCCTATCAGGGTGTTCTGGGGGCTCTGGAGTGTCTGCCACCTCTGCCGGGTGTGTGGCTGGGGTTGCAGGGGGGCTGGGCAGGGGCTCGGGGCCAAGGGAGGTTGAGTCTGTCAGGGCGGGAGGAGAAGAGAGAGAGAGGCTCCATGAGCCTCAGACCCAGGCCCAGAGGTAGGCTGGGGGTGTAAGAGCCCAGGGTCAGAGTCAGACACCCCACATGCCTTGTCTGGGGACACCTGCTAACACGTGGGGCTTTGATATTACCTGTCCAGGCAGGAGAGCTGGGTCCAGGGCTTGGGTCTGAAGACAGGTCGAAGTCAAAGATGTCTTTAGAGGGGGTCCTGGAGCGATGGGGGACAGAGGAGGTGAGCCGTGGCTCACCCTCCAAAACCCACCCGGGGCCCGAGGCTGTTACCTGGGAGACACGGAGGCCAGAACCGGTGATGGGCTGACTGGGCGTGGTGGGTCCAGGGGCCGAGGAGGGGCCTAAGGAGCAACGAGAAACAGCTGATGGAGCTGGGGCCCACACCCGGCTCTGAGAGAAGGCTGGGGGCGGGAGGGCGGCAGGTACCTGTTGTGGGGTCTCCGGCACCGGGACCTTCTTCAGCACTAAACTGACCCTGTCTGGCTCCCGCAGCAGCTCCCTCGCTACGTTTTTGTGAGGCCAGCCCACCTAGGGGACGGGGACACGGGGCTGGACTGACCTGGACGGGAGCCTCTGGGGCAACCCAACAGCCCTCCCCTCAGATCACTCTCTCAGCCTCCCCTTGCCCTCCTCCAGGAAGCCTCCCGGAGCCCCTCGGACCCATGTGAGCTGGCTGACCTCCCGGCGAGCAGCTCACCACCCCGGTCCCCCGAAGGAAGGGAACCTCTCCACCTGCCAGCCAGGGTTCTGCTCAGGAACCCCTTCCTCCCACCGTGCCCGTCCCCTCTCTCACCACCACCTGCTCGTTGACCTGGACAATCTCGTCTCCAGGCAGGACCTGCAGCTGGGGGTCGGTGGGGACCTGGAGTCGGAGGTGGGGTTCAGAGGGGTGCACCCTCACGGGGCTTGGCCGGCAGGCAAAGGGGACTGTGGGGCTGGGAGGCGGAGACGGGTGGAGGGCTCTCACCTGGGCGCCCACTCGAGACACAAAGTGCAGGCAGCTGCTGGTGGTGTGGATTTCCAGGCCCTGCAAGGCGAAGGCTGCGGTCACTGAGGGCCGGGGGGCTGCAGGGCCAGCGGGCAGGACCCCCGCTGGCACCAGGACTCACAGGCGGGTGGAAAGAGGGAGAGAGCTGGTCTCAAGTTGGCACCGCCCGACTTGCTTTGTGACTTAGGGCTTGCTGCTGTACCTCTCTGAGCCCTGCCTCCTCTTCCCCCAAGGGCTGAGGGGCGCAGGTTACTGACTTCTGAGCTTTCAGATTCTCAGCAACTCTCCTGAAGGCTTAAGCAGGGACAGGAGCAGGACAGGGCAGGCCTGGGGTTTTCCCAGCTGGTCAAGGATTGAAGCAAAAAAGTTCATGTCCTCTCCCCTTCTCCCCTAACCTGCCAGGTCCATGTCCCGGGGCTGGCATGTGTCACCCGAGACCCCACCCACTGCAGCCCCTCTGGACTGCAGAAGGGGCTGTATGACGGTGAGACCCCAGGGGAGGTCCTTTGGACCTTTGTCTACAGAAAGGACCATCCAGCCGTAACAGGATAGGACTCTGTGGGATCCTAGAATCAGATTTCCAGGCCCACATGAGGCTGCTTGAGGGGACCAGAGGTGAGAGGTGAGAGGTCAGGGCTCACCAAAGGATCGTCCAGCGGCACTCGCTTTAGCACAGCCTTCTGCTCCAGCAGCTCCTCCGGGCAGCAGCTCAGGATGTTGCAGCAGATCCCGGCCACGTGGCTGCTCTGGCAAATGGAGGGCAGGATGGAGGGCAGCCTGAGTCCCGTCCCACCCCATCCCCCTGGCCCGCTCAGCCCCTGACTCACAATCCTCAGGACTTTGCTTTCCTTCTCGGCCGCTGGACAGTCCTGGAAGCAGAGAGAGAGTGGGGGCCGGCCCTGAGCAGGGTGCCCTGCCTCCTCCTGAGGGCAGGGGGGTTCCCTGTGGTCCCTCCCAGCATATCCCGTACCCTGGCCCCTTCCCAGAACGACATGGCAGCAGAGCTTCGGCCCCGAGGTCCCATCTCCCTGACCCTGGGCCCCCAGAGGTCACCACACATGCCCTCCCCCGCTCCACACCCTCCTGAGATCAAACTTGCTGAGCTGCCCCTGCCAGTTAGGAGCCCCCACACCCCCTCACCCCCTCCCCAGTGGCCGGGCCTCCTCTCTTCCTGCTCTCGCCGCTCCCTGCTCTCACCCCCGATCTTGTGCTGATTCACAAGTTATAAAAAGCTCTAGCCTGACTTGGTCTCTATAGCCTCGGCCAAGCCTGGCCTCTGGATCTCCTACCTCCTGCAAGGCCTGGCCCAGCTCCCCGCATAATTCCCCAATCGCCTGGCAAGATGAGAAGTCATTTAAGTGGGAGAAGAGGTACCTGGCAGAGGGGAGGATGGAGCAGTGGTTAGGGGACTGAGCTTAACAGTCAGCTCACTGAACCACCCTGAGCCGACTACACATCTAAGGTCCTGATGGGTTTTGGTTTGGGGTGAAGGAGATGACTTTTTCCAGTGGTCATGTATGGATGTGAGAGTTGGACTATAAAGAAAGCTGAGCGCCGAAAAATTAATGCTTTTGAACTGTGGTGTTGGAGAAGACTCTTCTTGGACTGCAAGGAGATCCAACCAGTCCATCCTAAAGGAGATCAGTCCTGGGTGTTCATTGGAAGGACTGATGCTGAAGCTGAAACTCCAGTGCTTTGGCCACCTCATGCGAAGAGTTGACTCACTGGAAAAGACCCTGATGCTGGGAGGGATTAGGGGCAGGAGGAGAAGGGGACGACAGAGGATGAGATGGCTGGATGGCATCACCGACTCGATGGACATGAGTTTGAGTAAACTCCGGGAGTTGGTAATGGACAGGGAGGCCTGTCATGCTGCGATTCATGGGGTCACAGAGTCAGACACGACTGAGCGACTGAACTGAACTGAAGGAGATGACTGATACATCAAAAGACTTTAGCACAGGATTTATTTGTCAAGTGTTTAATGAATGCCAGGCCCAGTTCTAGGCACTGGAGAGACATATTAAATACATAATTGCATCAATAATGATTAGGGACTTCCCCGGTGGTCCAATAATGATTTATGGGCTTCCCTCATAGCTCGGTTGGTAAAGAAACCACCTGCAATGAAGGAGACCTGGGTTCAATTCCTGGGTCGGGAAGATCCGCTGGAGAAGGGATAGGCTACCCACTCTAGTATTCTTGGGCTTCCCATGTGGCTCAGCTGGTAAAGAATCTGCCTGTGATGCAGGAGACCTAAGTTCAATCTCTGGGTTGGGAAGACTCCTCTGGAGAAGGGAAAGGCTAACCACTCCAGTATTCTGGCCTGGAGAATTCCATGGACCATATAGTCCATGGGGTCTCAAAGAGCTGGACACGACTGAGTGACTTTCACTTCACTTCACTTCACTTCACTGGTGGTCCAGTGGTTAGGAATCTGCCTGCCAATGCAGAGGATATGGGTTCGATCCCTGGACTGAGAAGATCCCATGTGCCACAGGGCAATCATGTGCCACAACTATTGAAGTCCGCAAGTTCTAGAGCCCGTGAGCTACAACTATTGAAGCTTATGCACCCTAAAACCTGTGCTCTGCAACAAAAGAAGCCACTGCAGTGAGCAGCCCCCGCATCCCACAACTAGAGAAAGCCTGCCCACAGCAAGGGAGACCCAGTGCAGCCAAAAAATAAATATAATAAATAAAAATTCAGAAAAGATTTAACTTCTACTCCTGTGACCCATAGGAAGCTATGAGTGTGTAATGGGAAAGGCTTCCCTGAGGAGGTGACGTTAGAGCTGGGACCTCTGGGACGAGCAGCGGCCAGTGAAGAGGGCAGCCAGCTCCTTATGCGGTGCTGCTGATGAGACACGGTTACAAGCTGGAGGTCGGGTGGGAACCTAGGGAACCCAGTGCCCTTAAGTGAGTGAAGTCGCTCAGTCCTGTCCGACTCTTTGCGACCCCATGGACTGTAGCCTGCCAGGCTCCTCTGTCCATGTAATTTTCCAGGCAAGAGTACTGGAGTGGGTTGCCATTTCCTTCTCCAGGGGATCCTGGAGATTGAACCTGGATCTCCCGCATAGAAGGCAGACGCTTTACCATCTGAGCCACCATGGAAGCCCCATTACAGACCAATGTGAAGCCCCTTACACAGACCAATTAACCTTTTTTGGCTAGTCCCACCATATTACTCCTTGGAGGAAAGTTATGACCAACCTAGATGGCATATTAAAAAGCAGAGACATTACTTTGCCAACAAAGGTCCGTCTAGTCAAGGCTATGGTTTTTCCAGTACTCATGTATGGATGTGAGAGTTGGAATGTAAAGGAAGCCGAATGCCGAAAAATTGATGCTTTTGAACTGTGGTGTTGGAGAAGACTCTTGAGAGTCCCTTGGACTGCAAGGAGATCCAACCAGTCCATCCTAGGTGTCCATCCAGTCCTAGGTGTTCACTGGAAGGACTGATGTTGAAGCTGAAACTCCAATACTTTGGCCACCTGATACAGAGAGCTGACTCATTAGAAAAGACCCTGATGCTGGGAAAGATTGAGGGTGGGAGGAGAAGGGGACGACAGAGGATGAGATGGTTGGATATCACAGACTCAATGGACATGAGTTTGGGTAAACTCCGGGAGTTGGTGATGGACAGGGAGGCCTGGTGTGCTGTGGTTCATGGGGTTGCAGCGAGTCAGGCACAACTGAGCTACTGAACTGAACTGAATTGAACCATATCTGAACAAGAGCCAAGCTCTCGTTTTCTCTCCCAGGTCCCTGGAGGAGGCCATGGATGTGGAGGGTCCCCTCACCAGTCACTCAGACCCTGGGAGGAGACAAAGGTACCTGTTGAGCCAGAAGAGGAGGGAACGGGCCTCGTGTACCAGCTGCACGGCCGCACCAAGGACATCTGTAGGGGGCTCTGCACAGCCTCCCAAGCGACCTCGGACCAAGCTCTGGAATGCCCGGGTTCCCTCCAGCAGCCCCTCTGTCAGGCTCCGCAGGTTCTCTGACTGTAGCCCCACGCTCTGTACAGAGAGGGGGCAGGTTAACTCCGGCAGGGGCCAGCCCCCTATCAGCATCCCCAGGGTGGGCAGAAGCTGCAGCCAGTTGGGCCGCCATTCACTCACCAGGGCCCGGAGCTGTTCCACCCCTTCCAGGATGATCTCCTGGTGGCCCAGAGGGGACACGGTTAGAGCCTCCAGGCTGCGGGGGCAAAGCTGGAGCAGGTACTTGCCAGGAAGCTCCCAGTCCTCAAAGCAGTAGCCCTGCAGGGAATCGTCCAGGCCTGGAGGGAGAGCAGGGGTCAGCGCGGGGGACCCAGGGGGGTGTCAAGGCCTTTCCGGTCCGTGGAAGAGCCCTTCTCCTAATGTCAACCCTAAGGCCAAGGCTGTGTTCTGTCCTGCCCATTTCACAGATAAGGATACTACTGAGTTGAGACGTAGGATCACACAGGGGAGTGGTTCTCAAAGGATGGTTCCACAGACCAGCAGCAGCATCCTCATCAGGGGACTTGTTAGAAATACAAGTTCTGGGAATTCCCTGGTGGTCCAGTGGTTAGGATTCAGCGTCCTCATTGCCATGGCCTGGGTTTAATCCCAGTCAGGGAACCAAGATCCCGTGAGCCATGTGGTGTGGCCATAAAAAAGAAAAATAGCCAAGACATGGAAACAAACTCAGTGTCCATTGACAGATGAATGGATAAAGAAAATGTCACACACACCCGCATACGTGCACACATGCACAAATATTCAACCAGGAAGAAGGAAATCTTGCCATTTGCAACAACATGGATAGACCTTGAGGGTATTATGCTAAGTGCAATAAATCAGAGAAAGACAAATACTGTATTATCTTACATATATAGAATCCAAAAAACCCAAACTCTTAGAAACAGGGAACAGACTGATAATTGCTGGAGGTAAGGAATTAGGGAGTGGGAGAAATGGGTGAAGGTGGTCCAAAGGTATAAGCTTCTATTTATAAGTCAGTTTGGGGGGTAGAATGTACAGCATGGTGACTATGGTTAGGATTCTGAGCTTTCAGTGCTGTGGCCTGAGTTCAATCCCTGGTCTGGGAACTATTAATAAGATCCTGCAAGCTGCGTCGTGTGAACTTATAGGCAGGGTCCAGCAACGTGCTTTTTAACAAATCCTGCAGGGGTTCTGATGCTTGGGCAAGTCATGATTGATGAGGCTTTGGAGTCTGGGAGACCTGAGTGATAGCAACTGAGCAAGTAACTGAATTACTCTGTGCCTGTTTCCACCTAAAAAAATGGGGAAAATAAAAACACATCACTTCTAATCATGTCTATTAAATGACATGACACATGTCAACAGCTTGAGCAACTCCCTTGGTTCAGTCAATAACAGCCCCCACACTATGTGTTGCCAGACTCTCTACCATGATCTGCAAGGCCCCGTACGATTCGGCCACCACCTGCCTCTCCAGTCTCATCTCTTGGCACAGCCCGTCAAGCTCAACAATCTCGATCCAGAGCACTCACTCCCTGCAGCTCTCGGGAGACTCTCTTGCTTTTGCTTCATGGTCCCTGAAGGTGCATTTCCTTCTGCCTGAACTGCTCTTCCAGCTCCCTCATGTTCGTGGTCATCTAACTTCCTCCAGGAAGCCTTCCACAACTCCCCAGGCTGGGCTGGGGCCCCCTGCGCCTCCACAGACCCCTGCACCAGAACACCAACCTCTCCTACTCCATCACGAGCTCTTCCAAGGACTGGGCTTTAAAACAAGTGTTCATCTCTAATTCCGGCCGGGGCATAAGGCAGACACTCAAAAATAAATACTATGTGCTAGGAAAAACTTAAGGACTTTATACACATTAACACATTGAATCTTCCCCAAATCTATAAAGTAGAGATATTGTTATTCCCATTTTACAGATGGGAAAACATACACAGAGAGGTTAATAGTTGGCTTTCTCCCTCTTTGAAGGAACCCCTGCCATTCCAAGCCAGAGTCCTTTACGGGGTATGTGTGTGTGACCAACAGCCCTCCCCCATCCCCTGTGTGACATCAGGAGCCCTTCACTAGGAATTCACGAGCTTTTACTTCCTGGCCGTGGGCCTCAAGCACCCTGCTTCCCGTGCCCGGTGAATGCGCTGTGTTGTCTCTCTCCCAACAGACTGTGACATTGAGCCAGGCCCTCATCACAATTGTCTTATTTGGTCCCACCTCATGAGATCAAAGTCGCCTTTCCCATTTTGTGGATAGGGAAACGGAGACTTGTGGTCACCAAACTGATGAGCGGAGGGGCTGGGCCTGGAACTCAATCTGCGAGTCTGACTCCAGCCCTGAGTCCCGGCTCTTCCCAGGGATGGTCACCCTGAGTCTGTCCCCAGACGACTCCAGTTGCCCCCCTCCAAATCTGGCTCCCCCTGAGAGGAACGTGGTCCTCATCTCCCATCTCCCGGCTCCACAGCAGACCGTCCACACTTCTCTGAGTCCGCTGGCACCCTGGGCCCTTTCCCACCCACCTGGGCTCATCTTCCCTGGAGGTCTCGGGAGGGGCTGGGCCTGGGCTTCTGCTCTCGCTGGGAGCCTCAGGGTGGGGGGAGGGAAAAGACACCTCCGGCAGGCCCTAGTCCAAAGCCTGAGCAAATCACTCGTTGGCTTGGTGGAGAGTTTTCAGCATCTGAAAAATGGGATTATTTACAGCCCACTGCGCCCCGGGGGCAGAGGGAAGATGAGATACACCGCAAGCGGTCGGCTGGGGCGACACTTTATGTTTTCATTACAGAACCACTGCCTGGGCTACTGGGGGGAAGAAAGACCCCTTCTGAGTCCTCGGGGGACCCCACCGGGGTCATCTCGACTACCTTTCTGCCGGGTTCACGGAAGACACTCTGTAAATACTTGCGACTGACTAACCGACTGACAAACTCGGCAGGTCCTTTCTGCTTTCGCTCTCCCCGGCCCAGGACCCCTCAGGCCCAGCACTGCCCCGGCCCCACTCACCTCTCAGCCAAGCCGCCACCTTCCTGGGGGTCCAGGTCGCCACTGGCTCCATTGCCAAGTTCGGTCCCTCGGATCGGCAACTGCTCCGCCTCGCCCGCGCAGGAATTTCCGCTCCCGGAGCCCCGACCTGGGGAGGGGCTGGGCTGGGCCGGGCCGGGGGCGGAGCCACGAGCACACCTGGGCCCACAAAGCAGGCCAGGTGAGTCGCTCTCACGGCCATTGGCCGGCCACCATTCCATCTCCTGCCCCACCCTTCAGGCAGCCCAGAATATCTGGGCTGCCAAACCTGGGGGTGGTGCCGCTGGTTTGTGACACGGGTGACCTCGGAGCTGACCTGGGATCCCCGCCCGAAACTGGCCTCAAATGGCAGGATGCGACCTGACCTTCGGGCCTTCTCAAAAAGGGACCAAAAAATGAGCAGTGGTCACAGCAGCGAGGCCCAGAAAGGTTAGGAAGCCAGAGCCTGGGTCCAAACCCCAACCCTGCAGCTTCTTAGCTTGTGTGACAAGGCCTAAACCGACCCACCGGGCCTCAATTTCCCTGTCTGTAAAATGGGTATTAGCTCCTACTTCAGAGGGCTGTGCAAAGTACCTGAATTAATAGCTCTAAAACCTTTAGAACTGGTTTCCAGCCCCCTCTTTGTTTTGCACTGTGGACCCTTTTGACGGTCTGGTGGAAACCCTAGACCTTTTCTCTGAACATTGCTTTTAAAAACATAAAGCAAAATGCTGGAGATTGCGAGGACAATTACTATCAAAATATATTAAAACCCACAAATTTATGATATAGTAATATGTATTTATCAGTACATATAGTAATATGCATTTAATATGTATCAATAACAGGACTGGCAAATTAAAATTTCCTTTTCTAATGGTATCAGTGTATTGTTACTCAGCATGAATAACATTGAATTGTGGGGGTGGTCTCTGAGTCACCTCCTCATACCTATTGGTCAGCAAACAACTACAGATAGGCGTGTGAGAGACTGAGAATCTGAGTCATCAGTGCGCGAGCAGGTGGATTCACCATTTGGCCATTAACCCTCTACTGGCCACAGTCAATGGCAGCTCTGTTCCAGGAGCGTCTGAAACAGAGTGTGATTTAGCAGTGGGTTAATAACTGTCAGCATTTTGAAATCGTTAATGAGCATAAGTAACATTTTGAGATACTTGTGATAACCACAATTTGATATCAAAATATCTTTGACGTCTACTGGTGGCAAAACCACAGATACTACTAATACTTCAATCCATGAAGAAGGAGATGGTAAATTTTGGTGAGAGGTCAGTAGAAATAAATATATAATTTTTTTGCCATCCAAGTTGATGAGATGGGAAGCCCAGGTTAAGAGCTTTCCTTTTAGAACAATGTCTGACACATACTAAGTGTCTGCAGTTATCATCATCATTACCATCCCAGGCCAGGGAACTCCCAGGACTTTGGAATCAGGCAGAATTAGTTCCACGTGAGTTTAGAATTAACGTACACATGGCTATGTATACAACAGATAACTAGCAAGGACCTATTATATAGCTCAGAAAACTAAACTTAATGTTTTATAATAACTTGTAAGGGAAAAAAGAGTCTGAATATATATATTCTTATATTCTGTATTTATCAAAATCACTTTGCTATACGCTTGAAATCAACACATTGTAAATCAATTATGTGTCAATTAAAAAAAATCAGTTCCACTTGCTATGTGACTGAGTCCACCTCTTTCACCTCTCTGAACCTGTTTCTTCGTCTCTAGAAGAGCAGGGAGGGAATTAGGCCTTAGCTCTGAGGATGTCCTTTAATATTTGAAACCTGTAACATGAGGTAGATCTGAGTTATTATTGCTTTAATTCTGTGGGGAGGGGCCTGGGAGGGCTGCCCCCTCTGTGTCACCTAACTTGGACTCTCTACCGCTGCCTCCAGAGCCTGTCATGAACTGAATTATCAGAGACCCAAAGTCTGAATTTGGTCCACGGGTGTCCATGTGGTGTGTGTGTATGTTAAATATCATTCAAGAATGTCACATACAAACTGAGTCCTCTGGAACTTGGCCAGCTCTGTTGACCCCATTCTACCTTCGCACGTGGCATCAAGCATGAATGCAGATTGTCAGCTGCTTCCTTCAAGGGGATGCCAGCCCGCCAGGTCCCCAGAGGCCTTGCTCCCTCATTGTGAACCAGCAGGCTCAAATTTACAACTTGGCCCTCACGTTTCTGGCTTTGTCCTTAGTCTCACGTCCTCCTACCCTGCTCTCCGTGTATCCCTCTAACATCCTCTGTGCTGTTTCCTCCTTTAATGTTTTTGCCTCTCCCCACACGAGCCTCCCTGTGGTGCTCCAATAAGCACAGACGTATCCCCATCATCCTGATTTCATCGAACACCTACCCTGAGCGGGCACAAGATCTAGAGGTGAGATGCCAGCCAGCCTGACCTCCCTGAACTCACAATCCTGTAGGGGAGAATCCAACAAGAACTCACCACTTGTACTCAGATCCTCCCTGAAAAGGCCTGGGGGCCTAACAGGCATATTGGTGCCTTTACTGCCCCCCGCACACACTGTCCGCCCTGGAGCACCTGGCAGGGCTGAGAAGTTAGAGGCGTGGTAAATGGAAGCTTCTACTTTTTTTTCAATTTTTTAATATGGATTTGTAAAATAAATTTATTTATTGGTTGCACTGGATGTTCACTGCACGCACTTTCTCTAGTTGCTGAGAGTGAGGTCTAATACAGAGTTGCGGTGCATGGGCTTCTCAAGTCAGTGGCTTCTCTTGTGGAGCACAGGTTCTAGACATGGGCTCAGTAGTTTGGCACAATGGCTTAGTGGCTCCACGGCAGGTGGGATCTTCCTGGACCAGGGATCGAATCTGTATCTCCTGCATTGTCAGGAGGATTCCTATCCATGGTATCACCAGGAAAGTCCTGCAGCTTCTATTTTTTTTTTTAATATTTATTCATTTATTTGGCTGCACCAGGTATTAGTTGCAGCATGTGGGATCTAGTTCCCTGACTAGGGATCGAACCTGGGCCCCCTGCATTGGGAGCTCAGTCTTAACCACTGGGCCAACAGGGAAGTCCCTGCAGCTTCTATTTTTAAGGTAGTTTTATGAGTTTATAAAAGGTCTTTGAACTTATTTGCGGCAAAAATGTCAAAGGTAATAGTAGCTCATTAAGTGGAAGGAAAGTGAAAGTGTTAGTCGCTCAGTCCTGCCCGATTGTGTGATGCCATGGACTATAGTCCACCAGGCTCCTCTGTCCGTGGAAAGAATACTGGCAAGTCTCCAGGCAAGAATAATGAAGTGGGTTGCCATGTCTTTCTCCAGGGGATCTTCCCAAGCCAGGAATCGAACATGGATCTCCTGCATTGTAGGCAGATTCTTTACTGGCTGAGCCATGAGAGAAGCCCAAATGGAAGGAGGTTGTGTCCTTTCCCCAGCAAGTTCCCATCCCATTGCCCAGAATGGGCCACTGTTAAGTTTTCTGGGTGTTCTTCCCTTCTCTCTATAGTATATGCAGACACTCTACATGCTATTCTGCAAATACACTTTTCTGCATTTTTATGAGATGGTCAATACCAAATGAAGTCATACACATAAAGTGCTGAGAATAATGCCCAGCACAAGTTATTTTTTTTGGCCACGCTTTTAGGTCTTGCAGGATCTCAGTTCTTAGATCAGGTATTGAACCCGAGACACGACAGTGAAAGCCTAGAATCCTAACCACTAGGCCACCAGGCAATTCCAGGAAATTTTTGTTAGTACACCTCTAACAGCTTTTTCAATCAGTAGATGCAGATCTTTTATTGAAAGGAGGGAAGTTCCTATAGGAACTCCATCTTGAGGAAAGGGATGAAATATGCCTTCCCCCAAGGTAGGTGTGGTTGATCTAAGAGAAATCAAGTAAAAAAGGCCTGCCCCTATTTGGAAGGGGTGCTAAAGGTACCCAACCCCTCCTCTGCTGAGAGCTGACCGGTGACATCCAATTACCTGAGGCAGGGACAGGGCCAAGACCAGGGCTGGGGAGGCCCTCCCACACCTGGTCCAGGCCTGAGACTTGTCCATACAGTCAGGCAAGGCCTCTCCTGCCGCCCTGGCTTGCATTTCCCGGTGGGAGGGGGAGGAGCTGCTCAGGCCTGATGCTGATCTCTCCTGACAGCTGCTCCTAAGGCTGGCAGGGCGGGCCGGCGGGGGAAGGGACAGATTTAAAGGTCTAGCTGCCCCGCCCCCTGCCAGACCTGGGAAGGCAGACGCTGGTGAGCATCCTCTGAGGGCACGGCTCTCTCACGTATGAGAGTCAGGAACCTCTATGCCCTGATTTCCACCTCTTGGTATCATGAATGAACGCCACTGGTCCTCATTACGGCTTTCACCCCACAGGACATCTAGGAGACGAGCGGCACCCACCATGCGATTTCGACGCCTGACCCCTGGCTACTTCCGAGTGCTACAGGTAAGCACCCCAACTGATGGCTTCCAGCACCGATCCCGTCCGCCCCGCCGCTTACCATGGCTGGGATGATACCCAGTCACCAGGCTGTCACGTTCCCGGCCGCCTGAGCAACCAGGGCCCAGATGGGCAGTGAAGCGAGAGGGATTGGGGTGGAATCTCCCTGGGGCAGCGATGGCATCCATATCTCCTTCCCCCAGCTGTAGCTTCTGAGCCCCTTTCCACCCCACCCGCCTTCCCAGTAGTCTCGACTGACCCCTCAGGCGGACCCTCTGTGCATCTCCAGATGCAGATAGCCGGGGAGCTGAAGGCAGAGCCCCGGAGTCCGCTGGCGGGGATTGTGGCTGCAGTGCTGGCTATCCTCGGGCTGGGCGGCTCCTGCTATGCTGTCTGGAAGATGGTGGGGCAGCGGCGGCCGCCACAGGCTCCATGACGAAGCAGACAGCCTCTCACCTCGGCCCCTGGATTCACAGGGGCTACAATCTCAGGAGCCTCCTTCTTTCTTTTCCTGGGGGTCACTCCCTGCCCTCATTGTAAGCAAGAGTATAAACCTGATCCTACCCATCACCCCACACACACCTGGGCTCCAATGGGGGTCTTCAGCACAGATGCCAGGACCCCTGACAGATGGCAAGGATGCAGGCTCTAAGGCTCAATCAAGCAGGGAGTAAACACTCGGTCCTGTACACAGGAGTAGTAGAGAAATCTTTACAGGGCCTGAATTTGGAGGAGTGGCCCAGAGGTTAATGAGTCAGAGGCAAGCCCTATTTATACATTTCCTTTATTGGAAGGGAGGATATCTGGAAGCGGCCATCCACTCCCCAAACCAAAGGAGATTGGCACAGTCTCTCCCAGCCTGGCCCCTGTACCACCGTCCATGGGCAGCTCCTCTGCCTCGCATCCTCAGGCCAAGTCATGTAGACGTGTCCATCTCAGGGACCTCAGTGGATACTTCTGTGGGCACTGCCAGCCGCTGGGGAGGAATATAGGAACCCATGCCCGCTGCCCTCTCCGCTTCTTCTTGACTGTAGGGCTCCACACTCAGCTGCTTCAGCCTGAGAAAAAAGAATAGGAATTGAAAGCTGACCGGACGGCAAGCTCTGTCTGCGCGGCAACCCACCCATCAATCCTCCCCTTGCTCCTTCATACCTCTTCTTGTGATCTTTGGATCGGAAGTGGGTCTTCAGGTTGGCAGAATCGATGAAGTACCTCCTGTAGGGATGAGGTGGGTAGGGAGGAGAGTTAGAAGGTGATGCCTCTCAGGGTACACCTATTTCCCTGACCCTAGCTCATTGCTGACGCTAGGCTCCGGGCTTGAAGGCATGGGAGGCCGGCAGACCCACCCAGGTCCCAAGAGAGGAAACCCTGCATACCCCGGGCCCGGACCTCACACCCCCGGCCCGTACCGCGGACCCTTCTCCTCCTCAGGCCTGGGCCTGGCGGGAACTCACGCGCAGGCCAGACAGCGATGCAGGCCGCCCCCTGGCAGATCGGGATCGGGTTCAGCGCCTAGGTCTGGCCGGGGCCGTGCGGCGACCTGGGGCCGCAACTCGCGGTGAATCTCATCCAGGTCCGGCCGCCGCCGCTTCGCCTTCATCTGACGGGCCAAGGAGTGCGCTCGGTGCGCGCCCGTACGGCGGGAGCGACCCATGGTGGGTGACACCGGGATCAGAGGTCCCAGAACCGAGGTGGGAGGACACGTGGGGGCGCTTCCGGACGGCTAGATGACGTCATATGACGCTCTCGGATGGGTCGGGCTCCACCGGACCGCCTATGATGACGTCACTCGCGCGAGCCGTGCTTCGAGCGCCCCCAGGCGGTCGTCGACGTCACTGACTGAGCTCGGGATCCGGCCTCACCAAGCGTCCCCTTCCGTCACTGGAGGGGGCTCGGTGATGTGAGCCCTGCGGGCATTTCGGCCGGTCCGCTGGCCAAGCCCATCCAGCCTGGCCCAACCGATTTCAGCGCCGTCCTCTGGCCTTGTCACACCTTCCTGGTTCCCCCATCTTAGATTCCGCGGTTGAGGGGAGGGGGGAAATAGTGTTGCATCTCTGGGAGGCACTGAAAAATGTCTGTGATGTTAATAAATGAATAAGTGAATAAGAGTGAAGACATTTGGGATCCCGGCTCCCACAGGGATACCTCTGGTCCTTGAGAAAGCCCTCGCCATTGGAAACCCCTCCCCAGTTATTCCTCCCGGAGATCACAGTGCTCAGGCATCCTGTCAGAGACTCAAGGGGGTCAGCTCCTCTCACGAGAAGAGGAGAGTCTCACAGAAGGACCTCCCATCTTTGACCCCCTTCCTCTGAGCCCTGGACTCTCAGGCATCGGTTAGCATCAAAGGGAGAGAGCAGCCTAGATGGTGTGTGCTCAGGCTGGGGAGAGGGCCAGAGAGCCTTTCCCCGTGCATCAGAGCCAGGTGCGTTTTTCCTTCCAGGTTGACCACAGGAACTCAGCAATAATTCAGGGGCTCCAGTTCTTTGGAACCTGTTGCCAGGAAACAGGGAGACCAGCACGTGCATCCCTGGGGAGAGGAATCGGTTTCCAGCCCAAAGCGGTGAAATGTAAGCCCAGGTCACCCAGGGGAGCCTTGGGGCCTTCCCGCTCCAGCTCATAGAGGCTGAGTGCAGATTTAGGGCAGGGCCCTGCTGGCGGCACAACTGGTATGGCTACAGCCGCAGAGGCACCACTGTGGGTCCTGAACCCAAAGACTTTGTGAATAGAATTTGTGAATGGAAAAGAATTTTTCTGGAGCCTTTGCAAATAATCAAATTCAAGAACTCCTAGGCCCAGGAAGGAGGCTTCTGTGAAGAAAGATGTCTTCATTATGTTTTCATTATTCTTGCAAATATGGGTCAAGATAGGGGCTGAAGTGGCAGAAGGTGGGTCTCACCACAGACTCTTTTGGATCGGGTTCACCTGCTGGGCACTGTGCCATCTGGGGAGTCTGGTGCATCTTTAATGAGGTCACCTGATGCTTGGGACAGGCTCTCAGACTCACCAGCTTCCTGGAGCCAGACCCACTGGGTGCCCCCTGAACCACCAGCTTCCCGTGCCTGGGTGCCAGGCCTGTTTCCCATGCAGCCATGAGCCAGGCCTTCTGGAAAACCTACAAGTCCAAAGTGCTACAGACCCTGAGTGGGGAATCTGAGGATGACCTGGCAGAGGAGGTGGGTGCCATCCTGCTTGCTGGATGGGGCATGCGTAGGGGGCAGCAGGAGTGAAAGGTACAAAGAAGGAGAGGGGACTGGTTTTGAGGAGGGGAGGGGAGAGAGAGAGACATGGACTTGTGTGGAAGAAACTGGCAATTCAGGGATGACCAATGGCATGGTGAAGTGTCAGAAAGTCAGGACATTCCAGAAAACCAAAGAAGAAGGGAAGACTTGGGGGGGGCACCTGAGGTGTGGTCAATGTCTCCAAAGATCTCAAGGGCTGTCACATGGAAGGGATCCTTTTAGACCCATGGGCAGCACCCATGCAGATACACTCAGTTTGACACACGTTTCTAACGGGCAGAGCTGAGCAGAAGTGGGATGATTTGCTTCGAGAGGAAGGAAGCCCCTGGGACTGGTGGTAGGGGAAGCAGCATTTGTTACACTGAGGGTCACTGTAGCAGCATCAGATCAGAGCCATTACTTGGACCATGTTTGTTCTGACATTAAAGAAAAGGTTTTTGAAAAGGGTCTTACCTCTGGAAAGTAAAAGTGAAGGTTGCTCAGTTGTGTCCGACTCTTTGTGACCCTATGAACTGTAGCCTGCCAGGCTCCTCTGTCCATGGAATTCTCCAGGCAAGGATACTGGAGTGGGTAGCTGTTCCCTTCTCCAGGGGATCTTCCCAACCCAGGGATTGAACCCAGGTCTCCTGCAACGCAGGTAGATTCTTTACCGTCTGAGCCAACAGGCATGGCGATTACACAGACATGGCAGAGGCAGGAACTAGTTCTAAGGTGTGTGTATGTCAGTGTGAATAAATGTATGTCTACACAGGTTGGTGTCCAGGGCTGACCCTGTAGAAGCGTCTGTGGGTCAGTATAGGGGTTGGTGTCTGTGTGGAATCCCCAGTTAAGGGGTGTGTGTGTGCAGGTGTGAACAGGTTATAGGCATTTTCAGGTGTATACATTTGGGGCAGAAGACTATGGAAGCATTCGCAGGTATTGTTTTTGTGTGGTATGCGTGTTTGGGTGTGTGTGTACATCTGTGTACCTCCACACTAGTCTGTGGATGGGTGGAGAAGTTTTGTGTGCTGAGTGGGCCTCCATGGACCTGTCTGCAGTCGTGGACGAGCACAGGTGTGAACTGAATGAGCATCCTTGGGTAAGTGCCTCACAGCACAGGTATCTATGTGCAGGTGAAGAGCTGTAGCCATATGGAGTCACACTCATGTACAGGTGTGTGTCTACATTGGCGTGCAAGCCTTTGTCCATATGTTTTGCAGTGTGTATGAATGTGTGTGGGTGGGCAGGTGTGTGAGCTCACAGGTCTACTCTACAGGTAATGTGTATGACAGGTAGCTTTGCACAGAGGTACAAATACCTGTGTGCAGTCTGGGAGGGTGTCAGGGGGCTAGGTGTGTCTTGGTCCGTGGGGTTTGGAGTACCTGCTCTGTGTGCGTCAGGCTGGCAGGAGGGAAGGGAGGTCGTATTCCTCTGGGGCCTCTCTCATACTGGGTGGGGTCTTGTGTCCAGAAGGAGAACCCAGTGTTAGTGGAGTCTGAGATGGCAGAACCCACTCAAGAGGCCTTCAACCCCATGTCACAGCTGGCCCGCCGGGTGAGTTCTCCTTTTCTCTGCCCCAACCCTGGGGAGCTGGGCAGATGCCTCTGTGGAGTCCTGGGAGGTGTGCTGGGGCCCTCCTTGACTCTCAGCCCCTCTCTCCCAGGTTCAAGGGGTTGGGGTGAAAGGTTGGCTGACGATGTCGTCTCTGTTTAACAAAGAAGATGAGGACAAGCTGCTGCCACCGGAGCCCTGTGCTGAGCAGTACGTGCGTGTTTCAGGGGAGGCCGTCTGAAACAGACCTGGGCACCCTCTTCTCCCATGTCCTTTCTTTCTGCTTGTCTTTCTGACCATGGAGGACTCGGGAGGGTCAGCCCCGGGCTGTTCCCGTTTCTCTCTCTCTCAGCAGGAAAGAGGCCAATCTGGGAGATTAGATTAGATCTCGAGAGGAATTTACCAGCTGTTGGGATTGAGATGCTACAAGGTATTACCGTGTCTCTCCCCATCCATGTGGGAGGGATCACCTCCCTAGGATAAGGGAATCCAGGAGAGAAGTTTTAGATGTTTGGAACAGAGAGTGGTTCAGATCAGTGGTTCTTGAGTATTGGTCTAAATCCTCATCCTCCCAGGGAACTTGAGACAGACACAGATTCCCAGACCTTCCTTCAAAGATTCTGATTCAGCGGGTGTCGGCTGAGGCCCGGGATCTATACTTTCAGCGAGCTCCCTGAGGACTTGAGGGTAATAGTTTAGGAACCACTGTCTTAGCAGGTCCTTGATGCTGGGGGCCACAGGGTCAGATCCAGGGTCTGGTCTTCCCCCTAGCTCTGTTCTGGGACACACTCCATTTCTGCCCTTTCCTCCAGCCCAGTCACACTTCCCTTTTGACAGCCCCCCCACCCCATTCTTTTCTTCCTTTGGATTCCCCCCGACCCGCCCATCTCTCTTGCCCCCGGGTTCCTTTTCTCTCTCCTGCCCTTTGACTCTCCCTACCTCAAGCTTCATCACCGCTCCTTGATTGACCTTCCCGACATCTCTTTGGCCTTAGTCTTTGATCTAGGCCTTTCTCCTTCCTCGGGGTCCCTGCACCCGTTCTCTCCCCAGGGTCCCCCATTTTTCTGGACCCTCTTTCCCTCTATCCGGTAAACCAGACCCCTGTTCCCGCCTCGCCTCTTTCCCCCGGGCTCTGCGGGTTTTGCCAGAGCACCGCCTCCAGAATCTGACCACGCCCCTCCCCCCCCCCGCCCCCCAGATCTAACCTTTCCCTTTGGGTCCCACCACCACCTCCCATCCTTCCGCCCGCTCCTCTCTCAGGGCTCCTCTCCCCACCTTCCCGCAGCCTCCATCTCCCCTCCTCTGGCCTCCTCCCTCTCCCCGAGTACCTACCCTGAGCCCCTGAGCCCTGCTCTCTCCCCACGGATCTTGATCCCGGCCCCTTTTTCCCAGTGAAAGTGAAAGTCGCTCAGTCGTGTCCCACTCTTTGCGAGTCCATGGACTATACAGTCCATGGAATTCTCCAGGCCAGAATACTGGAGTGGGTAGCCTTTCCCTTCTCCAGGGGAATCTTCCCAACCCAGGGATCGAACCCAGGTCTCCCGCATTGCGGGCGGATTCTTTACCAGCTGAGCCGCCAGGGAAGCCCTGACCCACTCACCTAATGCCCTGACCCCTACCCCGGTCCCTCTGAGTACTCCTCCCGCCTCCAGGCCCAGACCTCCTCCCAGTCTCCCGGGTCCCCGCCCCCCCACTCATCCCCCCCAGCCGTTGACCTCGCCCGGGCCCCACTGACCCCACGACAGGTCCCCTGATCCCGCCTCCTGTCCTTTGTCCTTTCCGGGGTCTCCCGGCCAGCCCCTGACCCCGCCTCTCTTCCGCAGCCCGCTGGCGGCGCAGCCCGCCCCGCAGGCGGCGGCCGAGGCGCGCGGGCCCGGCTTCTGGGACGCGTTAGCCAGCAGGTGGCAGCAGCAGCAGGCGGCCGCCGCATCCATGCTGCGCGGAGCGGAGCCCACCCCGGAGCCGGACCCCGAAGCCGGGGACGAGGCCCCCGAGCGCCCCGAGCCGCGCGAAGCCGATCCCGTGGCCGGTTTCAAGTGGGGCTTCCTCACCCACAAACTGGCCGAGATGAGGGTGAAAGCGGCGCCCAAGGGCGACTAGCAGGCCGGCCGACAGGCCGTACTGGGCGCCCGCTCCTCCCCGCTTCCGCGATAAACACCTGGCCTGACACCTCCGGTGACCGCGTGCTTTTATGTCCGTACGGAGGCTGCTTTGGGGTGGGCAACCTCAGGCTCGGGTCCAGCTGGAGTGGTCCTCGCCTTCTGCCCCCCAAACCTACAGGGAGAAAAATGACCAGAGACATCCCTGGTATCAGGACAGATTGCATCTTACCAGTATGCACCAGTCCTGCCGCCCTCTCCAGCCGCTTTTAAATCGACAAACTTTCCTTGTGGCCTTGTCCCTGTACTAGGGGAAGGTCAGGGACTAACAAGAGAACCCAGATTACCAGCGGGTCCCACACAAGTTGATAAGTTGAGGCCCAAAAATAAGGCTGTACTTGGGAGCTCAGAGGAGATGAGGCCGGCTGGGAAATTCAGGAGTTCTGAGAGAGAGCGAGAGAAGGCATATATGGAATCTTAGATGAGTGGAAAGAAAGGGGGAAGGTAACCCAGCTAAAAGTAAGAGAAATGAATAAAGACTTGGAGGTGTGAACGTGTGAGGAAAACAGGTGACCTTGTTTTAAGGGGAAAAAAGGCAGTGACAGGTGAGGCTGCGGGCTGGCAAATTCCTGGTTTGAAAAGTCCTTTATTATCCTGATTCTGGATCCACCCCATTTCAGCCCTTCAAATACCTAGTAACCAAAATGGGCAGCAAAGCTCCAGGAATGGCTTCAGGGACTAGTGAACCCCAGATTTCTGGGGGCAGACCCCTCCCCCAGACTCCCCAAGGGCGCTATTCCCCGAAATAGTTTGGACCCCACACCTGTTGGCGGGGCGGTCAGTGGCAGAGATGATCATAATAGTGCTAGTGTTAGTATTATACTAATTGAGTAGTGGCCCTAGTGGCTTCGTTTATTGAGCACTTCCTCAACTTTGCCAAGCGCTTTGTGACCATTTCAAAAATACTTTGATCAACCGAGGGGGTGTCGCTGCGGTTCCCAGAGGTGGAGTGCCGGCCAAGGGTCACAAAGTCAGTCTGGAAGCTACACTCCAAAACCCTCGCGCATCTGCCCTGTAATCCAACTTTCCGAGTCTGTTAAAGAACGTTTTGACTTTATTCAGCAGGTTCTCTGATCTCCCACCCCAGTCTTCACTCGCCTCCTGGCCTCCACAGGGGCCGCGAGACCGGCTCCCTCCCGTCCTCAGTGCGCGCTGGGAAGGGCCTTCGGGACCGTCTGGTCACAAGCTCCGAAGGTTCACGAGTGGACGCCGCGATCCAGAGGGAAGGGCTTGCCCCAAAGCACTCGACGCGTGAGGCAGGGAGTCCCTGCCCTTGCCTGGGTCCAGCCCCGCGCCCGCTCCTTGCCCTTCCCCGGACCCCCAACTCCAGAAGAGCCGGCCCCCGAGCGGCGGCGGTCACACCTCGGACTCGCGCGGTGGCCCGCGGGCGCGCTGGCAGCCGTACAGCCACTGGATGACGCGCGCGTTGCGCTCCACCACCGACACCTGGGGGCGCCCGTCCCGCTCCGAGCCCGCAGCCTCCGAGCCGCCGCCCTCAGCACCGTCCCGGCGATCTGCGCCGCACTCGCTGGACGTCCAGTCGCTGGCGTCCCCGGAGCCCGGCGGCGGCGACTTTCCGGGCTGGGGGCTGGCGTCTGCGCCCCAGCTCTGCGGAGAGAAGCGCTCGGCCCCCAGCACCTCCACGAGCGCGCGCTCTAGGCCGCAGTAGTTGAAGAAGCGCTCCTTCTCCGACAGGGGCAGCGAGCACGTGGGGCACAATGCCCGCTTTCCCGCCGCTTCCGGGGCATCTTGGGGCGCGGCCCAACCCCCGGGAGCCGCGGGTCGCTCCGATGAGCCTGAGCTGCTAGAGGCGACGTCTCGGGGGCTGCCCAGGAAGAGGCGCCGCACCAGCCCCTGGCCCTTGGCGTTCTCTTTGTTCACCGAAGCCTTGCAGTCCCGCTTCTGGCGGTAGAAGATGAGGGAATCAGGCCTTGGCAGTCGCCTGCCACTGCCCCGGCGGGCGGGCCTGGGCGTCCTGGGCGATGGAGGGGGCCCCAGCTCGTTGCAAGGGTGCGGGGTGAGCGGCCCGGGACCCCCACGCAGAGCCGGCTCCTGGCGTCGCGCGATCACCTGGTGCGTCTTGACATACTTGGCTTTGTCGGCCTCCAGCCTCTCAACGGCGCTGGGCGTCCGTCCCCGGGACGGGGTGGAGGGAGACGCCAGGAGCATTTTAGCAGAACTGGGCAGGACAGTGCTCCATAAGCCACTGGAGGCAGGCAGGTAGTGAAGGAGCTGAGAGCAATTGGCTGGGGCTCCCTGGGACCTGCTGGGGAAAGAGGAATGGTCAGGGGGAGGGTAAGAGATGACCCTGCCCCTCTCCTGAAGGCATTCCTGGGAATAAGGTCAGCCAGCCACCCCTCCCCCATGCAAGTCATCCAGGTGCCATGCCCAGGGGGCAGAGGCTCAGGTATCCCTTCCCCATCCCTCAAAGACAATGGGCAGGGGCTTTCTGACCATCCAGAGTCGTAGGCCCTTTTGAGCGTGCCCCATTATGGCCACAGGGCCATGCCAAGCAGGCATCAGCAAGCCAGACCCTTGGAAAAGGAAATGGGGCTGTTCCCCGGCCTGGTTCCCGAAAGTAGCCTCAACCGGAAAAAATACCTCTTCCCAACCTAGCAACTTTGAGTCCAAGACAAGGAGGCTTCCCAGCCACCCGCTGGTTCCAGCAGGACCCACCCATCCCGCCCCCAAGCAGAGAGGTCAGGGACATAACCACAGGGTAGGAGCCTCCGGTAATTGCAGCCAACTGCCCTGCCCAGGCCCGCCAGAGCCATCATGGAAAGAGAGGGAGATGGTCAACCGCGTCACTTCCGCCAGCTATCTGCCACTCAGTCTGTGCCCCTTCGAAGGGAATTCCAAAATGCCCAACTTGTAAACATCACCTGTTTGCCCCTTGCACTTCCATTTCATAGAAGAGAAAACTGGCGCTGAGAGGAGGGGCTAGTTCAGGTCTTACTGAGAGTTTGGGCCCAGGACTGGAACACAGGTTTCTTACTGTGTAGTTTGAATCTCACTTGCCTATCAGAACTTTCCTCTATCTTTTGCTTTTATTCTTGCTGCTTTAACACCAAACGATTTCTGCAAGAGATGGGCCCCTTACCTCACTAAACAGTTCCTTCCACTGATTCTTCCCAGGAACTTGTACTCCCAGAAACCTGCCCTCTGGGTCCCTCACCCTGAGACCCCCATGACCCCTCTCCTCCACCTCCCTTTTCTGCTGGGGAAGGGGGCCCGGAGGGATTGTAAATCAAGAGCTGACAGTTCCCTTGGCAGTAATAGAATGGGCCACCCACACAGCCCAGCACACTCCACCCCACTTCTGTTTCCCTACTCCTCCCATCCTCCATTCAGCTGAGAGGGACACAGAAGTTCTAGGGGCTTAGGAGACCTGGGCTGGAGGCAACTAAGGAACACAACTTGCCAGGGATGGGGGGAGGGGACCCCTGGTGAGGGGTCTTGGAGTAGAAACTCTACCAATCCCATTCACCCCAGGGCAGCCTGCATGAGTATAAACACACACACACTTACATACACCCACTTAGTGTCCAGTAAGTCAGCCCATAGGTATCTGGTGACTGGGAACCCAGGCAGCAAGGAGAGCCTGGCAGTGCCCTCCTTCCTGCCTCCCAAAGACTCAACTTGGCAACAGGTCTGATTCCAAGGTCCCAGGAGGGCTCTGTGCTTGTCTGACCTCATGGGTATCCTCCTGTCCCCTCTCTTCCCAGCCCTGAGCAGGAGGCTATAAAAAGTTCCTAAACACAGGGACCAAAATAGTTTGCTGTCCACTGCCTCTTCCTGGCTTTCTGGGCTCCTTGGTGCCCGACCGCAGACGTTCCCTCCCTAGAAGCCTGGCAGACATCCTTGTACCCTCTGTCCCTCTACCCACCTTCTCCCAGCACTGGGGTTGGTGGGCCGATGAACTTTGCCCAGCTTTCGGCTCTCGACACAGATGTGGGCTGGGGGACAGTGCTGCCTGGCTTGGTGCCAGCCTCCATGCCCTTGGGCACCTTGGTGCCCTCCCACCCCAGCCCCGGGCTCAGGATGCACTCACCTCTGCATGGGGAGGCTGAATGCCAGGGTCCCCGGGCAGGTCCAGACTGAAGGCAGGAGGGACAGCAGGGACTGGAAGTAACTTCGGTGGCAGCCAAACCTCACTCTCCACAGGAAAAGCCAAGAGAGCCTCCACCCCCCAGATTAACCCTTGCCTTCCTGACCTGGAGTCTGGCCTCTGTTAACTCCTTCCTGGTCACAGTCTCAGAGCAGGAGAGGACCCTTGGACCATGTCCAGCTCCTTTATTTAGCCAGTGGTCACACAGGCCCTGGCAGCTTAAGTGGTTTGCATAGAGGCACAGTGAGCTTGGGGCACAGTCAGCACCCCAAACAAGGTCTCTGGTTCCCAAGCTTCCTCCAGAGGCCTAGGGTGGGGACAAGCTATTCAAGTGGGGTCAGCCCGCTCTGCTGGACCTTGGTGGGTCCTCTTCGTTCAGAAGGCAGGGCAGGGTTCTAGTACACCATGCTTTTTCCCTCTGGAGCAGGTTTAGACCTGCCCTGGTCTGCATGTGTGGAAGGCGTCAAGCTTGCTCTCCCTAGGGGTGAGGCCAGGAATCTGCAACCTAAAAGTGGGGACAGAGGTGCTGCAGATACACAGGGTGAGCCCTTCCCAACAGGTCTTGGCAGGAGGGTCACAAGGGACCCCACTGGAGGGGCCTCTGCCCAAGGTCCTCTGATGGCAAATGTAATTAGCTGGGAAGAGGGTAATGAAGGGATGGGTCCAAGCCTGGGGAAAGGACCTCCTTCCTTCTTTGCCCCCATCGGGGACTTCTTAATTGACACCTCACTTCTCAAGGGGGAGTCCTGTCCCCACAATGCTTGTTCCAGGAGCGCACCTCGTCCTCTCTCCCCATGGGGCAAACTCTGCAGCACCCAGAGCCCCAAGACTAATGCCCCTGCCAAGGGGTCCCTGCACCACTCCCCACTTTTCACAAATCTCTTTCCCTCCCTTCTAGCACTTTTTAATGTCTGCAAAGCACATTCATGCCTTTGCTCTCTGATTTCCTTTGTCCCCCACAAAGACCCTAAACAGCAGACCCAGCAGGGGTGACCACCCCACTTGATAGGCAAGGAAACAAGATTGGGGGTACCCAATTCCAACCCCAAATCCACTCTTTCTACTGCACCCTCAGCCTGGCACGTAAGGTAGTAAGTCTGAAAATTACACGGCCCATCTCCTGGTAACGGATTTTATTACCTAGTTAAAGGGAGTATTTTTTTTTGGTCCATCCATATTGTGTTGTTACAGTGCTCTACAAAATGCTCTCATGTACATGATCAGAATTCATCCCCAGGACTACATTTCAGAAGTAGGTTTATTATTTTCTCCATTGGACTGCTGAAGAGAATGAGACTCAGGTGAAATGACTTATCAAGTGGAATACTAGTTAACATGTATTGAAACTGATAGATGCTAGGCACTGTTCTAAGTACTTCACAGAATGATTAATACATTTAATCCTCAAAACCACACAATGAAATAGGGACTTTCATTCTCCTGGTTTTATGGATGAAGGTTGGGGTGCAGGCCAGTAGCCTTGAGATCTGGTCCTGAAGGGGTTAAGCATGAGGCCGGGCAAAGCCCAGCTGGGATGCTGTCAATGGCAGGAAACCTGGCCTGTGAAGGAGGGGGAGGATGGGGCTGTTGTGTCTGAATCTTATACAACCCCCATCCTTTTGGTCTTAAAGGAGCATCCGGGTTGGGAAGAAGGGCAAGGGAGGGGCCTCCTTCTCAGCTCTGGACAGACACCAGGTTACAGAAAGAGGGGCCTTCAGAGTCAATGCAGGTCACTGCCCTGGAGTGGCCCCCAGTCTGACAAGGGTGAGTGGAAGTGAGCCCACCTCCCTTCAGGAGCGGTCAAGAGCTGGGGAGACACAATCCCAGCCCTGGGAGCCCCCAGTCAGAGAGGGGAGACACAGCCCTGCCCCCATAGGTCTGGATGGTGCTTGGTCAAAGAGCCTGCTCTCAGGAGCTCCCAGTCTGAGAGGTGACAGTACTCTATCCCAGGAGGTCACAGTCCTGGAGAGCAGAGTCATGATGTCAAGATCAGATAGGATCGGTTTTGTGGGTGAGAGAGCCCTTGAGAGAGTCAGCCTCAAAGAGGGGGAGGTGGTGGACATCACGAGGGGGGGCTCCAGCAGCCTGCCCTGCCTTGTCTTGGCCACACTTGACTTGAACCGGATCGCTTATCTTTCTAGTCATGGGTCCCCAGGGAGAGCCCTAAAGTGATTCCTTCCGGCCCCAGAGCCAGGGCCTTGGTTGAGGGGGAGGCCAAATCTGAGGGACATTTCCTTCCTGACTCTGAGCTCCTTCCCGGATCACCCCGAGGATGAAGATAGATGGGAATGGGCCTGAGTCAGAACTGGCTTCTTCCAGGAGAGGGTGGTGGGAGGGTGGGGCCACAGCTCTGGCGAGTGTTGGGAATCAGGAGACCCTTCGGATCCACCTTTAAGCCCCAGATCCACACTGTCCCAGGGCAGAAATGTGTGTCGGTGCCTTTGATTCTAAACCTGATCCATCCCTCACTGGCTGTGTTGCCTGAAGCAAGAACTTAACCTCTCTGAGTTCCCTTCTGTGTCAAGGGGGGAAAAGCCCAGCCTCAGTGTGGCAGGAGGAAGTGGTGCCTGAGAAAAGCACCTGGGGCCGCAGGTGCTGGAAAATGGCAGGAGTCTTGACTTCTTGGGTCCTGTCCTCCAGCACCTAGCTGACTCCTTTGGCCCAAGTCTCTCTCTCTTTTCCCCCAGCCCCTTACCCTCACTCTCAGCCACCTTCGACAAGTCGTTTTGAACACTGCCCTCTGCTTGGGGGTCTGCAGATGGGTCAGACCTGGCTTTTGCTTTCCAGGAGCTCAGCCTGCTGCAGGAAGGTGGGGTGGGGTGGGGTGTGAACCGAGGTGTGAAGGTCTGATCACAGCTCCAGGGTAGAGCAGAGCTACTGTAACAGAAGATGAACAAAGCAGGGGCCGTGGGAGGGGGTACAGCATTTGCTCTGCCCCGGGGTTGGGGGGTGGGGGTGAGGCGGGAAGCTTTCAAAGAGGAAGGGTATCTATTTGGAGTCTGAAGGGCATTTCTGATGGGGGTGGGATGCGAGCGGGGAGAGGTTGTGAGACGATGGGGAC